AGTGCATTATTTAGTTTTGTCGTTAGATTATTGCTTCGTAGTGATAAGTTCAAATTGACGTCATGATAGGGCAGGAGCATTTGCCGCTATTTTGATGTGTGTTTTATTGAAAATCTCGGAAACTACGGATTCTATGTAAAAAAAGACAAAAATGTTTAGGGAATTGAATTTCGCCTCTACAAAAATTTGCGATAATGTCAACACGTTATGAGAAATTTAAGGATGGAAAGTACATATAATTATATTTTCGCATATAAATATACAGTGGACCTCCGCTAATCCGACAAACATTATGCAGGACAGTGTCGGACTATCGAATTTGTCGGATTATAGAGCACTGCCTAAGACCACCTATAGTCCGGAATTTTTTACAAAAGAGTACCTTGGAATCCGACAAATTACATATACAATGGTAAGATTATATATGTATGTTATGTATATGTATGTACTTTGAAGTACAAATCATACATAGTTTATGTAGGTCGAATTTACTAAATTAAATAACATTAGAGAGCTTACGTTTTATTATGAAATCAAGCATAAATGCTCATACATATGTACCAAAATAATCAACAATTATTAATCAAAATCTTTAATGAATTTATCACATTATGATGCTTGGAAATATTCATCATTTTTTTTTGTTTAAGGTTGTTATAACGCGAGATCAGAGCTTTGTCCCTCAATATTCTCAAAAGTAAAAGTTCGTTGTAGGATCTTCAGCCCATTGTAAACCTAGCTCAAAGGCGTTAATTGCGTCTTGTGCTGTGACTTGTGGAGCAGTTGCAATCACGTCGTCGTTATTTTCCTGATTGTTTGTTGTATAATTAGAAACCTCTTTTATAATCTCTTCGTCAGACATTTCATGAAAAACATTTTCCTTTTTATCCATTCCACGGCACCAGATTTCCAAATCTTCCGGACTTATCTGTGTTTCAGTAGCGACTTGTTCTATAACTCCCGAAGTTACACTGGTTTGTGGAACGTTGCTACTAGTGGTGACTATATCTGGCCATAACTTTTTCCAAGACGATTTAATAGTTGATGACGGTAACGCATTCCACGACTGACAAAGAGCAAAAACCAAGTCTTTCATATTAAATTTTTTCTATTGATTGGTCTTTTGATACGGCTCTCAGAAGTAGGTTTTTCTTATAGTCTTGCTTGACAAACTGAATGATATTCTGGTCCATTGGTTGAATCAGTGCAGTGCAATTTGGCGGAAGAAACATCGCAGCGATGCATTTATCCTCAGTTGTTAGTTCTTCTTCAGACGGATTGACCGGGAGCGTTATCAAGAAGCAACAACGCTTTTTGAGGAAAATTATGATCTTTTAGCCATTTAATAGTCATTAAACGTATACCATGACGACTTTTAAAACATTCTAGCCATCGTTTGCTGGCCAAAAAATCATCTTTTTTTGTTATTTCCTTATAAAAAAACTTAGCTTTCATGGCCAACATGGGTCCTGAAATTGGTGCATGCCTATTTCTTTCCTGAAGAAACCACATGTACAAAGCTTCTTCCACTTCTGGATGTTCAGCTTTCTTGAGTGTCTGTCTCTTGTCTGGCCCGCAGTCAGTAGTTGACACGAACTTCTTGATCTTCTCGTGGTTTCTTTTAACGTTATAAATTGTAGATCGGCCTACGCCGTATTCACTTGCTAAACTACTGAAAGTTTCTTTGCGATTTAAGCGGTCTAAAATATCACATTTTTCTTTAATTGTCAATGTTTTGTGTTTTCGCTTCTGAGTTTGTGATGACATTACTAGGTACTACACTTAATACACAATGAATAAATAGTAAACAATGAACGCACGCTAGGCCGTACCGCTATCACCAGTAGTCAAATTCAAACTAAGTAAAACAATGCTTACGTGTCGAGCACGATAGCGGTGGCGCGTACAAGTTGTAACATGTTCAAACCTGCGTGATCTACATTAGCGAAGATTGTCAAATACGTATGTATGTAGTATTCAAAGACATTACAGGGGGCGCCGGATTAGACAGGGGCCGGATTATCAGGGGTCCACTGTAATGGCTAAATTAACAACCTAAGCGTATAAAGACTACAATCCTTTTCCGTAGAGAATAAAAGTTTGTACAAAAAAGTCGTTTACACCTTGATGGTTTCTTTTAGTAGCGGCATACTTCACAAGTTGTCCACGTGTCAGGATACAGCATACTTTCACATGGATCTATGATCAAGAACACCACTTTAAAGTGAATCCATTTTTTACTTCCAAGCGTGAGTATGGATAATGTGATATTTTCAGATAATTTCTGATGTCTTTATCATTCTGGCCGTATCATATCACCAATTTTAACTTATCATTAGGAAGCAATAATCTACCGATACCGCCAAAAAAACGCACTATCGCGAAAATTGTAGCATTTCCTTATACAGGATCTCCATATTTCTTGGCCGATATGGGCCGAAGATATATCGGGGAATGATTTGTAGGTGGCAGTTGTCATCTCTTTGTGCACTACATGCCGAGTTTTTCAGTAGATCATTCCCGATTGTTTACTTTTTCATCTGTCTCCAAGACTTGACCTTTAAATACAAGCATGAAAGGAAAGGTCATGGTTACAGAGACGGAAAGCAAACATATTCATTTCTGCCTAGGATACCGTTGATCCCATTTTAGAATTTATTTATACCGCTAGAAACTTAGGTTAATTGAACCTTTATAGAGGATAAATGACTTTCCTAACGTTTCTTCTGCCAGGACGACCAATGCGAAATATTAAAGAAGCAATTGTAGATATCCAAAGACTTTTCGATCAGAAAACTGTTTTTATGTTTGCCGTCCATTTGATATACTATACTAAGTGACACATAAATCTGAACACCCAGTTTAAATGGTTTTATTTTAATAAAAGTTGGTGAATGTATTTATCTTACTGTAAATAACAAGTGAAAAAATTTTCAGCCTTATCAGTTGGACATTCCGGTTTTTATACTGTTTTTTTTTAATTCACTAACGCTCTAAAAATGAATATTTCAGCCGCAGTAAAGAATCAACGTTGGCGGATTTTGGTTCTTGACATCCTTTACGATCGGTTACGATGCCTAGAGTACGGAGACCTGTACGATTTCGTCAACTTAGTGAGTTTGATAGGGGCCGTATAGTGGGACTTCGGGAAGCTGGACTTTCTTTTCGGGCAATTGCAGTTAGAGTGCAAAGAAGTGTAGACACTGTGGTTAGGTGTTGTCAGGCATGGCTTCGAGAAGGTAGTACGCAAAGAGCAAGTCGCACTGGACGCCGCCGTAGAACAACAGACCGTGAAGATCGCCGCATAAGATTATTGGCCTTAAGGGACCGTTTCTCCACTACCAGGTCCATTGCTAATGAATGGTTTGCAGTACACGGAAGACCTATTGGCATGCGAAGTGTTTATCGACGAATGAGAAGTTTTGGCTTGTTTTCATACCGGCCACACTGGGTAGTCCCTTTAACTCGAGAACACCGACGTAGTCGCCTTGAATGGTGCAGACAACGGTCATTATGGGATCAGGAATGGAACAGTATTGTCTTTAGTGACGAGTCTCGATTTTGTTTAGGCATGCACGATGGTCGTGCCAGGGTTAGAAGGCGACGTGGTGAAAGGAGGAATCCACAGTTTTTTGTTGAAAGACATGTTCATCACACTGTTGGAGATATGGTTTGGGGTGCTATAGCTTATGGTTCCAGGTCACCTTTAATCTTTATCAGAGGTAACATGAACGCGCAGCGTTATATCCAAGTTCTAGAACCCCATCTTTTACCCTATCTTGACACCCTGGCAGATCCAACTTTCCAACAAGATAATGCCCGACCACATGTTGCAAGAGTCACAATAGACTTCTTTCAACATAATGATGTCACATTGTTACCATGGCCACCAAGATCTCCCGACTTATCCCCAATTGAGCACGTGTGGGATATGATGGGTAGGAGATTGCTCAATTTGCAACGTCCTCCTCAGACTCTAGAAGCACTTCGAGAGGAGTTGGTGGTTGCCTGGAATGAGATACCACAGGAGGACATTGACCACCTGATCAGAAGCATGCCTAGGCGCGTTGGAGAATGCGTAGCACATCAGGGTGCATCCACACATTATTAAAGGTCAAAGGGCTTTAAAGTAGTGCAATCATTTTGAAATTTTTATCATTTACTTATTATGCTTCATTAAGTACTTATACAAAATTTTATTAAAATAAAACCATTTAAACTGGGTGTTCGGATTTATATGTCACTTAGTATAATTGATTGACAATAAAAGTAAACAAAATGTATACGATTTAAAGATTGTCATTAAGAGCAATTTGTTTTTCTCGCTGAGTACAATGAAAAATCATATAAAAGAAAAAACAAATATTTATTTATTGTTTTTGAGCCACGTGATACGAGAAAGAGGGAAAGGGAGATCTTTGAGAATAAAGCTTCTAGAAGTCAATATTTACGCAGAATATCACTATCAACGATTCTAATATAGGACATCGTATTGTAATTCCAAGAATGGACTGAACTTGACCTTTCATTGCTCAGCGTCAAAACATGCACTGTATTTTAATCAGCTATGTGAAAATTTTATGTCCATCGTGTTGCAGAAGGCAATATCGATATCGAATACGCGTGAGGAATATATTAAGGCAAGCTAATGACACTACTACGAAATGTTTCATGATCACATGAAAATTAAGGAAAATGAGTTAAATAATTTCCCACAAGTGCTCTTTTTCATGGGGATGCGATACTCTTTTCTAGAATAACTGTGCCTAAAAATGTACTACATGCATACACAATTAATTTAAGTTTATGTGGTAATCTTAACTACACTCAAATAAATGCAACTAAAATGTTTGCTGAACCTCTGCTTCTGATAGTCGCTTACTGAAATAAGTGAACTTAATGGTAAATTATACAAGATAGTTTTAAGGGTTATTCTATAAATAAGAGCACCCTGAGTTTTCTGAGAAGTACATACTGCTTTTTTCATGGATTATTTCTAGCATAGATAGCAGCGCTTTTTTGTAATTTTAAAAGACTGGAAAGATTTGTGCCAAAGGGAGCGATATGTATAGAAATATGTCTTTAGTGGAACGAAAGAAGCTGCAATGGGCTAAAGAAAAAGGTGAGATACATGTTTTTTTAAGTTTTGTGTTCTAAGTAACAGTAGATTGATATTCTCACAGTTTTCATCATGTCATTCTTTACCTAATCAATAACCATTCTAGTATCTTTTTACTTTAATTTCGTTAAAATTCAGTGGTTATGAGGAGTTATAGAGCATTACAGTGTCGACAAAGTTCTTCGTATCAAACGATATTGACCATTGATTCACCCAATCTCAGCAGCATTTTCAGCAACAGCATTTCAAAATTGCCATTCTTGTTTTTCCGTGATTATGTTATATTTGATATAACACCGGAAATTTATCCTGTGATTTTTATGCTGATACCCCTCCATCTTTGTCTGCCCGCCAAATAAAACCACATATGTTTGAAATACTGTTTACTGATCACGTTTCGGCCACAATGATGGCCTTTTTCAAGTACAATTTGACAATTCTAACAATATATTTTGTTTTGGAATATATAGTCAGAAAGTTTAAATTGTACTTGGAAAAGGCCGAAACATCGTCATCAGTAAATAGTATTTCAAACATTTGTGGTTTCATTTAGCGGCCAGATAAACATGGAGAATTGTTATACTTAAATTAATATCAGATAGGTCCTTAGACCCAGTCATTGTTTTGCTTCTTCTAGAAGAGATGGCAGCCTTGTGCTCTCCATTATCTGCAGTCAAGTCCATAGAAAGGTAATATATTATGATATTTTCACAATCTTCGTTCTAGCTCAATTTTTTTCTAGACTTGACAACAAGCTAGCTGTTATTAATCAAGAGTATAGGAAAGATCCCAGAATTACACCTCGAAGAAGTAGCCTACCACCTCTCTACAAGAACAATTGGTAATTTTTCATGTGGGGCTTTATAAATTGGTCTTGTTTGAAACTTGTCGCGGACATCATATTTCAACGTAATCAATAGAATCAAAGAATTTTTCTTCAACACGCTCCGAAAATCATACAAAGTGCAATTATGATGGCAAGCAAAAAAATAGTACGCCAATGATTTTTTGCCAAATAAAAATTATTTTAATTATTATATTTAAAACAAATGATCTCTCTTAAATCGTTTTCCGTCGATGCGCCATTTTTGAATAAAAGAATAAAAACCGATCTATTGTCCGAGAAAATTAATGTAATAATTGTAGAATGCAATTTAGCAATAAATATCTAGTTGCTCTGGAATATGTCACTGGCTTTTGACATCTGACAAGTCTCTGTTATTCAAATCTGTTCGCTGTGATATGTTTTTCATTATTTAGTTTTTACAATCTTGTTAATAATTTTGAATTATCAAATGCATAAATGGCGGAAATGCATTACGTATATGGCCTTGCGGACGGTAATGGTGAGCAAGCCAGACGGATTTATCACAAGAGATATCCCGATCGTGCTTTGCCAGATAGTCGAACTTTTTCTAATATTCAACGTCGTCTTGTTGAAACTGGTTCTGTCCGAAAAGGAACATCTGAAGGTAGACCTCTAAGTGTGAGAACACCTGAAATTGAGGAAGCAGTGCTGCACGAAGTCGAATAACATCCTGAAACGAGTACGAGGAGGATGGCTAGACACTTAAATATTTGCCATCAAATTGTTTGGAGAATTTTAGTGGATTTTTTGTTATATTTTTACCATATTTTAAGAGTACAGGCATTACTTTCCATTGATTTTCCAAGGCGTGTGACCTCTTGTCAGTGGTACCTTCAAAAAATTACACAAAATCCCCAATTGGAGTCAATGATTCTGTTCACGGACGAAGCTAATTTTTCTCGAAATGCCATTCAGAATTTTCACAATAATCATTTGTGGGCAGAAGAAAATCCCTGTGCCGTAACCGAAACCCATTTCCAACACCAATTTTCGGTTAACGTATGGGCAGGAATTATTGGCAACCACTTTATTGGCCCTTTTTTCATGCCGGGACGACTTGACGGACAGACTTACCTCAATTTTCTTCAACAACAGTTGCCTTTGCTGCTTGATGAGGTTCCATTAGTTATAAGAAACAATATGTGGTACATGCATGATGGTGCATCAGCGCATTTCAGTGTAGCGGTTCGTAATTATTTACAAACTGTTTATCCAAATCGTTGGATTGGCCGCGGTGGACCCCAAGAATGGCCACCAAGGTCCCCAGACCTCAACAGTTTAGATTTCTTTTTGAGGGGCTATCTTAAGACACTAGTGTACACAAGTCCCATTAACATTGTAGAGGAATTAAGAGAAAGAATAGTTGCAGCTTGTGATAGAATAAAAAACACTCCAGGGATATTTCAACGAGTGCGCGATTCCATGAGAAGGAGGGCGGAAGCATGCATATTAAGTGAAGGGGGTCATTTTCAACAATTTTTGTAATCATTTCGTTGATTTTAATGTTATGTTTATATTGTCAGTTGTTGTTGTTCATTACCCCTAATGTGTTTAATTTTTCCAATTAGATTAATAATAATTTTGCAAGTTAGACAGTAGAACGGTTTTTATTTTTTTACTCAAAAATGGCGCATCGAAGGAAAATAATTCAAGAGAGATCAGTTGTTTTAAATTAAACGGGAAATTCAAAAATGATTTTTGTCTGGCAAAAAATCATTGGAGTACTATTTTTTTCTTAAAAAAATATCGAAGTCAGTACCCGAACGTACGCCACTGTTAAAGCTTAACATTATTTTTGCATTGAAAAATATTCAACTTTATTAACTTTCACTACGTACTAAACATCAGTGAAATATCTGAAGCGGTTCTGGAAATATTAATTAATTTCCATTTTTTCTTCCTAAAACTTCAACACCCCGAGTTTTTGCAAGGAAACATATTTGGACCATAGTTTATAAAGCAAACTAACATTTATTTTTCGTGTGGATTCACGTCCTTAAATATTCGCATATCATTAAGGAACACCCTGTATATAAGCGAAAGGCATCATATCATATGTAACATAATCTAAATAACATAAAGATTTCAAATTTAAATTGTATTTATGATAAAATAGCATTATTTTTTAGCTTAGAGAAGGAAAAAGAAATTGGAGGTGAAACTTCTGGATACGGAAGTGACCATTCACCAGGTTGTGTAGAAACCTGGCAACAGTCAGGCTATGAATCTTCCTCCAGTCGAGATGACAGACCCAAATGGCAGGTATGATTTTTACTTATAGAAAACTTTCATAGTCATTCCTAAGAAACGCTTGTTAAATGTGCAGAACGTTCTCCTCCACCCGAAGTGAGATACTTCGAAATTTCTATACACCCACCAACACACGCCACAAAAAGTTGATAAAATCGTATAGACGGCGACTGCAAAATACGTTGAAGCAGAAATTATTACTTCTCTCTAAAATATTACGCTGAAAGGCTTGAAAATTGTGAGCCAGCAAAGATTGCACCGCGAATATACCGCAGGGATCGGTTCTGGCTCCAACATTGTTAAAGATCTGTTTTCGTTCTAATTTCCTGATTACGTTATAGGGTAGAGAAGAACCATTCGACAAAGCTGCAAGTGAACCTCCCAATTGGGTGAAAAGAGGTTTACAAGACGGGGAAATAATTGTCAGCAATACTTCACCAGCAGAATCACCTGAGCAAAGATGTGAAGATAGTGAACGACCCTACACTAGTTCTACCAGCTGCTCTCAACAACGGTACGTTGGTCCTAGAGGTGTGGCAGAAAGCTAATGAGACTGATTGATCATTCCCAACTAGCAAAGTAGTGGTATAAGCTTTTGGTAAAAGAACCGTTCAGCCATAAAAGCTCTCTATTGTTGTTGCCTGAACACCAAAATGCTGGCTTAATGTTGTGTGGAATGCAAATTTGCTTTCTGCAACATATTTGCTCTAAAATGAGGTGTTTAAAATATTCTTGTAGCATGGTTATACAACACCTTATAGGGCAAATTTTTAACTGTTGCATAAACGTTTATACAACTATTTTATACGGCATATTTGCAAGTTAGTCAAAATGGTGGTGTTGTGGCACCCATGCTAACGTTTATAAAACAAACCCGAGCCTTGTTGCTTTGCTGTGCAATTTACTACATTAGCCAACAAATTGCTCCCAACGAAAGCACTTATACAACTGTTACATATGCTAAATATGTTGGTAAACAACTTTACCATAACCTAACTTTCTGCTGTCATAGTTTTGTTAAAATGCTATAACCAATGTTTTAAGACAAACAACGCATGCATATCGGTTCAAAAGGTTTTATCAACTGTTCAAACAGAAGATATAGATCTGGTACAAATTCTGGGTAAATCATTCGACTCTGTCCCGATTTCATTGCAGACATTTGTCAAATTGTTGTATAACACCTGCAGGCAACACCAAAATGTTCTAATAACCTAAAGACAACATGGTCGATGCCATGATTGTACACAACCACCCGCCATATTGGGCAAACATTTATTCCTCTATTTAATATTAAATAATTATGTTTCAATTCGAAATTACAGATATAAAGTGATAAACATTAGTGCAATTGTGTCTAAATATAGGATTTGTGGAAGATGTAATGCAGATAAGTTCAGTTTTCCATCTTAAAAATCTAGACATACTTTTGATCATTGTCAAAATATGAATCTAATACGAAGCCCGTAGAAATTGGGTAACTAATTTGCACGATAATCACAATAAAATTTGCTGCGCAAGTAATTCAATAGCCCTATATCAAAGTGTAGAAGTTTATCATATACCTGTGTATGAAATTCACAATGGCAGATATGTAAGTAAACAAGAGCCCAGCCCTACTGAGCGAGGGCCGTGGCAAATGCTTGTTCCGGAAGTTGTTGTATCCAGTATACAACTTCTTCCCGTCCAAGTGATTGTGCACGCGTTAAGGAATACCTCAGTACCGATTGCCGGGTGGCGGTACAAGTCCGCCAACGGGCCACTTTAGGTCTATTCAACATCACTAACACGTAAAAAGAAGGTGGTAGACAAGGACCAGTCGACCGAGGCAGTACCACCCGCTAGCTTTTCCCAGGGTGTCTTATAAATGTCCGCATGTTTCCACACCTAAGCTATGCAGTCGGTTATCTACCAAAACAAAGAAACTAATGATGATGGATCCCTCGAGCACTAAAAACTCCGGACGTAAACTCACTCCACTCTCGGAATGTCCGGGTGGAGGGTGGGCTCGAGGGAACAACATCGAAGATAAAATTTGTTTTTCGAACATCTGCGGGATCAACAGCAACATTGATGCTGTTCATCACTACCTGCAATCCAATCGTCCCGCCGTGCTTTTCTTGGCGGAGACAAAAATCTCAGAGACTGCACCGATTAACCATTTCAACTTCCCAAACTACGAGGTGCACTCCAATCTGAGAAAAAACGGGGGAGTTGTGGCTTTTGTCCGCAGCAGTCTTTCCTGCTCCAGGGATCTTTCTTTGGAATCAGACCGGAAGGACATTCTGTGGCTTCGCCTCAACTCCAAAACAGCACCCAAATTTATTTGCTGCCTTTATCGCTCTCCCTCGAACCATAACTGGGATGACCTACTCGAATACCTCGCCGTCCAGATCGACTACCTGAACATCAATCACCCCGCTTCAGAGGTAGTTCTTCTCGGTGATTTCAATGCCCATATAAGACCAATGCAGCAGGTCGTGCAGTCGAAGCGTTCGCTCTTACTCAAGGGCTGTCCCAGCTGGTGACGAGCCCTACTTTTTTCCCCCGGGTCTCGTCACACTCCAGTAGCCTGCTGGATCTCTTTCTGACCACGCATCCTGCCCCTTACAGCACTGCTGTCCTGTCCCCCCTGGGTAACTCAGATCACGGTGTTGTGGAGGTTAGGTTTCGGTCAGAAGCCGCTGTGGCAGCAGAAACTCGCACAGGCCGCAAAACTTGGCATTACGGACATGCCGACTGGGAGGGGCTCAGAGACTTCTTCTCTAGCTTTCCTTGGAGAGATGTCTGTTTCACTGACGCGGATGCGTCGACTGTCTGTTCTTCAATAACCGAAATTATCCACGTCGGAATGGAGGAATACATCCCTCACACAGTGAAAGTTCCTAAACCAGGGTCCAACGGCTGGTTGAACAAATCGTGTGACACTGCTCGCCAGCAGAAGATCAAGGCCCACAGAACCTACTTACAAAACCCCACTGTAGAGAACAGACAAGCCGACATCGAGTCCAGAAACAAATATAACGAAGCGGTCCGCAATGCCAAAACCCAGCATGATATAAAAGTTAGGCACAGGGTAATGTCGCAGCGCAATGGCAGTCGGTCTTTCTGGACGCTGGCCAAGCAGATTGAAAAGAACTTCTCACACAGTAGCCTTCCACCACTTACGTGTCAGGATGGAACTATTGTATTCGAATCAAAGGCCAAGGCGGAAGTGCTAGCCAAGATCTTTGCTGCCAACTCCACCATGGACGTCCCCACCAACGCCCAAGTGCCGTCAATTCAAAGGGTTCCCCACACTATGCGGGAGGTAACATTCAGGCATAAGACCGTAAGACGAGTGCTCTTGTCGCTCGACATCAACAAAGCTTTTGGTCCGGACTTGATTCCTGCCATTGTACTGAAGAGATGTGCAGCTGAGCTTGCTCCAGTTCTTTCGCGTCTCTTCCAGATATCTTATGAATCCGGCACCTTCCCAGAAAACTGGAAATTTGCTCATGTACAGCCCATCCCAAAAGAAGGATCTAAAACCGACGCTCACAACTACAGGCCTATAGCTCTGCTTTCTGTTATAAGTAAAGTGATGGAGAGGTGCATAAATCGCGAGCTTCTGGACTACCTCGAACGTCACAGCTTGATTAGCGACAGGCAGTACGGTTTCCGGCACCAACGATCCACAGGGGACCTCCTAGCTTACGTCACGCAACTGTGGAGTAAACTCATCCAGTCTCATGGTGAGGCTCATGTCGTTGCTCTTGACATCACGAAAGCGTTCGATCAGCTGTGGCACGCTGCCCTCTTGAGCAAACTTCCATCCTACGGCCTCCCAGAAAAGCTTTGCAGATGGGTGGCTGACTTTCTCTCTGGCCGCAAGATATCCGTCGTAATTGACGGATTCTCCTCTTCATCCCACAACGTCAACGCGGGTGTTCCCCAGGGGTCGGTCTTGGCTCCAACACTGTTTCTCTTACATATCAACGACCTCCTTTCCTGCACGATCAACCCAATCCACAGCTTCGCTGATGACAGCACTCTGCATGCAGGGATTCAGAGTGACAAGCCGATCTCTGCCGCTGAGCTGGAAAAAAGAAGACTAGCGACGACTTCTTCTCTGACAAGAGACCTGGAGGCTATCACTGCTTGGGGACGCAACAATCTTGTACAGTTCAATGCTTCCAAAACACAGTACTGCACTTTGACGAACAAAAAGCGTCCTAGCGCTCATGCAGTTTCGATAGACGGTAGAGTTCTACCAAAGAGCCATTCATTTCGGCTGGTCGGAGTCCAGATCACCGAGGACCTGATCTGGCACGAACACATCTCTTCAATAGCTGCAGCTGCTGGGAAAAAGCTAGGCTATTTGTTTAGGGCTAAGAAGTACTTTTCTCCACATGACCTTCTCACTCTATACAAGGCCCAGATAAGGCCTAGCCTCGAGTATTGCTCACACATTTGGGGTGCTGCCGCCCCGACTACATTGTCCATGCTCGATGTTGTCCAGAGGAGGGCGGTCCGACTGATCGATGACTCTTCTCTAACAGACAGTCTCGGGACTCTTTCGCACCGGCGGGCCGTCGGCGATCTAGCTCTTTTCTATCGCTACACCAACGGGCTTTGCTCCTCAGAGCTCTCTTCCATGATGCCGCCGCGTGATGTGCCTGCCAGACAGACCCGCCAGACTTCGGCGTCCCATCCTAACCGTGTCAAACTTTGTACATCCAGAACTGGCCGATACGACCGCTCCTTTGTCCCGAAGGTGTCTAGATTGTGGAACAATCTACGGGAGGAAGCTTTTCCCAGTTCTACTAACCTTAGACAGTTCAAAAATCGTATTAACAAAATTTCTTTGGGATCATCATAGCAGCCGCGGTGTTCCTGCATTTAGGCTACTGCCTGCGCGGCTGTTTCGATATATAAAAAAAAAAAAAAAAAAAAAAAGATGACTGTAATGTGTTAGTTATATATTCTTCACTTCGTCTATACAATAAATAGGAAATAGGTTGGTTGCAATAAAGTAGAATCACGTAACAGAATAGTTGTATAGTTGACAAAAACTGAATCTTGCACTGACGCAAATATCCTATAGCGGCTGCAAGAGGCTTACACTTTTGTTTTATAACTGTTACCTGCAGCCCTTATATAACCTCTTAAATGACTGAAGTGTCCTATTAGGTGTGCCCATTCCGCTTGTATAGCTGTTCTAAGTGGGTTTTGCTAATGTTCTTACAGTATACAATGCTGTTTAAGGAATACTGTATAATCATTCTTGCAACTCTGATAGGAGTGATAATTGTTAGTTGGGTTTTTCAAACATCATATCTTTATATACTTGTCTTCCTTCTTTTATCATGTTTTATCTGTCACGTTATTTTTTTCTTCAGAAATACGTTCATCAGAGGCCAGAACGTACGCATAGACTCTGCAGAACTAGCCGAAAGGGAAAGAAGACGACAGATAGCAATAGCACACCAAGAAGCAATACGTCGACAGTTGGAAGAAAGAGAACGTAGTCGGAAGGAAGAGCGTGAACGGAAGATAAAGGAAGAGATGGAAGAAGAACTGAGAATCAAAAGAGAACAAGAAATAGAAAAGCAAAAGAGAGAAGCTGAACTAAAGTCGATTCAAGAGAAGCAAGAAAAGGATAGGAAGAGAAAGGAAGCTATACAAGAAGCAATTGAGTTGGCTCAAAAAGAAGCACAACAGGAGAGATTGAAACGAAATAGAAATGTCAATCTACTAGATAATTGTAGCGAGAAGAATTTGCCAAAGGAAGTGCCAGAATACAGACCTGACGAATTCGTAGATAATAATGACAATCTCAGCGAATCTAACAATTCCAAACAGGGCTCAAGCGCTCCTGAGATGTTAAACAATGAATTAAGTAGTCTTGAAGTCAAAGGCAAATCTATGTCTACACCAAGATCTTCAAGAGAAGACCAAAGTCAATCTAATACCTCTGATCAACAGCAACCAAAGGAGCAGTTAAATAATCAACAACCATTTGCTTTGACTCAAAACAATACTCTATCAGTTTCTAACCCTGACAATCTAGCCTTGGTACTTCCTCCGCTAGAATCTCTTCATACCTACCAGTACGCTCTTTTGGTACCGACTACTCCTCAAACTTTACCAATAGCAGTACCAATAAACATAAATTCTGCTAGAAGTGATCAGAGGACTGAGAATAGGCTGTTAACTCCGACTCAATACCGAAATAAAAACAAAAGATTATGTGATAGCGCTACTCAAACCGACGACTCGTATTTCCGTGACGTTGCGAATAATGAGAAGTATCTCAGGGAGAAGTTAACGAATTTGGAGTTGAGTTATGAAAATAGAAATAGAAAAGGTAGGAGGAGTAGAAGCGAGAGCTTGGAGGATAGGCCCAAATGGGGAGCTAACAGACCTCCAACAAGGTATGTTAAGCAAAGTGAGAAAGATCCTTTGTATCAAAGGAGGAAGTTAAGACAGAAGATGAGGGAAACGAAGAATTACGAAGATAAGAATTCTAGTGATGATAGCAGAACCGCATCTCCAAGGTAATTCACTAATATACAGCGTGTTTCTCAGACACTAGACAAGCATTCAATGGGCGAATTTTTGTACTATTCTCAGACTATTTTTGGAATGCGATGTCGCATATGAATTACATGTTATACAGTGTGAGTCTTCATAAAGTGCACATATCAAAATCAGGGAAACTACACTGTATTTCATCGACGGATAAATCATCAAAAAAAAAATAAAAACAATAATTGATTTTTTCTGAATATTTTAAAATTTTTAGAGTCAGCTGCTAACCCTATTTAAATAAATCGTTAAAACTTTTAAACTGAATGTCCTATCATATTGGAATAAATTTTGCAGTGATTGAAAATAATAGGCCGTACCAGTAAAGTGAAAATTTCCACGAAATTAAATGCTATAAATTTAAAATAAAGAGGAATATGTTGAAACTCACTATTTTTTCAATGATTTTTAAAACAATTGCTAAATTTCAATAAAAATTGTCCTATTTACCCTACCTTTTTTAAATGTTAAGTTATTCTACATGTTATTAGCTTCCTAATGGTGAAAAATTGCAAGTTTATTACTTAGATACAAGTTTTTGAATCAGCGTTTCAAAAAGCAGTGAACTAGAGTAGGAATAAAACAACAGTATTAACCTACATGAATCATTCATTATCTTTAACAAATAAAATCAAATAGACTTGTCTATAGGATAATCATTTTGGCTTAATGCATCAAATGTTCAAAATGGCCACCCCGTTGCTGCAAACACATTGTAGCGCGAAGTGAAATTTGATGAGTTGCCCTACGAATCATCTCGGGATCATTTTTGATTTCGTTTGCAACACGCAAAACTCTTTCTTCAAGTTCCGCTTCGCTGTTTATGGAACTGCTGTACACTCTTTGTTTCATTGTTCCCCATAAAAAATAGTCGAGAGGTGTGAGATCTGGGGAACGCGCCGGCCACCCAACAGGTCCTTGTCGACCGATCCAGCGGCCTGGATAATTTTCATTAAGAAAAGACCTGACAATCAGCGGGTAATGGGCAGGACATCCATCCATTTGAAGCATCATTCTTCGACGGGTTTGCAGCGGCACTTCTTCCAACAGCAAGGGCAGTTCAGTCCGCAAAAGCTCCAGAAATCTCTCTCCGTTTAATGTCCTCGGGAGTATTATTGGACCAATCAAAAAGTTGTCAATCAGTGCGGCCCACACATTTACAGAAAATTTCACTTGAAATGTTGAAGCCCTTTTCAGCCTAGGGTTTTCATCTTTTGGGCACCACTTATGTAAATTAGGACAGTTCACGATGCCGTCTCTCGTGAATTGAGATTCATCTGTCCACAGAATTGTTTTCGGGAATTCAGGATTGTGTCTTGTTTTTATTAAAATCCATGTAGACATAACGCACCTTGGACGCCAATCCACATCTTCATGCAAGTGCTGCACCCTTTGATAATGGTATGGATGCAACCCTGCTTTCCTCAAGATGCGCCAAACCGATTTCTGGGATACGCCATGACGTAACGCCAAACGTCTCGTACTAGTAGTCGGGTCAGCAAACAAATCATCCAAAATGGCTTCTTCGATAGCAACATGAATAATAACACCTGGAAGTTACGGGGCTGATGGAACAGGGCGTCGATTTGGAAATGCAGCTAGATAAGCTGTGCAAGCAGCTCTAGCACTCCCTCGGTACATTCCATAATAATAACGGATATCGACAATGTGTACCGGAGGGAAATCACTTATACGTGGCATCGCGACCAAAAAGCGAAAGCGTGATATGTAGCAAACGAAACTGATACAGTTGGCAGGAGAAACACAAATAGCTGCCTAACTGCCCAACATTCAATTGTTTTTCAACTGGGCCCGCCTCCCCACTCGTACTTCAGCCCGCGCGACTCTACATTCAATTACCAAAAAAAGGTATCTACATGATAAACAATAGTGCCTAGCAAGACGATGCGCATGTGCTTTTTTATAAACACTCATAGAAACTGTTATATTTGAGTAATAAACGTGCAATTTTTACATTTATAAAGCTGATAACATGTAGAATAACTTACAAATAAAAAAAGGTAGGGTACAAGGGACGAAATTATTGTAAAAATGATGAAAAAAAAACAGATTTTCATAAAAATTTTCTTTATTCTAAATGGATGTCATTACTTTTCCTTCACTTTACTGGTACGGCCTATTATTTGCAATCACTACAAAATTTATTCCAATATGATAGGACATTCAGTTTCAAAGTTGTAACGATTTATTTAAATAGGGTTAGCAGCTGACTCTAAAAATTTTAAAATATTCATAAAAAATTAATTAATGTTTTTAATTTTTCAATGAAATAGAGTGTAGTTTCCCTGATTTTGATATGTGCACTTTATGAAGACTCACACTGTATACAGGGTGTGAACGTTATGGTCCAAAAGTCAATAGATTTCTGTCTAAATGGCTTAACAACTTCAACTACTTTATATCGATCACAATCACCAAAATCTTACTAATTTTTATAACCTAATCTAAAATGTTTTTAAATTGAGTAATTAACAAATAAATGGCATTAAGTTTTTCTAAATTAAGCCAAAATTTGTAGTTAGTGAGTAAGTAAGTTTCATTAAATTAAATATTTAAAACACACATGACAACAGCGCGTCGGTTTTTCATCACTCTTATCGAACCGGCAATCGATCGCAAACGGCAACAGTGGTTAGTTATTGTTTGCATACGTCGTCGTGTATATTTACAATGTGCTCGAATCAAGAGTTTGCCGACATGTTGTTAGCTTACGGTGAAGCTCGTCAGAATTCTAATCTTGCAGCTGAAATTTATCGCGTCAGATTTCGCCAACGGGTACACCCAGACAGAAGGACATTTGTGCAAGTGTACCAAAGACTTCGAGATACAGGAAGAGATCAGCCCACTAATATTCGCACTCTTGAAAGACAGATTACTGTAGAGCAGGAGGAACAAATTTTAAATATCGTGGCAATCAATGCAGATATCAGCACTCGGGAATTAGGCCGCCGCGTAGGACTATCGAATACCATAGTCCATAGAATCCTACGGGAAAATTTGATACATCACTACCATGTACAACGAATGCAGGCCTTGTTACCAGAAGACTATCCTCGCAGATTAACATTCTCTCAGTGGTTTTTGCACAAAAACATTGAAAATCCGGATTTTTTTAAAAACATTCTAGCGACGGACGAATGTACTTTTACGCGAGACGGGATATTAAATTTCCATAATACTGACACGTGGGCTCAAGAAAATCCTCATACCATTCGCGAAGGTCATTTCTAACAACATTTTAAAATAAATATTTGGGAGGGTATTCTTGATGATCAGGTAATTGGCCCTTTCGAGTTACCCCCAAAGTTGTCAGGAGAAGGATACCTTAGCTTTCTAGCCAATAACCTACCATAACTTTTGGGACAAACCTTAGACAACAAGCCGTTACAACGGAGACAGAATTTGTGGTTTCTTCATGACGGGGCACCACCACACATTTTTAGAGGCGTCATTCAGTATTTGAATGAACATTATCGAAATCGCTGGATCGGTCGAAATGCTCCTGATCCTTGAAAATGGCCTGCAAGACCTCCTGATCTCAATCCGATTGATTTCTGGTATTGGGGAGAACTTAAAGGAATGGTTTAAGTAATAAGAAACTGGGTTCGTCGTAATGAAGCTTGTGTGGAAAGTGGAGGATGAGATTTTTAACACCTTTAAATACAAAAAAAGTGCAGTGTGGGTTTTAAAAAGAAAAACAATATTGTGTTTGTTCCCTATTTATAAGTGGATTTTTTTAATACGTTCAATAAACTTTCACACACCAGGTGAAGCGCTGAGACAGTTAGTGGTAAGTCCGTTTTTTAATAGTTTGCATTTTACGAGTACATTATCAAATAATGAAATAATACCTAAGAGCCAAAAATAACAAACTCCATCTTTATTTACACTGTGTTCCGTCGTAATTTGCGCCTGGCATTGCGGCGTTGTCAGATTTTATTTTACTTCGCTTTTCTCTAAAAAAATGCCGTTTTGACCCCCATGTTATATTAAACTTTTTCTCTATCATCCATTCAAATAATGACTATCATAACGTTTACACCCTGTATAACATTCACGTCTTTGTAACTTGTAACGCGAATCGTGAAATAACATAAAAGATTCTATAACTGTTCTATCAGCAAAGCATCCTACTCTTTGTATATTCAGGTACAGGAAGAAGGATAAAAGAACACAAAGGCCGCTGTGGAGAAGAAACGACCAAATGTTCACGAGAAACATTAGAATGATGAAAACAGAAATCATCCCACTTGAGTCCGACAGAGACCAGCTCTACTACAAGAACAGTGCATGCTATTGCGGACGACACAGATGTTCTCAAGAAAACGTCAGGGTTGATATCTTGAAGATAGAGCGGTCGCCAAGGGAAACTTCTTGTCGCGAAGACCAGCGCGAGAGGCTTCCAGATGTCAATGATGATATTATTGATAAGCTGTCATGTTTGCACAATGGTTTGATGATGAAAAGTGAACAATGGGAAAATAACTCCCAGAGTTCACTTTCTTCAGCGACTCGCAGGTAGTTCCAATAGAAAATACATCTTCGATACCACTTAATAAAAAGGTAGGGGTATTGCATAAGCCCCTTTTGGAAAAAATGCGCTCCAAACGTACTAACGACGTGTTTACAATAAAAAGTGTAGATAACAAAAACAAACTCAATATATCATGTAAGAGTTATTTCAGCTTGAAGTATGGCCAAGCTAGATGATTTTTTGACGACTAAGAAAAAGGAGGCCGCTCCTATACTTGATTTGTCCAAATCGGCCGCCAGCAATGAACAGGAATTCAGGAGGTTGCTGGAGAAGGTTCCAGAGTTCAAGATAAAGCCTGAAAGAGTGCTTCCAGAGCAAATAAAGATACGTGAGAAGCACTTTCGATTCAAAAGCAGGTAGGTTCAATATTAGTCTTTGTATTATTTCTTTTATACCAATGCAGCCGCATAGACAGAAGCCTAAATACCAGGACACCGCAGCTACTATGAGGAGCGTAAAAAACTTTATTATTTCGATTTTTGAACTCAATAGGCTTATTATTTTTTTATTACTTAGCTTATCTCGACACCCAATGGACAAAGGAGCGGTCGTATCGGCCAGTTCTGGATGTAGGAAGTGTGACACGGTTAGGATGGGATGCCGAAGTCAGGCGGATCTGTCTAGTAGGCACGTCACACGGCATCATCATGGAGGAAAGCTCTGAGCAGCAAAGCCCGTTGACATCGCGGTAGAAGATAGCTAGATCACCGACGGGCTGTCCGTGTGAAAGGGCCTCGAGTCTGTCCGTTAGAGAATAGTCACCAATCAGTCGCACAGCTCTTCTCTGAACAACATAGAGCATGGATAATGTAGTCGGGGCGGCAGCGCCCCAAACATGTCAGCAGTACTTGAGACTTGTACAGAGAGAGGATGTTATGTGAAGAAAAATACTTCTCGGCCCTAAACAAAAAGCCCGGCTTTTTCCCAGTAGCTGCTGCAATTGCAGAGATGTGTTCGTTTCAGGTCAAGTCCTCGGTTCTTGTTAGTTGAGGTACAGTAATGTGTTTCGGAAGCATTAAACTATACCAGGTTGTTGTGTCTTTAAGCAGTGATAACCTTCAGATCTCTCGTCTCAGGGGAAGTCGCTGTCAAGATTTTTCAGCAAATGGTAGTGAGAGACTCAATAAGTCTGCTCACGTTTTCTCGTTCATATTGTGATGTAAGTCTAAGTAATGGTGAAAATTAATTTTTCTGTAAATAGAACTTTCGGGTAAAGCGCAACAATGAAGAAAACATTAATAAATCCCGATAATTGCTTTGAACGCAGCGAATGAAAAGTAAATCACTTTTTCATATGGGCATAGTGACTAATTGATATACCTTGACTGAGCTATAAATAAGTCCGCAACCGTATTACATATTTTAAAAAGGGTCATTATAGGTTTGTTCCTAGTTCCTACAGTGGTGGATGACTGTGTCTAGGATCCGGCCGTGCGACTCAAGTACGAGGGACGTCTTTTAAGTTTTGCATATGGAAATAAAGCAACACGGTAGGTAGGTAGTTTTAAATGACTTTATTGTTTTTCGAAGTATTCTCCACGAAGATTAATACACATCTACATGCGCTCAAACCAATTTTCGAAGCACTTATTCCACTCCTTTGCTGGCAGATCCAAAACGGCATTTTTGAATGCGTCAACTGCTTCTTCGGGTGACTGGAACCTTTGACCGCGCAGTCTGTTTTTGATTTTCGGGAAAGTAAAGAAATCGTTAGGACTTAGATCGGGACTATATGGAGGATGGTCCAATAATTCCACGTTTTCTTCCGTTAAATACTGCCTTGTTCTTTGGGCTTTGTGCGAGCTTGCATTGTCTTGGTGGAGGATGATTCTTCTTTCGGGGTTGATTTTTCGAAGCTCGGTGACGACTTTTGGCAAACAAGTGGTGGTACATAAATCCGCAGTAACAGTTCTTTGCTCATTAAGAGGAATTGTCGCGACCATCTTTTTCGAAACACTTCTAGAACGGATGACTTTTGTTGGCTTTTCTTCACCTTGAAACACCCAAACAGCCGACTGTCGTTTATTTTCTGGTTCATAACAGTAAATCCACGATTCATCACCACTAACAATGCTGTACACATTTTTTGAGTTTCCGGAATTGAAACGGTCAAGCGTTTTTTGACACCAATTAACCCTGGCTGCTTTCTGCTCTTCAGTCAGCAGGTGGGGTATCCAACGAGAAACTAATTTTCTTACTCCTAATTCTTCATGTAAAATTTTTTGAATTGAGGTATTTGACATCTTCAAGGACGCCTCAATCTCGCGATATGTCACATGTCTATCTTCAATGATGAGTTTGCGCACAGCATCGACGTTTTCCTGGGTGATTGCCGTTTTTGGTGCATCCACCCTGGGATCGTCGCTAAGACTCACCCGTCCACGTTTAAATAGTCCATACCAACGGGAAATTGTCGACTGATGTGGCGCTTCGTTGCCGAAAACAGACAACAGACAGTAACTCAGCAAGGCATTCCTTGTTGCGATAATTGTCTCTGAAAGTTGTAATAAATTATGGCGCGAAAATGTTCTCGGTTGAGTTCCATTTTTCCAATGACTTGGTGACACTTAAAAACTCACTGTAGTGAGAACACTGCACGTATTGTTGTGAAACTTTGAATTTAAGTTTACTAAGGAGTGAGGTTAAGATTCAGTACTGACGTTCGATCCGCGCGGCCTATGTTTCTATATGCAAAACTTAAAAGACATCCCTCGTATATATAGCGTAGCAGAGTGAACGGAATTTGTGCGGAGGGATCTTGGACACTATCACTGACATTTTGTCGTCAGCTGTACGAACAGGGCTTATATCGATGTTTTACATTATTTTGGTTTTTTAATTATGTAGGTTTTCCTATAAAATATCACATTTGTACTAGCTGACTTACATTCACTACAAGCTCACTTTGTAGTAGGCGAAAAACGAACTAGTGGCCCATTAGCGGCTACCCAGTGCACCAGTTGTCATTTCATCGTTATTTTTGACATTATATAGGTTCTTACATAATAACCCTGTGCTTCTCAAAAGACCTTTCCATATCCTGGAGATCTCGCATTCAACTTATTCAGGTAGCAGATATACGTCCAGAGAAGTAACCAAGATACCAAGAGATAAAAAATGAACTGAAATCTGAAGTGCTTTATTTGCAATCGTCACTTCTATGCAGAAAATCGAGGCTAGCTGAGGTTTTTAATATCAACTGTGATCGGAACTGTTGAAAAATAATCTTTCTGGAGGTATACTCCCAAGCAGATTTTTGGTAATAATCATCCAAATCCGTTTTTTGACCTTAACTGCTGGCATACATTTTTTTATCTCGTTTCGACTTTCTCGTACACCTCATAAAAAATATAAAAGGAACACAAAAAAGATGTCACAGACTAATAGGCACAGTGTTAATAAAACATGGATATTGTACTGTCTAGTGTTTCGGAATCGAAGATAATGGGCTACCATGATTCTAACTGAATTTCTCTTCATGAATATAAATCCGATGTCGCCATTCATATAATCAGATGTCAAAATTATCTTGGTAGAGGTTTTGAAAAAAAGAAGTAATCTCGATATTTTTAGCATTACGCAGCTTTAAAAAATTTCACTATTTTGGATCATGGGTCTTTAAATTGCTAAGAGCCTATTTCCAAGGGTTTGACAGATAAACATTATTATATTCGATGGTATCATTTTTCACTGAGTTACACTAAAAGATAGTGGAATGATCTGAAAATTATAATTCTTTTAGCAAGCGTGACACAAAGGTACTGAAAGAAAAATATGCTTTTATGGACCCTTTGCCAGTGGAAATGAAAGGTTTGAAAGTGGACGACTTGGCAGCTGTTTCTATCGATTGGAAAATGCTGACCACTATGCGTCCCAAGAATAAAGCTGAGGAAAATTATTTTTCTAGGTAAAATCATAGTATGATGTTTCAAATTCGACTCTCACTATTGGGATCTTCAAAACGGTAAGAGATATGACGTCGGTTAAAAGATGGCAAAGTTGCGCATTTAGGTAACTAAGAAAATGTCACTTAGAGATTAACACAATTTCGAGTATTTCCGAATGTAGAAATTGATTTTCCAAAAATCGTTTTTATTTCTTTCTGTCTTTCTATTTGTATTTCGTGTTTCGTCTCTTGCCGTGAATAGGGTTTTTAATTACAACAATGTATAATATATCATGCGTTGACATTGCCAAAACTAATATTTTCAGAGTTGGGTTTGAAAATGGCAGTTTATCACGTGTTTATCGAATTGAGTCACTAATGCTTCAGTTTTTGCAAAGCGTTTTTAATATACTAAGTGACATATAAATCCGAACACCCAGTTTAAATGGTTTTATTTTAATAAAATTTTGTATAAGTACTTAATGAAGCATAATAAGTAAATGATAAAAATTTCAAAATGATTGCACTGCTTTAAAGCCCTTTGACCTTTAATAATGTGTGGATGCACCCTGATGTGCTACGCATTCTCCAACGCGCCTAGGCATGCTTCTGATCAGGTGGTCTATGTCCTCCTGTGGTATCTCATTCCAGGCAACCACCAACTCCTCTCGAAGTGCTTCTAGAGTCTGAGGAGGACGTTGCAAATTGAGCAATCTCCTACCCATCATATCCCACACGTGCTCAATTGGGGATAAGTCGGGAGATCTTGGTGGCCATGGTAACAATGTGACATCATTATGTTGAAAGAAGTCTATTGTGACTCTTGCAACATGTGGTCGGGCATTATCTTGTTGGAAAGTTGGATCTGCCAGGGTGTCAAGATAGGGTAAAAGATGGGGTTCCAGAACTTCGTGGATATAACGCTGCACGTTCATGTTACCTCTGATGAAGATTAAAGGTGACCTGGAACCATAAGCTATAGCACTCCAAACCATAACTCCAACAGTGTGATGAACATGTCTTTCAACAAAAAACTGTGGATTCCTCCTTTCACCACGTCGCCTTCTAACCCTGGCACGACCATCGTGCATGCCTAAACAAAATCGAGACTCGTCACTAAAGACAATACTGTTCCATTCCTGATCCCAGAGTGACCGTTGTCTGCACCACTCAAGGCGATTACGTCGGTGTTCTCGAGTTAAAGGGAGGACCCAGTGTGGCCGGTATGAAAACAAGCCAAAACTTCTCATTCGTCGGTAAACACTTCGCATGCCAATAGGTCTTCCGTGTTCTGCAAACCATTCATTTGCAATGGACCTGGTAGTGGAGAAACGGTCCCTTAAGGCCAATAATCTTAGGCGGCGATCTTCACGGTCTGTTGTTCTACGGCGGCGTCCAGTGCCCCTTGCTCTTTGCGTACGGCCTTCTCGAAGCCATGCCTGACAACACCTAACCACAGTGTCTACACTTCTTTGCACTCTAACTGCAATTGCCCGAAAAGAAAGTCCAGCTTCCCGAAGTCCCACTATACGGCCCCTATCAAACTCACTAAGTTGGCGAAATCGTACAGGTCTCCGTACTCTAAAAAAAAGCAGTATAAAAACCGGAATGTCCAACTGATAAGGCTGAACATTTTTTCACTTGTTATTTACAGTAAGATAAATGCATTCACCAACTTTTATTAAAATAAAACCATTTAAACTGGGTGTTCGGATGTATATGTCACTTAGTATACATTTCTAAGTTTGCCCTTTCATCGACCATAAAAAGCATTATTTTAGCACAACATGATTCATCGGCAGTAGTTTAATAGCATTTTAATGCAAGATATGTACATCGGTTTAGATATGGTGGATATGAAATCTGCTTAGGCAGCCGCGACATCGTCAAGTCTTTGATTCGCTCTACATAAAGTAATAATGTTTCAATGTTTTCAATACTACCCTTAAATAATATGAAACATTTGTAGCAATATGTTGTTCCTAGTTCGATGAGTTAAGATCAATTAATAGGAAGATTAAGACATTTGGAGTTTTATAATATCAATACATGTCATAATATGTATAATCCCACACCATTAAAATCGGAAATACCTAGTTCAGTCAAACTAGAGGAATCATTGGCCGATGATATTGTGGAACAAATGACACCTATATTATCTAGGCTGACTTAGGAAATACTGTTTTTTAGAAATAACTAAGGTTTGGTCAAGTCAATTCGTGACACATCACACATTTTAGGATAAGGAAAGCTAAAGTTGATGATTGAGGGCAAGAGACGGTTTCTTTCTCCGATTTCCGGAAATATTAGGAATTGCGAAACTTTTCGTAATCATCTAGTTGCTTCCATTCAACCGACATCTATCTCTTACCGTTTCCGAAATCATGGTTAGAGTCTAATTTGAAACACCAGGTAAGTTGCAATATTTCTCACATTCGTTTTCTTCATCGTCTTCTTTTGACTCGGGCATTTATAAGATGGATAGACCATGGAAGGCCACCTTAACAAACAAGCAGTTATTATTCCTTTATTTACTGGTTAAATGAAACGAGCAAACTATTAAGTAAGACCTTGTTTTATTCTGTAACTTATACAACCTTTTTGTTGCACAGTTAACCATTATTTATTGAATTTACATTTTATTAAACTCTTCTGGACACAAACTAAAGTTGTCTAATGTCTACTCACATTACTGGAGCTACATATAAAGGTATTTTTAAAATAAAACATTAAATACTTGCAATAATGTATTCTCAAAAAAAATACTCAACATTACTAGAACACTATCTTAAAACTAAGAGCATATCCGTGAAAATGATTTAAATATAATTGTAGCATCGAATAAATTGTCAACAGAATAAAACAAATTTGAAATCAACCAAAATGATCTTCTCGTGAGTCCGTTCCTTGTGAGATTAAAATGTTCAAGATTGTGTTAAAAATCCCCAATTCAGTAAATTAATGCTGGGATGGTACAATTTAAAAACCGATTTTGCTGTGAGCTCGTATTATAATTTCAACGTCGACGATCTGAGTCAACAAAGTGAGGCATCGACAGAATAACCAGAAATCGATAGTCCACCCGCCTCAGTACAGCTTGTCACCTTGTACCACATATAAACATGTTTTGAAACTGGATAAAAACCCTTTAACATGTTATCTCTCCATTTAAACTAAAGAAAACATGAATTTTGTAGATTGGTAGAACTAGGAAAGCTTCAGCTCAAGAGCAGAGCACATGAAAAGAGACAAGCCCAGTTTGGATCGCAAATCAGGAAAAGTAAAAATAAAGCAGGAATCTTAGAAACAAGGGCTATTTCTTGTATGGAGTGTGGCGAGGAATTTTGTAATGGTTAGTGCTGTCTATACAGGGTGTAAACGTTATGGTAGTCATTATTGAAATGGGTAATAGGGGTGGTCAAAACAAGTCAAAATGTTCGCATGACCCATGGTCCAAAAGTCAATAGATTTTTGTCTAAATAGCTTTAAAGCTTACAACTTTAAGTGCTTAATGTCTACCACAATCACCACAATCGTACTAATTTTTATAATCCAATCTAAAACGTTTTTAAATTGGGTAATTAACAAATAAATGGCATTCAGTTTTTCTAAGTTAAGCCAAAATTTGTAGTCAGTAAGTAAGTTTCATTAAATTAAATATTTAAAACACACATGACAACAGCGCGTCGGTGATCATCACTCTTATCAAAACGGCAATAGATCGCAAACGGTAACAGTGGTTAGTATGTTGTTTTATTTTTGTTCGCGTACGTCGTCGCGAAAAAAATTTTAATGCGGCTGAAATAATAAATGGACAACTTCAAGTACCTAGAGTAAGAAGAAACTGGGTTCGTCGTAATGAAGCATTTATGGAAAGTGGAGGACGACATTTTGAACACCTTCTTTAAATACAAAACAAGTGCAGTGTGCGTTTTCAAAAGAAAAACAATGTATGTATCAAAATTGTGTTTTCTATTTATAAGTGGATTTTTTTAATACGTTCAATAAACTTTCACACACCAGGTGAAGCGCTGAGACAGTTAGTGGTAAGTCTGTTTTTTTAATTGTTTGCATTTTACGAGTACATTATCAAATCATGAAATAATACCTAAGAGCCAAAAATAACAAACTGCATCTTTATTTACACTGCGTTCCGTCGTAATTTGCGTCTGGCATTGTGGCGTTGTCAGATTTTATTTTACTTTAAAGTCGCTTTTCTCTAAAAAAATGCCGTTTTGCCTCCATGTTATATGAAGCTTTTTGCTTCTTTGAACCCCCTGTATCACCCATTTAAATAATGACTATAATAACGTTTACACCCTGTATAAGTAATAACTATATCAGTAAAATAAACTTGTAAGCTGCTAACATCGTTTGTAATTTAGCAAAGATCATATATTTCAATGATTTCAAACTGCTCATCACTTTAGAAGTGCCGTATTTATTGTATATTGCATTTCGGAAGCAGTATTCTTAAAAAAATGGACACCTCAAGAGACTTCTTAGCTTAAATATTTATTTTCTGTGTGTCATCGAGAGATGAGCATTGATAAGTTCAAAAATTATACTGATGTTAATCTATACCTTTAGGTAAAAGCTGCACAATATTTTCCTACGACTCCTTTGCAAGGATCCCTGAATTGCCTCAGGTTACACAGAAGGCGGCTGCTCCAAGCACAAGCTCGAAGGGTAAGATCAAAATAAAAAGGAAGTCACGCTCTAAGAGCAGGGCTAAGAAGAGAGACAGGAAGAAGTCCAAATCTCCTTCAAAAAGGGATGCTTCCAAGACCAGCCGAAAAAGTGGAAAGAAGTGATTCGGTTATCATGAATATGAGTATTCATTTAGAAGGGCAACAAGTGTAGATTTATGCCAATAAAGCTTGTGAAAGAAAAAAATGATAGTATTATCTTTCTTTCCTAATTTTTGAGTTCCAAACGGCACGTGAACCCGCTGAATGCTTACGGGAATGGGGTTCAGCTCATTTTTTTGAAGACAGTATGTTATAACGGGTGATTCATTTAGAGGTACTTTTTTGGTGTGGCTGTAATTGCTTATGGCGCATGCGTCATGACAAATAATTTGACATTTTCTGTTTCAGTATTGTTCGACATTTCATTATGGAAAGACTTAGTCCAGCACAGCGTCTACAAATAATTCAGCTGTACTACGAAAATTAACGTTCTGCGAGAAGTGTGTTTCGTGAACTTAGAGCCACTTATGGTGTATTGATCGACCAGCCAAAGATTGCTAGGGACGAAAGGGGGAAATGCGATGAAAAAACCTTACCATTAGACGATTTTATATGGAGTCATAGGCGGAGATCGGAGAGACTTGAATTATTAATTGAATTTATATTTTATTACAACTGGTAGTATTAATATTTTTTTGCGATTCATAATGACGTGATACCAAACATACATTATAAGAAATAAATATACACAAACACTGAATATTGAGAACAAAATAAATATATTTTTTAGGCAACAAGTAATATTCCTATGTACGCATTATGATTGAACAGCAAAACAAATTATGCATTCTTCTAAAATAGAATACAACAAGTCAAAAATATCTGACTGAATAGAAAAATATAGGAAAACAAAAAGTAATTTCTTGATGAAATAACCCATAAACAACACATAGAATTAGACTTTCTACTGAGATACTAAAAGCCACAAACCAATAGTATAATAAATGAATATCTAAAAATTCTAAAAGGTAGCCAATCTAGTATAGTTTCAATCCTGATTAGAGTCATGATCACTGTCTGAGGAACTGTCATTGCTATCACTTTCACCTCCTATGTTGATTATTATTTCTTCCTGTATTTCTTGAATGAGACTGTCTTTTTCCCAATATTCATCTTCAATTTTTATAACATGTCCAATAACCTTTTGCCAGTCACTGGCACTTACTGAAGCGATGGCCTTATTAGAAATTTCATCTAGTTTTTTTATAGTAAATTCGCCGCTTGTATTATGGCTTCTAATGAAAAATTTTACTTGTGCCCAAATCATCTCTATGGGATTAAACTGACACATATAGGGTGGCGTTCGAAGTGGGGTGTGTCCGAAACTTCTTATTAAATTATCTATCTTATAATTTTTCTCATCAGATGGTGGCCTATGTAGACAAGCTATTTCATAAAGCTCCATTTTTTTAGCATTAGGATCATGCTCTATACCTTTTTTGCTCAACCACGTGATGATGTCTCTTTTTAGAGAAGATCTAGTTGGAGGCTTGTCTTCCAAAGCTGAATGGTAAGGTGCATTATCCATTATTATAATACTATTAGGAGGAATGTTAGGAAATAGTTTTTCAGTAAGCCACTTCGTGAAATTTTCTTGGTTCATTTGACCGTGATAATCACCAGTGGCACAGCCAGCCTTGAAAATGAGACAGGCTCCAGGAACAAAACCATCTTGCGAACCCGCATGAACAATTATAAGTCGTCCTGGAAATGAATAAATAGCCTCATTTTAGTGTTATTTTAAGTTTGCCAACACCTTTTTGAATCACTATGTATAAAAAACATATTTTTGAGAAAAAAATACTTGCAAGGGATTATGTATTCAATTAGACAAATTAAATGAGCACTTATTAAGAATATTCCAAAATTGAGAAAAATGTATAATAAGCAAAATCGAGGTGAAAGAAACTTTATTACCTGTAGAACTTATATTGCTCAGGACACCCATAATTTCTTCGCTTTGCCAGCATTTCTTGAAAGTGAGGTCATTATCAACCCAAGTTTCGTCCAAATAAATAATATGCCTTCCTTCTTCCCGGAACTTTTTAATAGACCTAAGATACTTGTATCGCCAATGTAAAATACTGGGTCTTTCCATTAGTAATTTCCTTTTGTTGTGGCATTTACGCCAGTAAAATCCTTTTGCTTTTAAAAGCAGCCTCAACGATTCTTTACCAAATGGAAATTCCATTTCTTCCTTCAGTTTGATTAGAAGTTTACTACAAGTAGGTACCACTTTAAAATCACAGTAAAATTTTTCTATCATTCTCCGAATAATGGAAAAATCGACTCCATCAATTTTTTGGATCACAGAAGGGCGTGATCTCTTTTTTCCGGGAGAAGCTAAAGGCTGTGTGGAGGTTGCATTTTGCCTGTCTTTATCTTCTTTTCTAATTTTACTTATAGTTCGTTCACTAACACCCGTATAATATGCCGCCCTTGCATTTCTAGCTACCAGTGGATAAACGAAAGTATTGTTAGCCGCTTCTGCATCGCAAGCACGTATCACGTTTGCTATTATTTCCCTTGCCTGGCTGTGAATAACTTTCCCATGCTTGAATTCCATTATCACCACTAAACAGTAAATTATATTTTCAAAGTATTTGCCAACTGCCTACGCCTATGGGAGTAGGTTTATAAATGACCGTGCCATCGGCACGTTATTCTAGTTTCAGATAAGATAAGAGTTTTGGACCAATCAGCGACCGGATGTTTACCTGCGGCCTGGGTTTTCCAGCTACATTGCCAAATTCAGCGGAACAATTCTATATCTTAAATATGTTAATATGTATGGACCGCATTTTATGTAGAACATCTGACAACTTCGCAATTTTTTGTCCGCATTCTTTCGGCTTGCAATCTTTCGCTGGTCCAACTATACATAATCGGCCCACCGAACGCACAATTCGCCGCACAATACCCGACCAAATAGACCACATCTAGCACGCAGTGAAGAAAATATAGCTGCGGTAGCTGAGAGTATACGTGAGGACCGTGAAGAATCGATTCGGCGCCGTTCTCAACAGCTTGGCTTGTCGTATTCAACAACTTGGCGTATTTTACGTAAGAATCTTAATTTGAAACCATACAAAATTCAACTCGTTCAAGAATTGAAGCCGGCCGACCTTCCAAAGCGTCATCGTTTCAGTCTTTGGGCTCTTGCACGGCTTGAAGAAGATCCGATGTTTTCGAGCAAAATTTTGTTTAGCGATGAGGTCCATTTTTGGCTTAAGGGCTACGTTAATAAACAAAACTGTCGTATTTGAAGAACAACCCGAAGTGGTTCAAGAGCTGCCATTACATCCAGCGAAAACAACGGTTTGGTGTGGTTTATGGGTCGGTGGAATCATCGGTCCCTATTTTTTTTAAAATGAGGCCGATCAGAACGTAACTGTGAATGGTGCTCGTTACCGCGCCATGATAATGGATTATATAGCTGCCTGAAATTGAAGCCCGTAATCTCGATGACATTTGGTTCCAACAAGACGGCGCCATTTGCCACACAGCCCGTGCAACCATGGCTTTATTGCGAGAACATTTCGATGAACACTTAATTTCACGATTTGGACCAGTGAATAGGCCACCTAGATCATGTGATATCACACCTCTTGACTTTTTCCTTTGTGGCTACGTCTACATTGATAAGCCCAATACGATTGAGGAATTAGAAGCCAACATTACGCAGGTCATTCGCCAAATTCCAGTCGAAATGCTCCAACGTGTCATCGAAAATTGGAACTTTAGAATGGACCATCTCAACCGCAGTCAGGGCCAACATTTGAAAGAAATAATATTTAAAAAATAAATGTCAAAAATAGTTCTTTTCTTTAATAAAAAAGATTTGACAAGAAAAAAGAATTTTATTATTTTATTTTGTTGCTGAAAAAAGTACCTACAAATGAATCACCCATTATTAGAATCGCGAAATATTTAGAAAAATATTGAGATGTTATATGACATGTACATACATCACAATAATATCTTTCATTTCCGCTAATCCGCGGCCCCGCTATAACTTGAAAGTACCGGTCGGATTTTGATGAAATTTTCACGCAAGCTTACTACTACGCCATGGATGAAAAAGTCTCTTTAAAATGAGCTCATTAGCGGCGGATCTAAGGGCAAAAAGGGGAGAAAATAAATATACCTCAAACTTCGTATTTTCACGTTTCAGATGGTCCTGATAATCTTCATAAAAATGTTTTTATGAAGATATAGAGATTGAAAATTGGGGGTCGGGGCTGTAGAGAGTAGTGGACTGTAAATTATTATAGTATTAGGCACAATATCACACATCTATTACCAGGTTCGACCACTCTCGCAGTGGAGTTGCTTTTACACTTTTGAATAAAAAAGTGTATAGTCTATTTTATGAAAAATGAATGCATTCGGGTAAGTGCTAGATGGCAGCACCCGAGGAATATCTTTGGAAGTTTGCAGCATCCGGCCAACGTACATATAAGGTGTTTTTTATTTTTATTATTCACCTAGGTGGATTAATGATACTTCTCAATAGAACATTGAGGTGAATAATGGTGATTTCTTGGGTTAGTGGTGAAAAAATTATTTAATGTGACAGCTAAGTGAAACCTGTTATCAAAGTGATAAAGCTATCCCATGCTTATTGCTATTCAGCATAACGCTGGACAGCTTTACTTTAGCTTGTCTTTTTCTATAAATCATAAATTAAGATTAGGTAAATTGTATCAGGGGTTCCCTAGGGCTCAATTCTGGGGCCTCTACTTTTCATAATTTACACTGCCGATTTTTGAACTGCTTTTTCACACTGTTCCATCCTATCATCATGTCAACAATATTTTACAAAAATCTTATAGAAACTTAAAAATTGTATATACGAAAAAACTGTATATTAAGCTGCCTGGATAGTATGACAAAGGTACGTCTCTAAAATGTTCAAAATTATTGCTGTCGATTTGTTTATAGACTGTGAAAATATGATTACATATCAGCAAGCTTGAAAGAAATTGGTTAGCAGAATGATGAAAAAACTGTAAAATTACACTTCAACCCATAAACTAATACTGACTCCCACTCCATCTTATTTATTTGAAAAATATAACGGTCTAAAACTGTATAACCAGGAACAATGACACAAAAAATACAAAGTATTATTATTCAAAAAAGAATATTACGCAGGAGCGTAGACACCGTCATATCAGCCGAGGCCTCCAGAGCAGGGGACTCTAACTAAGAAAAAAAATGCGTAACGTGTTTCTCACAATCTTAAGTTTTTAAAAAATAATTTGGTTAGGATATACATAGTAGCATGCTTCCTATTTTTAACCTTCTAGATTACAACTGCAACAGCTGAAAGGGGCTTTTTGAAATTAAAAGTAATTTAAATATTCAAGGACTTATATGAGGCAACTCAGACTATCAGCTTGGTACTATCTTTCTTCAGAGATGGTGGATGGTTTGACAAGAATTTTTCGAAAAAAAAAGTGCAAGTAGATGGACTTGGTACTTCTCAAGCATTCGCCTATGCCTATTTTCAAGTTTTCCATAAGTAAGGATAAGCCTTGCTAAAGAGACAAAATGTTTGTGCTCCATGATGTTTTTGAATATGTCCTAACCTGAAGCAATCAGAAACGATTAAAACAATTTTTCGAAATTTTTAAAAATTGTAACCTCTCTACAATAATATGTTTGATAACCCTTTGGCACGATCTGAAGGCTATTTCATTTTCTACTCATAACACCGCTACCATTTAATAAATTTTCAAAACAATGGACTTGGACTTACGTGTTGTAGACATCGCAAAACAAAAAACATTTATCTGAATTTTGCATTCACACCTTACAATTTTATCTCAAGATATTTTGGCCCTTCTCTACTTTCTGTAAACCCATGAAGGAAATGAAATATCACGATAAAGGTCCTTAGCAATGACGTAATGTAACATAAAATGTCTCGTTCATTACATTCCCGTTGTCAAAAATATTGGTTTCATTCAAGAATACAGTGTTGACCTTCGAATGACCTTGAAAGTCGTAGTGATGATCACGTTTAACAGGTTAAATGCCATGGCGGTCCCATGGGACCGCTTGACATCGGGCCTATTACGCCACGGCGGTCCGTACGGACCGCTCTGTATTTAATTTATTTTCACGGTGACTCCAGCCAAAGGTACATATTTAAATTCATTCTAGCGTTAGATATGGACCGCTGTGGCTTGTATGGATTATACCCATATGCCAACTTTTTGGTGTATCTTTCTTTTCAATAGTTATTTAATTTTTTTGTATTCACATCATTTATTTCCTACTAAATCGACGCAACCACTTTGACAAAAACAAGCAAAATTGCAGTGAAAATGCGTATATATATACAAAGAGAAAATAGGAAAATAATGAACAAAATCCGCAAAAAGAAGTAAAGTGGATTCGAGAAGACAATAGGATAGGTAACCCGAGCGATACGTATTTCTGCTGGTTGGCTTCATCAGGCCCGAAATAAGTGCACATTTGTAACGACGAAAGTAGATACACATACCGATACATCCGGAAACGGGTGTAACCTGCGGAAACGAAGATGGAAAGTGAAAAACATCACACACGAGGTAAACTACAAGAGCCAACCTACACATTGTAATATAAAATGGAAAGAAGACCTCGAATTTTCAAGGCGACATCTAACCACAACCACGCGGCCGGTTATAGCCACTTACTGTGGTACTTCAAGCCCAAAGGATCTACAATGAGAAAATGATCATGCCCTATTTTCCTATTTTTTGTTATATACCTTTCTCCGCATGACCATTTTCTCTTTGTATACCCTTTGGGTTTGATGTTCCACAGCAAGTGGCTATAACCAGCCGCGTGGTTGTGGTTAGATGTCGCCTTGAAAATTCGAGGTCGTCTAGCCATTTTATACTACAATGTGTAGGTTGGCTCTTGTTGTGGACTTGGTGTGTGATTTCCTTCTTTTTGCGGATTTCGCCCATTATTTTACTATTTTTTTTGGTATATATACATAGGTGAAAAATTAAAGCTTCCGCCTTTTGTTGGGTGCTTCGACAAAATTTAAGCAAAGAGGACTCTTTATACTTTTTTTAATTCTCTCTAGCTTTCAATGGACTTTGCCATCATCATCAGGAGCTGCAATTACAATGATAACAGTAGCAACAAAGGTGTAAAATGAATTTAAATTGACTTAACTGACTGGAACGAATTGTGAGCGTGTGCCAAACGTTGCCAAATCACTTCAGATGATGTGATTTTCAGAATGTTATGTAAGAAATTGTTAAACCGACCAGAGGCAGTTGAATAAACTATATTTTAATTAATGGGAATTTTAAATTAACAATTATTAATAAATCGTGAGAAGAGAATTATTAGATTTTGAGTGGAATGAAATTTGTTGGTGGAAAGGGCCAAAACACATATTATATTTATGGTTGTGAAAAGTCGAAATTTGGGGAGATATGTAAGTTCTCCAATTTTTCGCAGTTTAGCAGTTCCATCTTTCAACACAGACATTGACAACCTTCGGCCTTCTGTCAAAGGTTCATCTCACAAATTATTCCATGACCACCATTTTGTGCAATCATCAAGTGGCTTCACGATGTAATGCTCTAATGTTTTTTAAATAATTTTTAATCTGTTTTTAACTTGTCTTGTCATAATTTATATAATTTTGACCATTGTACCATGTATCCAGCTCTCACCATGTTACTGGACGTTTCCCTCATCCTATACGTAAACAACAATTAGCAACATCCTCACATACTACTGTAAGTTAAGTCAATTTAAATTCATTTTACACTTTTGTTGCTACTGTTATCATTGTAATTGCAGCTCCTGATGATGATGGCAAAGTCCATTGAAAGCTAGAGAGAATTAAAAAAAGTATAAAGAGTCCTCTTTGCTTAAATTTTGTCGAAGTACCCAACAAAAGGCGGAAGCTTTAATTTTTCACCTAACTGGTCTAGACGACAATGACCACGTCTCAAGTTATATATATATATATATATATATATATATATATATATATAACATCCTCACATAGTACTGTAAGTTAATTTAAATTCATTTTACGCTATTGTTGCCACTGTTATCAATGTAATTGCAGCTCCTGATAATGATGGCAAAGATCATTGAAAGCTAGAGAGAATACAAAAAGTATAAAGAGTCGTTCCTCCTTGCTTAAATTTTGTCGAAGTACCCAACAAAAGGCGGAAGCTTTAATTTTTCACCTAACTGGTCTAGACGACAATGACCACGTCTCAAGTTATATATTTATATATATTTTATATAAGTTATGATATAGGGATACAAAATATAAGATAATTTCATTTATTTATGACTTGATCCGAAGCAGTCAAGTCAAAAGTGTGAACACTGAAATGGATCATTCAGCGATTCTGAAGACGAACTGTAGTCTGAAAAAATTTTATTTTATAATGTCGCCGATGCAATATTTTTCTTGAGCCTACTATACTTTGAAGAAAGGTTTCTTGCAAGTTGAACCAAACGTTTGGCACGTTAACTCATTTTATAATTGCACGTAAAAGGCACTAACTGGAAGCAGCTACTATCAAACAGAGCATCAACGATTACTCTACCGTGGTAAGCAGTAAATTGATTTGTGCAAATAAAACAAAAATGAACAAGTCAAATCGAATCGCCAATTGGACCGCCATGGCGTGCTATGCATATGTTTCCCGCCACGCCACTGAGGTCCCTGGGGACCGCTAAACATTTTTTTGAGAAAACAGCTAAAGAGATCATAAATAAATTAATCAAACGTATTTATGCAGACTGTAAGTCATAAGCAGAACAAATGATACAAAATTGGACTTTGGCCAGATGGACATTTTTCTAAAATTTTCCTTGGCGCTTAACGTGTTAAGATCACCAATGGATGAATCTTATAACTTTGGTCTACCACATTTTTCTCTACCAAACGGATTTTTTGGGATATCTTGATATATCCATACTTTTTTAACACACGCACACACACACACACATATACAGATCTATAAGAAATATAGACGTGCTTGTCCAAATCTGTTTTTATTCAATTCCCCTAATCACATTGTAACACACTTTTTATCTCCTCATCTAATAAGTCTAAAAGCTTCTTGTCCTCTAAATTACAACGCAGGACCTGATTATAACAGAGCATAGCTTCATTCTCCCTATCTAACCTCAAATTCACCAGGCAAAGATACGCCCAAATGTCAGCATTGCGATTGTCTCGAAGATTGGCTTCTGAGAAACACTCTTCAGCGCTTAGCAGATCGTTTTGCTTGAAATACAACTGCCCTGCTTTCAACCACGTAGAAGGAGATGGGTTATACTTGCAAGAGAGTAAGACAAACTTGCGAGCCTCCTGGTCGTATCCTAACTTCTCCTCAGCCAACGCACAGTTCAGATTTACCAGGTGAATGTTCTTAGGACGATTGTAAGCCTCGAGTACGTGGTGATACTGATCTTTAGCCTCTACAAATCTTTCCAGAGCCATCAAGCAATGACCATGGAGACTTCCAACATTACAGTCAATCCCATAGTAGCTTTCAGTCTCTTGTATATGTTCCAAAGCATGTGGATATAGTTTCTTATAGTAGCAGTTAGCTGCTAGTAAATAATTCACTATAGCGTAGTGATGTTGCGTTTCATAGCCTAAAGCATATTCGACCCAATTGTACAATCTCAACTTCAAGTATATACAAGCTGCTGTGAAGAATTTGGTTTTTGGGCAGAAATCCTCGCTCCACAATAGATCTTGGATTTTGGAAATGTAATCTGATTCAGGAGCTGCTTCATCTTGGTATTTTTGAGCCATTTCCAGACTCATATCCATACCACTTGGATTCTCAGTCATTTGGTAGAAGATGTGGAGAGTGACCCAGCCTTCTAGCCATTTCTGTTCTTGAACCATCATGTTCAGAAGGCATATTTCAGCTTTGTCTTTCATGCCTAGAATAGACACATTTTGTATCTATGATTTGAGCAGCTTTAAATATAAAAAATAGCGTCGAGTAGGTTAACTCTGCACCCGATCAAATGGGGAAATCGTTTTGAAATGCACTGTGAAGGTATCTGGAATCCAAATCAAATCTCTTTGATGGAAAAGGTATGAGTTAAATCAGTTCTCTTCCAATTTAAGAATTTTACATACATTTTTTCTAGCACACGAGCAAAATCTAATTCAACAAAATTAAGGGACAAGAAAAAAATGTTCGTTGATTTTTGGCACGATGTATTTTGGTGAAAACATGGCCAGACTTTTGGAAAAACAATTTGAAGCTTTAAGACTCTATTTTTTAGCCGAAGTATCTTAGGAGCAACGGTTCTTATACAGTTCTAACAGATAGTGTAGCATTTTTGCCTTCTTCTTTTCAGTCCACGGGCTGTTAGGACATTATACGGATCAGAAAGCCCATTAATTCAATGTCCTGTTTTTTCTTTGTCATCGACCACTAATATCTCGGTAACTACAGAGAATGTAAGGGTATTTGCGAAAAATGGAATAAGTAAATCGCCTATAAGATTTTATTGCAATCTTTGAGGTAATTATTTTAGTATTTATTTTAAAAAGGTCAAAAGTTTGTTTTGGAAAACTGACCGCATATTTGGAACTTCTAATCAGAGAGGTAGGCAGATCGATCCTTTGTACTGTTTCTCCTGACCGGCAAATTCCTAAATTCGCCTTGAAGTCCCTCACAAAAAATATTTTCTGGATTCGCCACTGGTCAGTATTTTTATATTTTGTAATTAATATTTCGTGAATAAAAGAATAAGATTTCCCCAAGAAATGAAAGGTGTCACAGATATCCAATAGTGACAACGAAAGAAAAAAAAGGGTTTTTCATTTTCAACCTGATTATAGGACGTTTTGATACAAAAATGTTGCTCCTTTTTTTTCTTTCAAATTCTTACAAATCGATCCGGAGAAGCTGTACACAAAACTTCCCTCAAAGATTGCAGTCAAATTTTATAGGAAGCTTATCCCAGTTTTCTGAAATCCCCTTGCATTTTCCGCGCCATCACTAGTTACCGAGATATCAGTGTTCGATGACAAAAGTATCCTTTTTTATTCAAAGTCCGATATCTCCACGGCAAATAATCGTAACAAGATTTTAAAAACAGGACATTGAAGCTGAATAAACAGGCTACCTGACTCATATGATGGCCTAACAGAAAAAAATATTCCAAGAACGTGGACTAAAAAGAAGGCTAAAGTTTGGTAAAAAGTTTTTCCGACCATTTTTCACCAAAATACAGCCTTTCAGAAATCACGAAAAAAATGTTCTTGCTCCCTTAATTTTTTTGAGTAGTTTATTGTTAAAAATGCAATTTTATCTAGATGGAGAATAGAGTAGAAACTTAGCTACAAACTATACAGGGTGTTCATTTAAAAACCTCCCACCACGGATTTATCGAAAACCACTGATTAAAAGAAAAAACGCCTATACACGTCAAAAGAAGGCTAAAGTTTGGTAAACAGTTTTTCTTGTATGAGAACCGTTGCTCCAAATTGTTCGCCTAAAAAACGTGAAAACTAAAAATCTCAAAGTTTCATAATGCTTTTATTAGTGTCTGGATACGACCATTTTTCACCAAAATACAGCCTTTCAGAAATCACGGAAAAATCTTTTTTCTTGCTCCCTTAATTTTTTGAGTGGTTTATTAAAAATACAATTTTATCTAGATGGAGAATAGAGTAGAAACTTAGCTACAAACTATACAGGGTGTTCATTTGAAAACCTTCCACCACGGATTTATCGAAAACCACTGATTAAAAGAAAAAGTTTTGTTAAGGAGGACAACTTTTTAACCAAAAACTACTTCACCCCCTTTCACCCTCTGCCCCCCAGGGTCATCCCATAAAAAATTTTGAATGACAAGGGGTATCGAGTAATAGCTGGTTTGAAAGGTCTTTCAAAATCCATTATTTTGACGTTTGATTTTAAAAATCGGTCGATTCGTTTTAATGAAAATTAGAAAAATCTATATTTACCTTAATTTGTTCAAATAGAAAACAAAAACACTCGAAAATGTCACTTTTTATTTCAATAAGTGTTCGAAATGTCCGTTATTGGCCAACCAGTGATACAGGCGATGTTCAAATTCCTGACGGACATTTTCAAAAACACGTTGTGGGATATCATGGCAGCTTTTGATGATGAGTTGACGAAGTTCATCCAAACTCTCAGGTTCGGGAGTAAACAATAAACAATAGATTTCAAATGTTAGGAAAAATTAAATGGCTTCAAATCAGGTGACTTGGCAGGCCATTTTATAGGACCTCTTCGCCCTATCCATTTATCTGGAAACTCGTCGTCTAGGCATTGCCGAACCGGCTTCTTGCTGGAAATGTATTTCAGCCCCATTAATACCTATGCAAATTTATCTTCCCCAAGCTTTAGGCCCGTATCGTCAGTCGTCCCTACAATAAATTGTAGGGCGCGTTTATGGCCTCCTTGATTATCATACTCCTTTCTCTCCTTCAAAAATTTCTAGATTACACTTGTCCCGTGTCAGCGTCAGCGCTCTCCTATTGTGAAGATATGCTTTCTTTTTAAATTGTAGGAAATTTCAGGCTGATAAAACATAATATAACTCAAAAGCAAGCACAATTTGATGCAAATAGATGTTTGTGACATAACCTCAAAATAGAGCGCTGACACGGAGAAGTAGAAAAATATGACAATCAAGGAGGCCATAAAGGCGCCCTACAATTGTAGGGACGACTGACGATACGGGCCTTAAACGTGGCTGTGAGCAAACTGATTTTGGGTACCATAAATTAGAATCACTTCCACTCTTTCGGCTAGTGTGTAAACCATTTAGGAAGAAAAATCTGAATCAATAAATCATTTTTCACTATCCCAAGATTGTCACAAAGGTAACTGACAGCAAATTAAATTCTTTCTTTCCCTTAGCAACAAATAACTAAGCTGGTATAACAATAAATATAGTTGGCCCAGGATATCTGTGTTGATGAAAAGAATGCGGAAAAAAATTCGGGTTATGTGGTTGTTGCCACGTCTAATCTTCCGAATTGCCGTTTATGTTGGTAGTTTCCGTTTTAAATTATAAAGGAATTGTAGATTTGGGAAACCCTAACGGGCAACATTTTGAACACTTATTCAAATAAAAAAATATATCCGTGTGTTCTTGTTTTCCATCTGAACAAATTAAGATGAATAAAGATTTTTCTAATTTTCTCGAAAACGAATCTACTGATTTTAAAAAGTCAAACGTCAAAATACAGAACTTGGAAACATCTTTCAAACAAGCTATTACCCGATACCCCTTGTCATTTAAGTGGAGTAGTTATTGGTTAAGGAGCTATCCCCCTTGACAAATCTTTTGACGTGTCTCGGCGTTTTTCCTTTTAATCAGTGGCTTTCGTTAAATCCGTGGTGGCAAGTTTTCAAATGAACACCCTGTATAGGCTGTTTTGGTATTTTACTTCGTAAACCAATTTCATCCTGATTTAAAATATAAACATATTTCCATACCTTTCTCAGATAGAATAGCTCCCATCATCAACAGTCCATATCTATGATTCGGATCAATCCCCACAGTCTTCTGTAAACATTCGTAAGCGATATCAGTATTACCAAGTTCAACTTGAAATATAGCGTAATCCAACCAAAAATCGGCATTTTTTTGATCCTCGCAAATCCTTTCCATAAAATATCTGTCAGCCACTCCTACATTCCCCATTTGAACCGCTTCCCTCGCGCAAAAGTAAAGCTCATCTACCGGTAGGTGTTCCGTTTGCGGTGGATCCATCTTGCTGCAAAGCAGTTTGTTCACAGCACCATGCATTTCTGATACCAACTGGACAAAAACCTCACTTACAAGCTTAAGATTCCCTTTGCTGTTTACCACCTCCTCAGAACTGAATTTGTCGGACACAAAGGATGTTGCAGCTTTTGTAATAGAAGACACATATCTCTGATAGACCCCTATTTTCTGTAGATGCTTTACGAACATAGCATCAGTTGGCTTCTGTCTAGATAGCCCATTCTGTTGAACAAAAGCTACGTAATACTTGTTCAGATCCCTTATAATATGTGATATAGTTTGTTTGTAAATATCTTTAGCAGTACATTGTGTCAAGACAACTTTTGACGCCTCTTGTGGTAGAGGCTGTAACAGATCATACAGTTTGTTTGAAAGGTCTTCTACGTCTTCTTTAGGCACTATAGGTTCAGCCAGTTCCAACTCGACTATGATGAAACAAGGCTTTTTGTCTTCATTGAAGACTTCTAGACTAGGTTCAGGTTCAGGAGGAGGTTCTGGCTTGGGAGGGAGGAGGTCCTTCATACTCTTATCAGGAGCATCACTTCCTTTGACTTTCTTGCCCTTAGAAGATTTGGAAGTCTTGGAAGCTGTAGATTTTTCTTTCTTCCCACCTTTATCTACTTTCGCATCCTTTGCACTTAATTCTTTAGTATCTTTTTTACCCAAGGGAAGAAAGTAAGAGTCTGCAAGACCACCAAGTTTCAGTGCTTCATCGTAACTGAAAGTTTTCAACGGACATGCCAATCTGATCCTAGAAACTCCTGGATACAACAAAGCAGCTACGTCTAAGATTACCATAAGATGCAAAAAAGGCTGGTGCTTCGCTTTCATTACATCAAAGATACTAGTTTGAGATGATGCAGTTGAACTTTTCTTCTTAGCGCTCATGAAGATTTCCAAAACGACTCGTCTGTGGCGTTTGATGTGTGCTGAAAACTCGCTCATACCGTCGGCAAGTAGTAAACTCCTTTTGATCATATTGAATTGCAACTTCGGAGTTTCTTCCTCCAAAAATGGAGTGAAGTCGGTGTTTAGCTTATTGATGATACATGTAGTATCTGGGTTCATCTTGTATCTCGTTGTATTGGAATCATTCGCCATAGGCTGTGTATTGGGCCAATTTTTATAAGTATTACTAAAAGTTTTGGTTGTGTACAAAGGATTTGATAGATGTACAGGGACTTTTTGAGGGCCATCCATAGGGATCATAGCACAGACAATGTAGGATTGGTTCGCTGACATGAGTTCTGGTAGGTTGTATATTGACTCTACGGTCAAACTTAGAATGTTGGAATTTTTGAAATGGAGTTCTTGGTCGATAGAAACAGTTACTATTATTTTGGGGTGGTTTTTGTATGGTATCATTTTGTGGTCCAGACTTTTTCTTGTTGGTTTGATCAACAAAGCTTCTGTGAAAGAAGTTTTGCCGTAGAAGAGAGGTATGAAGTCGATCATGCATATTCCGTAGATTTCTGCGGCCTGGGAAGCGCTGACTTCGGTTTTGCCTCTCGTGGATAGTGATGATCGACCAACAGACGATTTTGATTTTTTGCTTTTCTTGTCAGATCCCTTATCTTCCTTTTCCTTAGCTACTAAAAAATAGTCAGATATCAGATTTTGTTGTTGCAACTCACTTGGCAAGAGAATCTATTTGATTTTCGGCTGCGCAAGCACAAACAGCTGTACACAGGATGCTTAGTACTTAAAAGGACGTAGTGAAATGGTGGGTAGAACGGGCGTATCTGTGTATTAACAAGTTCTTAATTTCATTTTTTACAGACGTACAGAATGATTTATCTAAACATGTCAAATCTTTAATATCACATATCTCAAAGACTATTGAACTGATTTTGTTGAAAGTTTGCACTACAACAAAATTACATAGGAATAACGTAACTAAAAAATCCAGCGCCAGACGCGACTTTTTTCATTCTTCTGTTTTATTCAAATCAATACAATTTAACCTGAATATTGAAACGTCTGACTATGAACAAAAAGCCAATTAATAAGCAAAATAAATTGATTGCATCTTGGTTTTTCAGTTAAGCATTCTTATTTATTAAAATATCTTTTTTTTTAGCATCATCATATGGATTGGATTCAGCTTCAATATTCCATCTAAAATCTCGATACGATCCTTTGGCGTGGAGATATCCGATTTTGAATGAAAAAGCGACCACTGATATCTCGGTAACCAGTGATGGCACAGAGAATGTAAGGGTATATAAAAGCCTGAACATAGTATCTTAAAGCATCAAAATGCTTTTTTTAGAGTCTAGATACGACCATTTTTCACCGAAATACAATCAAATCAAAAAACACCGAAAAATTGGCATTTTGTCTTGCTCCTTCATTTTTTTGAGTAGTGCATTCTCAAAAATACCAAAATGTTCATCTTTTCAATCAATCCCATGGAACAGCCCGTGTATTTTTTCAGTTGTGAGTTCTTCCTTTTATAAACCTCATCTTGGCATGAAACTCACGATGACGACAAAGAAAACTGACCGTAACTTTGGAATTTTGACCACCTCTGCCAATTTCTATAAAGTTGACTACAGCTCTTAGCACATTTCCACTTACCTTCAGCCTTCTTTCTACTCCCTTTTGACCGCTTAGCTGCACTGATATCCACTGTCTGTCCCGTGATTGCTTCATAGATGCTCACTATGCTATCATATGACCTTGTAGGGCTTTGCAAGACCTCTTGATTGACCACCAATTGCTCATAAAGCATAGGATCAAAATTGCCTTGAACTTGAGTGACAGTCAATACTGCCGGACTTGATATGAGGTGATCCAATTCTTTCATGTTGTTGGCGTCAACTAGAAGACTTGCGCTATAGTTGATTGGAATTTTTTCTTCGTCAGTAATGGGGATGGCCTCGGATTCGCCTATGTCTTCTCTGAATGTGCATTTTGTAGATATATCTGATACTGGGAATAGTCCTGCAACATTCTTTTTATATTATTATAAATTTGAATCTGCTGTGGGCTTATAAGTAGCGTCCCAGCAAAGCTTCTAATTTGGCTTCGGCCTCAGCCACATTCGGGCAAAAAATACACCTACGATCAGATATGAACAATTCACGGTAATGTCAACCTGATAGACAAAACTTGAAGCTTACCGTACATGATTACTTGTGTATGTATATATACTAAGTGACATATAAATCCGAACACCCAGTTTAAATGGTTTTATTTTAATAAAATTTTGTATAAGTACTTAATGAAGCATAATAAGTAAATGATAAATATTTCAAAATGATTGCACTGCTTTAAAGCCCTTTGACCTTTAATAATATGTGGATGCACCCTGATGTGCTACGCATTCTCCAACGCGCCTAGGCATGCTTCTGATCAGGTGGTCAATGTCCTCCTGTGGTATCTCATTCCAGGCAACCACGAACTCCTCTCGAAGTGCTTCTAGAGTCTGAGGAGGACGTTGCAAATTGAGCAATCTCCTACCCGTCATATCCCACACTTGCTCAATTGGGGATAAGTCGGGAGATCTTGGTGGCCATGGTAACAATGTGACATCATTATGTTGAAAGAAGTCTATTGTGACTCTTGCAACATGTGGTCGGGCATTATCTTGTTGGAAAGTTGGATCTGCCAGGGTGTCAAGATAGGGTAAAAGATGGGGATCTAGAACTTCGTGGATATACCGCTGCACGTTCATGTTACCTCTGATGAAGATTAAAGGTGACCTGGAACCATCAGCTATAGCACCCCAAACCATAACTCCAACAGTGTGATGAACATGTATTTCAACAAAAAACTGTGGATTCCTCCTTTCACCACGTCGCCTTCTAACCCTGGCACGACCATCGTGCATGCCTAAACAAAATCGAGACTCGTCACTAAAGACAATACTGTTCCATTCCTGATCCCAGAGTGACCGTTGTCTGCACCACTCAAGGCGATTACGTCGGTGTTCTCGAGTTAAAGGGAGGACCCAGTGTGGCCGGTATGAAAACAAGCCAAAACTTCTCATTCGTCGGTAAACACTACGCATGCCAATAGGTCTTCCGTGTTCTGCAAACCATTCATTTGCAATGGACCTGGTAGTGGAGAAACGGTCCCTTAAGGCCAATAATCTTAGGTGGCGATCTTCACGGTCTGTTGTTCTACGGCGGCGTCCAGTGCCCTTTGCTCTTTGCGTACGGCCTTCTCGAAGCCATGCCTGACAACACCTAACCACAGTGTCTACACTTCTTTGCACTCTAACTGCAATTGCCCGAAAAGAAAGTCCACCTTCCCGAAGTCCCGCTATACGGCCCCTATCAAACTCACTAAGTTGACGAAATCGTACAGGTCTCCGTACTCTAGGCATCGTAACCGATCGTAAAGGATGTCAAGAACCAAAATCCGCCAACGTTGATTCTTTACTGCGGCTGAAATATTCATTTTTAGAGCGTTAGTGAATTAAAAAAAAGCAGTATAAAAACCGGAATGTCCAACTGATAAGGCTGAAAATTTTTTCACTTGTTATTTACAGTAAGATGAATACATTCACCAAATTTTATTAAAATAAAACCATTTAAACTGGGTGTTCGGATTTATATGTCACTTAGTATATTTTATTCTGCATTGATTGAGTAACTAGATAGACAGATAGACAGAAATGCTTTGTTGTCTAAAGAATACAATTATTCTTAATGGCAAAGCTAACTTTGAACTAAACTCTAACAATTACATACGAGGATCTTTAGTCTATTTTTCTTTGTTGCAACGAATTGAGTACTATGAAATAGCTTTTAGATTCCAGTCAGTACCAGTGAATAAATTTTGTCAGATGTTCAATCGTGTCAAACATACAAAAATAGAAAAGATGAAATACTATGTGGTGTTGGTATGCTACTACTATTTGGTTTTGAACTTTATATACAGTTATAAGTTTCCGTCCAAAAATAACTTCATTGTTATCGCTGTAATCAAACTTATCTATTTAACGTATTACATTGTCAAAAGTCAAACGATTCGATTGGTCAGTTTGTTTGAAAAAAATTACTTTATTGCAAGGTATAAATAATTTTGAAAATATTCCACTGAATCAGGTGTTTCATAAGTAGCTGTTTGAATCGCTGTGTTAGCGTTTCTAATTCAAATAAAGTTCTTTCAACAAATTTCTAACTAAATTTTGACCCTTGACATCAATTTCGGTATGAGAATCAGAAGGGGCAAAGTTATCATGGCGGATCATAGGTACTTATAAGGGGCGAGGAAAAATCGAAATTATCAATTTCAAGGGTGGAAATTCAGAATCAAGCCCCATCGTACGTAAATGGCTATATAAGAAATTGCTTTCATTTCTAAAATTTTTTGATTTGACGAGCATCTCTTTAGTTTTCGAAATATCAAGGCATATTAATTACCAAGTTTTTAATTTTATTTCCTACACCACTGGCGAGGAGGCATATTATAATTGCGAAAATGAGATATTAAGTTTTTTAATGTCATAACATGTATATCAGGAAGAACCATGTCACTCATTTCCGTCGGTCTGTCTGTCTGTCCGTCTGTCGATCAAAATGATTTTTCATTCGTATATATTTGTCAATCGTCAATCTAGGTCACTCCATTTCTTTTAACGACCGTTGTTAGAAACGATGGTCTTCTTTTTCCTTGAACCCGATTCTTTAATATTCGCAAATACGCACTTGGTTTTTTCGCAGTATCTAGTAACAAAATACATGATGGTTGAAATATCTACCTGATAATACTCCAAAGTAATTGTTATCGTTCGATAATCTGGAGGTTTTACTTCTTCTGCTTTAGTTTCAGGCTCGTCAGTCTTAGTTATCTCAATCTGACTTTGCGATTTGGATTTATCTTTCCCTTTCTTTGATTCTTTTTTTGATGGCATACTTTTGCTTTTATTTGTCACAGAACTACAATGACGCACATCATCCGGAAAAATTTGACACTACCGTGCATACAGAGCGTCGTATTAATTTGCGCTGTACCAAACAAAAATACCCAGCGGACTTCCAAGCTTACAGAAGCTACTGGAATAGACTCATTGAATAAATTGTGGAACACAATCCGATTTTGATGAAGCTTATTACAAAGCAGAAACCAGAGCGGTCCCTAAAAGTTAAAGCAACTCTTCAATGAAGTACCTCGCTTTGTCGAAATGGAGCAAAAAACTATTATTCTGTTGTACCCTCTTGGAATATAAAAGTGCCCCGCCTTTGCTTTATTAGGTTTGAAGCACTGCCTGGCAGAGGTCGCCCCTGACGTGATTACATGAGATCAACGCTCTACATTTTATGACAACTCCACCTTACCTTGACAACTTTAATTTTTTTGACAGTCTTGACAGTATGATTGACATTTTTAAATTTTCCAACGTGGGGCCTCGCATTTGTTGTTCCGTGACGAGCTGCAGAAATGGCGGAAGAAAAAGATGTGGCGGAGAAAACCATTGCCGAAGACTTGGTCGTTACCAAGTATAAAATGGCAGGAGAAATTGTTAACAGTAAGTGAAAAAAAATTACCATTATATCTGTGACTTTTATCACACAATTAGAGGCATACTTGCACCAGTTTAACTTCCGGATGCCCCCTTGGTCCATATGTTCTGAAACCGCATGGTTTCTCGAAAATCTGCGGTAGGAAAACTGTAATAATGATCAGTATACTTTATTTAATTTGGAAAAGCGGTTTTGTGAAACCCGTTCTGACCATCCACACATATTTATTTTCGTTCGACCTGAATGGTTATTTATTTTATCCTATGGCGGAATGTGTAGATTTGGCGGTTCAATTCCAATTCAACTGAATTCAATTATGAGAAATTTTTGACAAAATTTTGATTCGTTGCTGAGATTAAGAATATGATATCCATCCATTGAAAACGTGTTTGTAAGCAGATGCACAGACTTTTAAAATTGGTCATCCATCCATGACACCTCTTTGTTATTGAATTCCTAAGGTTTTGGCTTGATACCCTGTTACATCAAAGGTTCAATTTCAATTATATAATAATAATCAGATAAATATGCTATATTGTCTGAATAATACAATCATTCTTAATGACAAAGCTAACTTAAAACCAAACTAAGAAATTGATATATGTGGATCTTATATCAGTTCTTGTTCATTTTTAGTTTGTTTAACTAGCCATATTTTTCTGTCTTTCATTTTGGGTTATAGATTATAGAAAAAGAGGACATGTAAAATTATTGGAATACTTTAGCATATAATTAGTTTTTTGTGGAACATAATCGATAACTTTCATCAAAACAAATATGTAATTGTTCCAAATTTTGAACAAAAACCTACATTTTGAATGAGGATATTGGAAGAAAAGATTAGCTAAATTATAAAATAAAGTTCTTGAAGAAATTCAAAAGTAATTTTCAAACCAAATATTTCCAAAACCAAACATTTTAGAACAATAAATACTAAGTTCAATTGGGACTGTATCAATGTCCAAATGGTTTTTATTGGGGCTTATATTACTTTCAGATGTTTTGCTCCAAAATTTAAAGTGGTTGAAAAAAATAATCTTATTCATTATGGTCTTAAATTTTTGTTGATATATTGAAAAAAGACTGTTTACAAGTCGTATTTTTTTTTTTTTTTGATACTGTCTAACAAACATCTAAACATCTTGGCATTTCTTTCTACAAACTTTTTAGAAAAGTAAAAGATACTGTGAAGATGGATGTTGTATATGATATAAGATGATACTATTTTAAATCTTTTCTAGGAGTCTTGAAGCAAGTCATTGATAAATGCAAGCATCATGCATCTGTTAGAGAGATCTGTGAATATGGGGATCAGCTGTTGACTGAAGAAACTAGCAAAGTGTTCAAGAAAGAAAAAGAGCTTAAGAAGGGTATTGCATTCCCAACCTGTGTTTCAGTAAATAATTGCATTTGCCATTTTTCACCCGTACCTAGTGAACCTGATTATATTCTCGTAGATGGAGATGTTGCTAAAGTGTAGGTATTCCACTTATAGAAAATTAAAATAAGAGTGCACCAAGTACTACTTTTTTCAAAATGCACAGTACCAGATTAGAGTACTTTTGTACTTTAATCATTTCAATTATATTGTTAATGAGATTAGGATAATAACTGCGACTTTTAGCGCCGATTTTTTTTCTATAAGATGTTTCTCAAATTATAAATATTTTGGGACAAAGTTGATAAACAGATATGATGTGCTTGAAATATGTCATTAATGTGGTGTGATTGCTTGTATTTGAAATTATTTCCATTGCCTGTTGATTCTGGTGAGAACAGTTCCTAACAAGTTTTAGAACATGCTATTTTTTACAGTGACTTGGGGGTTCACATAGATGGTTTCATAGCTGTAGTAGCACACACTATAGTGGTTGGACAATCAGGTGACCAAAAAGTGACTGGCAGAAAGGCAGACGTCATCTTAGCTGCTCATTATGCCTCTCAGGCAGCTCTTAGGCTGCTGAAGCCTGGTAATGAGACATACACCATTACAGATGCAGTACAAAAAGCTGCAGAGGCATTCAAGTGTAAACCAGTTGAAGGTGAGACTAAATACAACTAACCAAAATGTTACATTTTGAGCAAATAAACCTGATCTTATTAAAAATATCCCACAACATTCATACTCAGTATTTTGATAATAATTCTAATAACATACTCACAGAACATGAAAATCAGTGCATATATCAAGGGAAAAAAATTGAGTCAAAAATTATTTCATATTTTGTGGATAATTTATTATATACCTTGTATGTAGTATACAGGGTCTTATATAGTGTCAGAAAATTGAAGGGCAGATTCAACAAATTGACATGAAAAAATATATAATGCTCCAGAGACATACATTTTTATGCCAAAACATTAAAATTGTTCTGTATATCACAGTAATGGGGAATTGAGGTACATATGTTTATATGATCTTTTTCATACCTGTGAGTGTTAAATCTGCTCTTAAATAATGCCTATTAAATGAAAGATTGTTAAAAAAAATCAAGTAACCTATAAACTTATATAATTATTAATTATTTGAAAAGAGGCTAAACATTTTTTTATAAAGGTGGCAAGGTGCAGCTTGAATCATAATATTACAGTTGCCAAAATTGTACAATCTTCTACCATGATGACTTAATAACTCCAATTGATCCCACTGATTTCACAGTGATTACACCTCAAACTCTGATGTTACATAACTTTGTCAAGAACAAGCCTCATCTAGAATAGCCCTACTTTAACAATCACATATTCTCCCCAGGCATGTTGAGCCACCAACTGAAACAGTTCAAAATAGATGGTGAAAAAACAATCATCCAAAATCCCAACGATGCACAACGCAAAGAACACGAAAAATTTGAACTGGACAAACATGAAGTGTATGCCATGGATGTACTGATCAGCACTGGAGAAGGTGTTGGTAAAGAGACTGATACCAGGGTGTCTGTGTACAAGAAAACGGATGAGACATACCAGTTGAAATTGAAGGCTTCAAGAATGTTTTATACAGAGGTATGCAATTTGAACTATCTAAATCCCATGGTATTTACATTGCATAAAAATAAATGTTTCTCAGAAAGAATTAATTAACATGACAAGTCCAAGAAGAAAGGCTGTTTTCAATTAGTGACACATTTGTTTACAGGTTAGATCAAAATATGGCAATATGCCATTCAACTTGAGGAGTTTCCAAGATGAAACAAAAGCAAAAATGGGTGTTGTAGAATGTGTTAAAAATAAACTAATAGAGCCGTTCCAGGTACTCTATGAAAAACCAGGTGAGATCTTTTCTACATTTTACAGAAAAAATTATCTAGGATAACATTTTTAGAACCTCACAAATGCATACTTCCAGAATCATAAAAACATGCTTTCTCTCAATTATGAATATTTTGAGTAAGGTAACAATGTATTTTTGATAGAGGATATATTCCATTTATTTGGATGTGTTACTGTGTTTCCAAACTTGCACCATTTTTTATTAGGTTGAGTATCAGTGTCCACTTTGTGGAAAATCTGGGAAAAGTTTGAATAGATTTAGCTATAAGCTAAAATATTACATTAAGATGAGCATAACAAAAATCACAATCACTTGCATCTTCCTTAGTCCTTGGACAGAAGGATTTTTTGATAAAATGTTATTTCTTTGGCTTTTTGGAAGTTGGGAAATGAAGAGGTATGCCAATGATTGTCAGGTAAAAACCAATAATCTTCTCATGGCTAAGCAATCAGGCTTCAGAAAAGGTCACTCTTGTGAAACTGCTCTTCAAATTACACTAACTGATTGGATGAAACTTATTGATGACAATAACTATGTAATTGCAGTCTTCCTTGATTTCAAAAGAGCATTTGAAACAATAGATAGACGACTATTGATAGATAAATTGAAATAATGTTGAATTGGAGGCACTGTCCTGAGATGGATAATTAGTTACTTGAGTGACAGAGGTCAAAGGACTAAGATTGGTCCTTCTATATCCGAAACCATTTCTGTACGTTTTGGAGTTCCTCAGGGTAGTGTTTTGGGACCATTATTTTTTATAATATATTTGAATGATATGGAACTTGTTCAGAGAAGTAGCTCCATAAATCTATTTGCCGATGACACACTTGTGTAAAGACAGTTCTTGATATATAGTTGATACAATGAAATACCTTGGATTTATGTTGGATAAAAACCTAAACTTTAACAGCCATAGTGACTATATTATTAAGAAAATTTCAAAGATACTTTATTTTTTTTCAAGAGCTTCGAAACAGCTATCAATGTTTGCAAGAATTACGGTTTGCAATATAATAATAAAATCTCATTTTCAGTACTGTTCATCTTTATTATATTCCTTTAGCAAGAACAAAATAGGCACCTTACAAAAACTTCAAAATAGAGGAATGCAGATAATTTTACAGTGCTCTAGGTACACAAGGATTGAATATATGCTGGATACTCTACAGTGGTTATCGGTGAATCAACATCTTTATTTAACAGCAATGCTATTTGTTTATAAAATTGTGAAGGGAACATTACCTAATTATTTAGGTGCGCATCTACGGCCAAATAATGAGATCCATTCATATAATACTAGGACGTGTACTCATTTCCATGTAAATAAAACAAATATGAAGAGTACAATGAAAACAATAATGTACAAAGGTCTATGTGAATACAATAAGTTGCCCCAGCAAATAAAAAACGCCGACTCGGTCGGGTATTTCAAGAAAGCACTTATCAAACACATAAGATATGACAGAATTTGTTAAATTTATTATATTTGAATATATATGTATGTACTTGTGAAATGCTACCAGTTGTTGTTGTTGATATTAGGTTTTTTTTTTCTAAATAAAGGACTACTACTAATACTTGGTTCCTTTATAACTCGGAAAGTACTGCTCGAGTTTTATTGAAATTCTTTCATGAAAATGCCAATGGCTATGAGCTTTTAAAATTATATGCAAAAAACGACACAGAATTGGACATTGTTTTAGTTATTGACGTTTTTCGACTTTCTAATCATTTTGAGCCTATTAAAAAATATTGCTGGTTTTAGTAGTTTGATATATTTCACTTATCACCAATGGCACTTAGAATTTTCGTGTACCTAAAATTTTTAAATAGACTACTGTGTCAGTCTTCATGACTCTCTTTGTTTTCATCTTTGATATTACAATTTAGATACAAAATCGGACGGTTAAACTATTAATAAGATATGTTTCATTAACCAAAGATTTGGAAAAAATTATCGTGGAAAGTCAATAAAATGCTAGGTAAAGTGGACACACTTCATTGACCTCTTGAATTTTGTGTCCAGCTGCTATTCATTTCTCAGTAAATGATCAATAATAATTATATATTCACCGAGAACTAGATCCTCTTTGAGGTTGAAGAAGCTTCGAACGAAAAATGCGCTTGCCTTCATTTGACTCTCGTCTTTAATTCCAGGTGAGTTCGTAGCCCACTTCAAATTCACCGTACTCCTGATGCCGAATGGGCCGCACCGCATAACCGGCTTGCCGCTCGACACGGACAGGTTCAAATCGGAGTACTCCATCACGGATCCCGAATTGCGTTCCGTACTGTGCAGCTCGGCGAATCCGAAAGCGGCCAAAAAGAAGAAGAAGAAGAGCGAGAGTGGCGGAGCGGCGACGGCTGAAGAAGGTGGCCAAGGACAGACGGAACAGCAGCCGATGGAAGTCGAGGCGACGGCGTGAACTATACAAGGTAATTTTTTCTTCTTTGCACCTTTTTTATAGGGGTTTGGGATGAGTTAGGCAATTTTACTTCCCACGCGAAAAATTTCGAAACCAAGCTTGTGTTTTTTGTTATACAGGGTGTAAAAGTTATGATAGTCATTATTTAAATGGGTGATAGAGGGTGTTAAAACAAGCAAAAAGTTTCGTATAACATGGGGGTCCAAACGGCATTTTTTTAGAGAAAAGCGACTTTAAAGAAAAACATAATCTGACATTTTTGGCGCTTAGCTATTATTTCATTATTTGATAATGTACTCGTAAAATGCAAACAATTAAAAAAAACGGACTTAGCACTAACTGTCTCAGCGCTTCACCTGGTGTGTGAAATTTTATTGAATGTATTAAAAAAATCCATTTATAAATAGGGAACACAATTTTGATACATACATTGTTTTCCTTTTTAAAACCCACACTGCACTTTTTTTGTATTTAAGGAAGGTGTTCAAAATGTCGTCCTCCACTTTCCACACAAGCTTCATTACTACGAACCCAGTTTCTTCTTACTCTAGGTCCTCAAAGTTGTCCATTTATTTCAGCCGCATTAAAAAAAAATTTCGCGAAGTTGTGCTTCAGCTGTTATTAGACCAGCCCCATAAACCATCCCTTTGAGTTCTCCCCAATACCAGAAATCCATCGGATTGAGGTCAGGCCATTTTCGAGGATCAGGAGCATTTCGACCGATCCAGCGATTTGGATAATGTTCATTCAAATACTGAATGACGCCTCTAAAAATGTGTGGTGGTGCCCTATCATGAAGAAACCACAAATTCTGTCTCCGTTGTAATGGCATGTTGTCTAAGGTCTGTTCCAAAAGTTCTGGTAGGTTATTGGCTAGAAAGCTAAGATATCCTTCTCCTGACAACTGGGGGTAACTCGAAAGGGCCAATTACCTGATCGTCAAGAATATCCGCACAAATATTTATTTTAAAACGTTGTTGGAAATGACCGTCAGGAATGGTATGATGATTTTCTTGGGCCAACGTGTGAGTTTTATGGAAATTTAATATCCCGTCTCGCGTAAAAGTAGAAGAATGTTTTTAAAAAAATCCGGATTTTCAATGTTTTTGTGCAAAAAATGTGAGCTGCAAGATTTGAATTCTGACGAACTTCCCGTAAACTAACATGTCGGCGAACTCTTGATTCGAGAACATTGTAAATAAACACGACGACGTACGCGAACAAAAACAAAACAACACGCCCGAAAACGATAACTAACCACTGTTACCGTTCGTTGCCGGTTCGATAAGAGTGATGAAAGACCGACGCGCTGTTGTCATGTGTGTTTTAAATATTTAATTTAATGAAACTTACTTACCGACTACAAATTTTGGCTAAGCTTAGAAATACTTAATGCCATTTATTTGTTAATTACCCAATTTAAAATCGTTTTAGATTAGATTATAAAAATTAGTAAGATTGTGGTCGATATAAAGCACTTCGAGTTGCAAACTATAAAGCCATTTGACAAAAATCTATTGACTTTTGGACCCTGGGTCATATGAACTGTTTGACTTGTTTTGAACCCCCCCCCCCTATTACCCATTTCAATAATGACTACCATAACGTTTACACCCTTTATGATGTGTGCTTCACGAAAAACCATTTCACTCATTTCCGTCGGTCTGTTTGTCCGTCCGCTAATCATATAACCGCCTATAACTCGAGAAGTACCGCTCGAATTTCGAAGAAATTTCTACACAACGTTACTACTATGCCAAGGAAGCAAAAGCTTTGTGGTTTTTAAAAATACAATAAATTGTTTATTGGGAATTGGCACAAGTGAAAGCGTACTCGTTTAACTAAAATCTCGAGCTTCCGACAAACTATGTTGTCATCTTCAGGAGCTAAAACACAAATCGACTATCTCAAATCAATACCTCGTAAGTCCGAAAAATGTCGATTTTCTGATTTTGTTCTTTTTGATTCCTGTATGCATAAATCGGCATTTTCGAACGAGGTATTGATTTGAGATCGTCGATGCTTCCCGATATGGATTTTCTGAGAGCATTCCTGTATGCATGCAGGGATAAAAACAGAACAAAATTAGAAAATCGACATTTTCGGACTTACGAGGTATTGATTTGAGATCGTCGAAATATGAAAATAGCAACCAATGTAGAACAAATTTAATTTCCATTTTATTTACTTACTCGTCGATAAGGTTGCTGCTAAATGGTGTTTTAGAACGAACACGTGGGTGAGACCACTTGTTACGATTATAAAAACAAAAGACCGGATACATTGGCTTTGTTGTTAACGACGGAACACATAGCTATGCGTCACCAAGATTTGTCAATAAACCCGAACGGATTAAAAAATGAAAAGAGTAATCAAGTTATTAAAAACTAAAACTACATTTTGGGGACGGAAATTTCATTTATCACCGTATAAAAACGTGGAAGTGTAAAATTATTGCCAAGTTGAAATTCTCAGGTATAGTACATAAGACGGGCTTCCAAAAAATTACATATTTCCCAAGATGCTGAAATAGTTTTATTTTGTCAATGTGTACCTTATATGAAAAATATTTTTTTCATATATAATGTACACTATTCATTCACTCATCATACATGTCCCCCGATCATTTACTCTTAAAACTTGAAAATATAACAGTCGGGTGTTGGTACGTGCGAGGTGGTCCCCCAAAGGACAAACATCATCGGTGATTGTTTGTCACAATCGGCAACAATTCCTGTTAGGGGGAGGAAGGCCGTTTTTTTTCTTGTTATAGATGTTCGTAGCTACATTTTTTTTAAAAGGGCTCACTTGTGCCTTTAAGAACTGATGACAGCGTTGCATTGGACGTACAGCCAACTTACTTGACGCCAATTTTTTTTGCCAAACCAGGTCAAGAGTTAATATAACTTCTGAAACTTATTCTTCTGTTTTCATGCAAATAAGACTGCATGTTTTCTGGCCTAAATTTTTAACTTTAGCACAGACTGTTTTATACAATTTTCTTACAAGACAAACAACACGGTGCCCTTGAGGTATCAATGTCCTAGACGACTTTTGGGAGCAGGAATGCGTACCCGTTTTAAGGTTTGTTCGTACAGTGATCGGTGACTGTGTTTGGGATCCGACCGTGTGAATTCCGTCAATGACAGGTTAGCGACTGCTGTACGAACAGTGCTATAATGGTACCATACGATTCATATTGCTGTTGCAACATACTGAACACTAGCGTCAAAAACAAACTGTCACCTGGATGATGAATATAATAGTCGTTTTCAGTTTTACTTTGAAAGAGGCCACCAAGGTGGCCAAAACGACAGTAAAGATTAGTATCTACATATGTGGTTCCATTTAGCGTTGGAGTTGTATCAGGTAAAATCAATTATTGACGGGGATCCCAACCAATGTCCCATAGCTCAGATTATATATAATGCATCGTTCAGTGAGTTTAGAATAATAAACATTAATCGTCTTAAGAAGATTATATCAAAAATTGAATCAAATATAATATAATAATAGTAAAATTTTGTCTAAAAGTGTGCTTAATGAATGTTTTGATATTATTGGAGCAAGAATATTAACCCTGATAAATTACTGTTTACAATATGGCGAATTTCCAACAAAACTGAAGTGTTCTACCATAACTCCTGTTCCTAAAGTTAAGAATCCTGAGTTGTGCACCAATATGCAGCCAATAAATGTTCTGCCAGATGTTGAAAAAGTTTTTGAAGAAATTATTCAAGAACAAATCATCGAATTTATTGAGCGAAATAACATTTTAACCAAATTTCAAGCTGGATTCAGGAAGAAACACTCAACTGAAACGGCAACAAAAATGGTTTTAGAGGACTGGAGGAGATGTATGGACAATAGGAAACATATAGTAACAGAGTTTTTGGACTTCAAAAGGGCGTTTGAGACTATTGACAGGCATAAATTACTTACAAAATTGCATCACTATGGATTACAGGATCTGTATTCATAATTCTACAAAACTATTTAATTGACAGTAGTCAAAAAGCCAAAATTAGATCTACATTATCAAGATCAAAAAATATTTCTGTTGGTATACCACAAGGTCCACTACTATTTATTTTATACATTAATGACATTTGTAATATTTTAGATTATTGTAAACTTCAGATATTTGCAGATAATACATTAATATACATATCAGATGAAAATATAGACACTGCTTTAAAAATGGTAACTTCTGCCTTGGCAAACATTGTAAATTGGTTAAATGTAAATAAACTAAAATTGAATACTTCAAAAACAAAATGTACGCTAATAGGGAAATACGTAAATGAAAATACTGTCACAGTTAAGATAAATGGAGAAATAATTGAAAATGTTGAATCAATTAAATATTTAGGATATATATTGATAGTAAACTAAAGTTTGAGGATCACTATGAATACATTATTTCAAAAATTGACAAAAACACAAATTACTTTTATAGAGCTTTTCATAGTCTTAGTACCTATTCCAAGAAAATAGATTATATACAATTATCCTACCGCATTTACTATTTTGTTCAACTATCGTGTTCACTGCCAATAAAGCCTTATTCTCAATATTACAAGTCTTGCAAAATAAATATATTAGGATAATATTGAATAGAAATAAGTACACCAAAATAAAATCTGTTGCAAGAATTGCAGTGGTTGAATATAAAAAATCCAGAACATTTAGAACACTACATAGAATTGAATAATCATTACCACAATTATTATAGGTTATTCGGCCAATCAAGATTGTTTTCCCTTAACAGCTAATTTTTTCATTTTAATTTACGATTTTGGTATATAATGCAAATTTCATTGTTTCAGATGAAAGAAAATTCAATGACGTTGGCGTTAGAGATTTTCACTCACAACAGGCTGGCTGAAAATATATGGAAGTTTTTTGTATTTGTTGAGGTTATAATTTTACTTGGACCCTCATAATAACTCACAGAAATAACCAATCCCAGTGAAAATTTAAAAATTGAAAGCAGTAACTTGAATTTTCTCATGACAACCAATAATCAAGTATATATGAGTAAGATCGTTTTAAAATGGTTTGTTTGACTTTTCCTCTCATGCTGATGTGGAATAAAACAGATTGGAAAATCCTACTGGTCCAAAATTTGACATATCTCGATTTTCTACATCTTAAAACCTGTTGAATTGACGCCAAGGTGTATTTTGAGGGTCCTTGCCAAACCTTTCATACTGTTAAGAAAATCGTAAGGGTCATTTCCACTACCTTTTAACATTCTTAGAAGTCAGAATAAATTACATAAAATGTCGAAGTATTGTTTAAGCTGTCAATTAACAATCAGAAGTTGGTATAAATGAAGATTATTACTAGGTAGTGAAACAGTTCCGTAAATCTCACATAGATGTTGAATTTTTTAATATTTGCTTCACACTCACTCATTCCTTTAAATTCTCGAAACTTGCTGCCTGTCTTATACAATCCAATTTTTAACCTTCGTTATTTTTTCTTCTAAGTAGTTGTGCCCTAACTAATAAATTAAGACATTTCAAGAGTTGGAGTTTGGATCATCTGTTTGTATTTATATTTGGAAGTTAAACAAGGTTCATTATAAGGATCTCTTACATGAAGCTATTTACATTACATTATTGTCTATGATTTTACTAGAGATAATCCAAATTGACCTGTAAAACTGCAATTCTTGAAAAATTAACCAGACTTTTTCTCATGATTGAAACTAGAAATTTCAATACCTGATGTTAGATAATTTGTTTTGTGTATTTGTTTTGATTTTTCTGTCTTCAGAGACATCCTTATTGCCTTATACATTCATATTTTTATCTTTGACATCTCTTATCATATGATCGCCATACTTTTTGACTATTGTTTAGATGAGTCTTGTATGTAGGTTGTTTTTTTTTAAGATTGAAAATTTAGAAGACCTGTAAGATACAGTATCAAAATAAATGTTTGCTATTTTGACCACTACCATTTTTTTAATTCATTGGTTGGAACAAATTGTATAACTCCTAAATGTGAGAGGAAAACCTATCCACTTTCCAGAGAGTAAATTTTCAGTTGAAGCAATATCTAGGAGCTATAAAATAGAAGTCCCATATCAACCAAGTGCAAAAACAAATATAAAACTTTATTTTAACTCATTTCTACATCACTAGTTAAATACTTCAACTTTAAAACAACAGTCGTCGGTGAAGTCACATCTGCTACAAGAATATCTTGCCCATCTTTTATCCCCAACTCCACCAGTGTTTTATCCAAATTCACTCTTGTTCTCTCCTCAATACTTTTGATCGTTGACATGTACAACGTTTTATTTTTTCCATCAATAACAGTAGTGAGTCCAGGATTTTTCATCTGGTATTCAGCAGATTCTGACAGTATATCTATGAGCTGTTTAAGTTTGAATGAATGAGGATCCTTGATGTCTAAAATTAGTGGCTTTTGGGAACAAACTAGGCAGTTATCTTTCTTCTCTGCTTCATAGGTGTATGAGTAGATACCATCAACATCATTGAACACCAAATAGTTGTTGAGGGGTATGCAACAACTTGTTGCTATTTTGAATACCTGCAAGAAATAACTGGAAATTAGTCTAATTATATTAGCAAATTTCTCTGAAATAATTGTAAGTCTGGTCCGACATCCAAAAAATGATGTGGAAGATACTAGCAGAACACCAAAGTGAATTCAAAAATCTGCTTTGAAAAGGCTATGGTATGGAAAAATGTTCAATTCAACATGAATATGAACTATAAAAAAATATACCTCTGTTGCACAAATTCCTGCAATAACTGCATTTGTAGATGCAACTGCTGGAATAATGTGCTTTACAACTCCTTGTACCAGTCTGTAAGTCATTCCAGGTATATTAAACTGGGTTGCCCTTTCCAAAGCTTTCTCATATACCTAGAAACAGTATAGAGCACAATTAGAAAAATGCATAAATGAACAAATATGCAAAATTTAAATAAAGTGACTTCAAGCAACCTTCTCATCTAATTCTTCCATGTAACAACCTCTATATTCCACCTACCCAAGAGAGATGCTGGGCATCATCTCCATCTAATGGGACTCCAAATGGGTTCTCTTTGGGCCACTGAATTAGTTTGATATACTCTATACAATGCTCAGGCAAACGAGGTGTATTGGCAATTGTACACAGAGGATAATTGACTTGAGGTGGATACAAATCAAGGGTACACTCAACACAAGCATTGATACCAGGCAAGATAACACGAGCATTTCCTTTAAAGCCCTCAGTTCCTAAAAATATAAAAGGCAATAATTAAAAATAATAAATTATTGTTCTGCTATCTCACAAGTATCATTTACAAAACACTAATCTTTGTATTCTACAAAATATCATTTATAGGTAAACATTTAATTAGTAGACCTAGTACTGTTCCCTGTGGCACACTGACCATAAACTATTGCAATAGATCTACATCTTTTAAAGTACCTCCATCAACCATGGGTATTACAGAAGACTGATCTAACACATTGTCATCATAATTCAACATGGAAACTAGCATTCCATTTATCCATCTCCTTGCAACTATTGAATCCAACCCACAAACAATAATATGAAACTGCTTGTAGAAACCTTCATCAAAATCTTGGATCTTTGAGAAATGAGGAGTTACTTGACATCCAGCAACCCTTTTGTTTATATATGCTGCTGCTACCTCTGCTTTTGAAGAGCCTATATCTTTATGCCGAAATAAGAACTGTCTGTTTAAGTTTGATAGATCAATAGTGTCCATATCAATGACATGTATTTGCCTAAACCCCATGAGGGCCAGGTTTTTCAGCAGTTCACAGCCCAGCCCTCCAGCCCCTATAACAAGTATTTTACAGGAAGTCATAAGGAAATCCAGGACTTCTGAGGAAGGCTCAAATTCCGGGTGGCTGAATGGACTGGACCGCTCCAAAACTTTGCGTAAATGGCCCCATCGCTTTTGGCTCGATTCTTCTGACATGACTAATAGCTCCTTATAATTATTCCAGGGCAAATCGTTAAAATGTATAATAATTAACCTAAAAACCTATTTCATAACCTTAAAATCATAGAACGGCACAAAGCTGGAGGGGAGGATTGGATGATAGGAAATACAGGATGGGGCTTTTCAACCAATCAAAATGCTTCTAGATTTCCATGTCCATTGTCATTACTGTCAAGTGTCAGTATGGTGTCAGTTTTGTTCTATAATTTATTAGTGGTGTTGAGTCTCGTTACTTTCGAGTATTCGTTACTAATCCTTAATCTTCTACAAAGTAATCATTTATTGTATTTATTAAACCGGTCCCACACGATGTGGCGAACGCCTTATCACATTGGACACATGGCCATCCGCCACATCGTGTGAGAGCGCTGACGGATTACATGGGTCCAACGTTCGCCACTTGGCACGTTCGGGCTCTTGTCGGTAAATTTGACCTACGTCAAAGGACGTTACAACGTTGGAAGCAAAGAGAATGAATTAGGAAGATTTGCCATATTTTTTTTTGAAATAATTTATATAAACACAATAATACAAGCTACAATAAATTCAACAATTCAAGTGACTTTTGAGTGTCTTTACAGAATTTCGTTTGTCAGTGACAGGGTTATTTAATCCTATATTGGTTCTAGTAGGCATTTGGTACAAATTATTATATGATCTTGTTTTATGGTCAGGCACATCATGTACGGTCAAAATGTTTGTATAACACTTTTGCAGCTTAAAATTTCTTTCGATTCAAAAAGGAAACAAAATTTTACAACGCGTTGGTTTTAACCGCGGTTTTGTTGCAAGTTGTTTATTTTAGAAAAGTGCGTACAATCTGATTATTTCAATTATTACTTAATAATCGGTCCTTTTTCTTCTAAAACAGTGATGTGATAGGGAAAGTTTAAAAAAAGAAAACTTCCATAATATTAATAAGAAAAATATTTTCTTATCTCTCTTATTTTCAATCAAGTTTGACGTGAATATAGGAGATATGACGTCCAAAATATTAATGCTGAAAACATGGCTTTGTAGCTATGATAACTTTCAATTCTTTAAATATTTCAGCATGTCTTAGAAAACATTTATTGATTTAGCAAAATTAATAGAAAAAAGCGAGGAAAAAAGATTATAGCAAAACCGTATACAGGTGGACAGTATTCAGTGAGTTTATAAAACGATAAATTGTTGCAGCTGCACATGTCTTAAAATTTAAAAGCATTATGGAATCTACATTTAAATGCTGTAAAAAAGACTTTAATAATGAATATTTCTGCATAATTTGTTTGATCTGATGCATGAGCGGCATAACTACAGTGCTGGCAGAAACCAGCGTTGCCACAACACGAAATGGGTGGCAACTTGCCACCCATTTCTTGTTCTGATTGATACTCGATACTTCGAGTATCTATGAGTAACGAATAGTTACTTTTTCAGCACCTCTATAATTTATGCTCAATCCTTCTTCAGCGTATATGTTTTGTGTTCTTCAGTGTCTATGTTTTGTGGCTTAATCGATGAGGTTGATGGCTGCAAGATTTCTAATTTTTCGTATTACTATTATTTTGAAGTGTTTAATCCGTGTGTAGTGTAACTAATAATAGCGATTCGTGGATTACAACTTTCAGAATGGTTGAGGAAGAGCGAGAGGAAACAGCAAAAAGTCCAGTGCCGACTGGCCCGGAAAGGTTTCGATGTTTCTTTGATGTGTCCATTGGAGGTCTGCCCTGTGGAAGAATCGTATTCGAACTTTTCCCAGACCTAGCCCCGAAAACCGCTGAAAATTTTAGGGCATTATGTACTGGGGAAAAAGGACTGGGCGAGCAAACTAAAAAACTACTACATTACAAGGTATTTTGTTCCTGGCGAATGTACTTGATAGGTTTCTTATATATAATATTGCAGGATTCCATATTTCATCGGGTTGTTAAAGATTTTATGATACAAGGTGGAGATTTCTCAAATGGAAATGGAACAGGTGGTGAAAGTATCTATGGTGGAACATTTGAAGGTGTCTATACTACTACTAGTTTCCACAAATAGTTAGAATTATTTAACCACAGCTCATATACAGCAACATATGAACATCGATACTCCTAAGTATTAGCTTATTTATGCCTTACCCTTATCATGATAAAAAATTAAAATTGTCTGCATTTTTCTAGGGTTTTCCTTATTTTTCTTTCAATATATATTTTTTTCTGAAAATCTGTATCTTATGTAATTGTTTAGTTTTTTTAAAGAATGTAATTGTAGCAATCATGCTAAATATATCTTATAACAAACAAACAATTTGTGAACCTGGAGTGCTTCTATAAGCACTTTTTTAGTGGTAGCTTAGAATCAGCAAGATGTATTGGTTTGCTGGGTTCTACATGGAACTATCAGGACCGTACTAATTCTCATAGTTACCAATTGCAAAGCAAATCTAGTGGTTCTGCAGTCACACGATTTCACTATGTAATATCAGAGTGGTTCTGTGTAGGACCCATACAAGGCTTATTATCATTTCTCGAATGGGAAAGTACTCATTACCTTAATTTTTTCATAGATGAGAGTTTTGAACTCAAACATGACAAACCCTTTCTGCTGTCAATGGCTAATAGAGGTAAAAACACCAATGGGTCTCAATTCTTCATGTGAGTATAATTTTTTAACAAAATAGGTTTCTGGTATACTTGTATTCACAAAGGTATTCATTCAAATAAATGCATCTCTTTTACATAATATACACTATTTTTTAAGTGATATAACTCTTATGACAAGTATTTTTATAGACCTCCTTTGTTTTTTATTGAATCATTGAAGTCTGGATGTGTTTTATTACTATTAATCATTAATACCATGTATCAGCTTAAATATGTTAATTATTTTCTATGAAACTTTGTTATCCTGGATAATGAAAGTAAGATAATTTTGAAAAAAAATTGATTATTATTTTTGATGAGCTAAAATGCCTTTTGGTTAGATGACCTTGATGTGATTTATAAATCTTATTATACATTCAAAATCATACTGTTGCTAGAATTTGAGTTATTACATATACAAATCTATGGTTTTTGTTATTTGCAGAAGACAAATTCTTGTATTACTTGGTTTTACCATGGTAAAAATGCTTTCTCATTATGATTGGTGCTTTTTTTGTATATCAACATTTTGATTTCAGAATGTGAACTGGAACTGCTGTTAAATTATATTAATCCTTAAAATATTAAAATAAAACATTAACACAGTTATACATTTATTATGGAGTATGATTTATGTATTGTATAACATCTAAGCAATAGCCATATACACTATCTTTGTGATTATAAGTGCAGAATAAATTCTTTTTAGCCAAGGTACCCTGAAATTGTACATCAGATATAGTGGCAGTGGCAAGTGTAATGAATGTGATAATCAACAATTCACATTTTTCCAATATCAATTTGTCACACAAATTATTATAGGATACTCTCTTAATAAATTTAACTATGGGTTGTACCTTAAACAATAAAGATGTTGCAGCACTCTGATTAATTTTCTGGACATTCAGGTGATCAATCTTGTCATATTTTGTGTTATAGTACCACACAACCGGCCCCTCATCTCGACAAGTAAGTAGGATTCATGAATATCTTAATTTTTTAGCAATTGTAGTTGGGACAAAATTTTTTGATACATTATTGATAGTCCCCTAGTATTAGGTCATAAATTGTAGTGAAGAAAAAGTTGCATTTTGGTATGAAGGTGCAAATTTCCAACAAAAAATTTTGGTTTAAGTGAATACACACTGTATTTGACATAGTTGCCAGTTATCTAGACATCATCCCCTTAACCACTCAAAAATCAATTTGAAATAGGTATACATAGAACACGAATTGCAGGTATCCTGATATCTACTCCTTAAAGGGTATATTGAGGACAGATCATGAATTAAAGCTTCATCATTCACTAAACGACGTTCTCCCAATAATCGTGTACAATTCTCTCATACTTTTTTTAAAAAGACGAGGCATTTTTGAGAACATGAAATTATACTGTCAAGTCTACAGACAATTGCATGTTTGAGATGTGTATTTGCTCTCAAAGAGTTAGTCAACATCCTCTCAATATCGATATCTCTTTCCGTTATGGAGATTTGAATTTGGGTGAAATTTTCAATGTTGCAAAGCAACTGTCACCAGCTTAGTTCAGATATTTGAATATTTGTTTTCGGGCAGAGTTTTGTATAATTTCATGCCAAAATGCAAACTTCTTGAGTAGTTTTTCATTTGTCATGGAAAGTAATATTTATTAAGGGTTATGGTACAAGCATCTACTATCACTGTCAGAATGATCAGTAAATACTGATGGTGACCACATTAAATACTGATATTGTGTCATTCGCATTAGAATTTTGCAAATGTTTGGTGCATGACACACGATCAGTTATTTACCATGGTCCATACCATCAGTATTTACTGATGTGTCAGTGAATTTCTACATAAGCTTATACATCAATAATTACTGATGTCCAGCCTACATGGTGAATAAATATCATATTCCATGATACATAGTGGTGATCACAGTAAATATTGATGAGATATTTTAAATATTAATTTATTTCAGTGTACATGTGGTGTTTGGAAGAGTTGTAAATGGGATAGATGTCGTTCGGCAAGTAGAAATGTTACCAGTTGATGCAAATAGTAGACCATTGCAAGATGTAAAAATTGTCAAGTGTGGTGAACTTGTTAAGCAAGTCAAAGGTAAATGAAATCACTCGATCTATTTTTATGATTATTGTTGAAAAAAATATGTTTGCAGCCAAGAAAGAAAAGAAGAAAAAAGAGGAAAGTGGCAAAGAGAGTGATGAAGATAAAAAACAAAAGAAGAAGAAAAAAGATAAAGAGGACAAGAAGAAAAGTAAGAAACAGAAAAAGTAAGTAACGTATTTTTACGATTATTTCCACATATTACAAATATTAGGGTATGTAAGAGCATAAGGAATATCGAAATAAGTTGAATTAACTTAATCCATATATTTCAGCAAAGAAAATGAGGATGGCTTAGAAAATGCAGAACAGGGGGAAATACTTGAGCCTCATCCTTTGGTTACTTTAACTAACATCAATCCAGATGAAATACCAGAAGTACCGTCAAATAAATTTTTGATGAGAGGTAGACAAACTGAAAACGACTCTGATAAAAAGAACAGAAAAGGTAGATACATGTACACAACATATAAAGGGTACTATAAAAGTTTTGCAATACAGCTTTATTTATTGGCTTTGTTCAAATTAATTTCCACCACATTCAATACACTTCTTCATCCGCCAAAACCAGCTCTGCCGGGAGTGCGGCACACTCGTCCAAGCCCTCAGAAGGTCCTCATCTCTAGAAAACCGTTTTCCTTTTAGCTAAATTTTGTGCAAAGTCGCAGGGAGCAAGATCTGGACTAGAGGAGGGTGCTCAATAAGTTTCAGTCCAGTAGTGGTCAAATACTCGGTGCAGACTTTGGCGCAGTGTCCTGGAGCGTTGTCCATTCTTGACTTTAGCCGCAGGTTTTTCATAGACTCTATGACTTTAGGCAGGCACTGTTCCGTGTACCACTTAGCAGTGACTATCTTCTGTGTGTCCAAAACGACACGCTCCACAATCCCGCTCGATGAAAAATACAGCTGTCATTTTTTTCTTAACAGATCGGGATTTTCTGAAAGCAACGGGTGTGTACTCATCATCAAATACACAAACTTTGTTTTCAGCCTTGGTCGACACATCGTAATAATAGAGCCAAGCCTCGTCAACTGTCACGATACTGTTCACATACCGAGATTACCACTTATCAAACATTTTCAGCATCTTTCGGCACCAAGTCGTACGACGAGTCTTCTGCTCTTCCGTCAGACTATGCGGTACCCAGAGAGAATAAAATTTTCTTACGTGTAAGTGGTCATGCAGAATTTAATGAATTGTTGGTGCATGAAGGTGTAAGGTCTCCTCTATCTGTTGGTATGTCATTCTCCGGTCTTCATCAAGCATTTTCCTCGCAGCAGTAATGTTTTCGTCTGTTACTGACGATCGCGGTATTCCTTCCCTCTCAGCGACTTCCAGAGTGAAATTACCCCTTTGGAATTCTCTGTACCACTTGAATATATTTGTACGATGAGGACAATCATTCTTTATTGCAAGCGTCGTTTCTTCTAATCACTGATCTATGCTTAAACCACGCGTAAAACTATACCATAAGACTGACCTTGTGTCACTACGTAACCACGATGCCATAGTCCGCACTTTACACTGTCAATGTGAATTAACAACTAAATCATCGGACGTCCTGCTGGCGGCTACTATGCATTCATGGACATGTCTCAACATGCAGCCTCCTGCGTCCGTTTAAGTCATATTTCAAAACTTTTATAGTACCCCTTGTACAACATTTGATGTCAATAGAAGATAAACTAAAACTATACCTATTCTTTGTTATATAATTTCAACAAAAATATTTAAACATTGTAGATTCCATTAAGAACAAAGAAAGAGACAGAAGCAGGGATAGGGGCAGAGGTAAAGACAGGGATAGAGAAAGAGATAGAGGATACCAAACCAGAGGCAACCGAGAATGGGGCTCAGGATTTAATAGAAGAAAGCCTGTTACTACCAAAAGTGGTAGGCTTATCAAAGGACGAGGAAAATTTGTAGGTATATCGCAATTTAGTCCATCGCATTTTTTTATATATCATTGTCATTTTCAGAGATTTCGCACGCCATCAAGGAGCAGATCCCGCTCAAGAAGTATCACGCCAATTCATTGGCGTAAAGAGGAAGCGAGGGTTATAAAGTTGTCCGAGTTCGAAAAATTAGAGTCTGAACGAAAGAAGCTTGAAGAGAAGAAAGCTCAGAATGGTAAACTGAAAGGTGACAGGGAAATAAGTAAAGCTGCTGAAAGGTAAATGTTATAAAACTTTGTCAGTTAAACTGAAGAATTGACCATGCACATATGTAGTCGGCTTCAATGCGGCTTGATTTGTTGCAGGGATGAAGCATCGACTACTCCAAAAACAAAATACAAGAGCATTGATTACAATGCACTGGACTATGAAGGCCAGAGTGAAGAAGAGGGTGAATACAACAAGAAAGAGGTAGGTAGTTATATGCACCGTTGGTCTGCGGACCTTTAGATACGCCACTGGATCGGTTTTATTGTTTTTTTATCTTTAAGGTACCCAGTTTGGTGCAGTATCCTTTACCTGGAGCATACACAAAGTTTAAACCTGAGAATCCAGAGGAACCCGAACTTGAAGAGGGAGAAATACAAACAATCAATAAAAGATCAGATTTCCTTGCTATGGCTTTAGGTAAATCTTCTCTAGTTATTTTCACTATTTCAGTTTTGAAGATAATTTGTTTTTATCACCAGCTCTCAATCCCCAAACTTTATTTTAAGGCATGTCCAAAGTTCCTGATGATTTCAGAAGCACTTTTAATTGGTTGTAAAGTTTAGAAATTATTAAACTTCATCTTAGCAAGAGCATTACATTCTCATTTTTATGAAGTGTTGAATTTGGTTTACTTGACTGACCGACGTTCTTATTCTTCAGGTGTCCAAATAAAGACAGGTGAAGATCCACCTACCGGAGAAATAGCAGGTTACAATAAGAACAAGCACAAGAATCAAATGCAACCACAAATGCATAAAGGTAACATGGATTGGGGGATGCAAAGACATTTCAGGCCGAACGCAGAACCCGACTTACCGCAAATTGCTAGCAGAGTGGAAGAAAGAAGGGGTAGAGATAAGTTTGAAATTGAAAAATCAAAGGTAATTTCACAAGTATTTCAATCAAACCATTGAGCTACATATTAAATATACAATATAAATTAAATATTATATAAATGGGCATACTTTCAGTGGCTGCGGCCTCTTATTCTTACAACTATATCCCTGTCGACCATCGTGCTTCAGGCGCCAGCCTTGCGACATCTCGGACTGTTGTCGCAGATTGTGTGATTTTTTTCGCCATTAAGAGATTTTGAGAATATGAAAACTTAGATTTACAGAGTGCAACGGGACGAACTAAAGACGTCAAGATGTATAGAAAATATATTTTTTTAATTTTGGAGCACTGAATACTATTTTACATTTATCATGTTTTGAAAATAATGTCTCCAAGGTGGCGGCTGTTAGCAGCGACACACTGTTGGGGACGACTTCTGAAGCTCTAAACACATACTGTGGGGAATCACTTCTTCAACAATCCGTTTTCTTAGCTCTAATAGCGTGTGAGGGAGGCTGCCAAAGCATTTTATGTTCTAGATATCGACAAACAAAGAAGTCACACATGCTCAGATCTGGTGTCCGCGCCGGCCCACCACATCACCGTTTGAGACGTCCTGGAAACATTCTTTTAATGTATGCTTGTGTGAGCTGAAGACCCATATTTTCGAAACATGATAAATGTAATAGTAGCACAGTGTGTCCAGTGGGAAAGGTCACATTTTAAATTTGAATTACGCGGCAACCGTATATGCGAGGAAGTGGCGAGAGGTCTTGACCGACGCGTTCGGCGTGCCGGTTAAATAGTCACAATGGAACGTTGGACCGGAGCGCAACGTGCTTTTGCTATCGAGGCTTACTTTAAGAGTGGTGATTCATACGCAGCTGCCCTTAGGAAATTTTGTATACGATACAACCTTCGCCGACCAAGAGATGCCCCAAGTAAGAGCCTATTGAAAAAGTGGATTAAGAGGTTCCGTAAAACAGGCTCTACTATTTAGTCAACCCATTCCTGGCCCCACACATACTGTATCAACCGAAGAAAATGTGCATCGAGTAAGTGATTCGGACACTGCAAATCCTCGGCGTGCTGTACGAAAGCCTTCCGCTGTTTTGGGAATCCCTAGGTCAACGTTGCATGGCATAATGAAGAAAAAAATGGGTTTTCATCGTTATAAAATCCAATCAGTCCACGCTTTAAAGGAAAGTGATTGCGTATTACAGTGTGCTGAACGGATGTTGAATCTTTTTCCTACTCAGCGTAGACTCGAGAATGTTGTTTTCAGTGACGAGGCCCATTTTCACTTAGACGGTAATGTGAACAAACAAAATTGCAGATATTGGGCACCAACGATCCCAAAAGAGAAACATCAACAACAGCTACACAGTCCAAAGGTGACTGTTTGGTGCGCCATATCCTCTAGCGGTATTTATTTGAAGATGAAAACGGAGCGATACAAGGGAATGATTGACAAATTTTGCTCGTATTGTAAGAACAGAACTCGATTTAACAGAAACACATGGTTTCAACAGGATGTGGCCACTGCTCATACTTCCAGAGAATCGATGGACACGGTAAAAGCACTTTTTCCTCAAAAAGTTATATCGAAGTTTGGAGACATTCGCTCCTCCTAGGCCACCCGACCTCACGCGATCATTTTTTGTGGGATTACCTAAAGTCAAAAGTGTATTCCAATAATCCACGAACACTGGAGGAGCCTAAAGACAACACTTGACGAGGAATAAACATCACTCCGGAACTCTGCAAGACAGAATTTGCGCGCGCGATTAGAAGAGAATATTTTTTTTTCTTCAAGTTTGTATTGTTTTTCTTAAATCAAAAAGTGAACTTTCCCACTGGACACCCTGTACAAAGTCCATTGGTCCAGAATTGCGTACGAATTACAGAGTCAACCTACTTAACGCCGTTTTTATAACCATTTGAAACTGCTTTATTGGTGTAGAGATCAAATGTTGTCGATTTTTATTACTTATTACTTCTGAGGAAATTACTGCTGCGATCCTATTTCTTGGAGAGTATGTATATTAATCAATGGTGGGGTGTAATAACATCAACAATAACTTGGTGAGACTACGTGGTCCTGTTTTTTATTTTGCAGCAGCTGGTCATGGACTCGAAAATGTTCAAAAATAACGATGGAATGATCAGATTCGGTGATGGTAGATATGTTGACAGAAGGAACTTTGACAGAAGAAACAGAGACTGGCAAAATAACAGGAACAGAATGAGAGAGAATGATAGAGGTAGACCAAATGAAAAAGAACGCGAAAGAGGAAGGGAAAGAGAGAAGGAAGTAGATAGAAGAGGAGAAAGGTATTGCAAAAAACAGCAAAATAAGTCGGTTCTTTCCAACAATGAATTTCTGACAGTTGATAATGGGAATTTCCGGTGGAACAGATCAGTACAGTACATAGCTATTATCATCATATTATTAATTGGATGCCTGTATTTGACAGCCTCTGATAGTCATAAATTCCTTGTTGGAAAGAACCGTAGAGGTATTTCGTAACTTTGAAAAGTGACACTAGGTAAAAACTTTTTGACACTACGCAAGAATTGTGTGACATCACCTTACATTCCTTACATGATGTCATATTTTTCCTACCAAATGTCAACTTGAAACTAGCTGTCGTTCACCTCATGTCCTGTCTTAGTAGCATAACGTGTATGAGCGGTATGAACTAGAGGTTTGTTCGTACATTGCTGAGTAACTTGTCGGTGACTGTTCCTGAGATTCGGCCGTGTCAATTCCGTCTATACGAGGTTCGTCCGGAAAATACGTATAAAAGTTGAATAACTTTATTTTATAATTGTTCAGGTATTTCAATATGGTCTCCACTAAAGTACTTCCCCTGAGACAAGATGCACTTCTGCCAACGCCGTTTCCACTGTTGATACGATCGCTGAAAGTCTTCAATTGTGAGGCTCTTCATTTGCCGTGTCGTTTCTCCCTTGATGGCTTCCGCGTCCCCCAAGTACCGCCCCCGAAGCACTATTTTGCATTTTGGGAACAGGAAGAAGTCCCAAGGGGCTAAATCGGGTGAATAAGACGGGTGTTCTGTCGCGGTCATTGAGCTTCGGGCCGAAAACCCACGCACAACGAGAGACGTGAGAGCCGCCGCGTGGTCGGGATGAAGGATCCACCTGCCCCCTTGTGCCAAATCCGGTTGAACGAGCTCTGAGACGATTAGTATAGAAATTGCCGTTTACTGTTTTCCCGGGAGGGACAAATTCCTGGTGAACAATGCCCCGAGAATAAAAGAAAACAATCAACATTGTTTTCACATTGGACCTTGCTTTTCATCGACTTTTTTGTTCTCGATTTCCTTGCTTGCCTCCACTTTTCGCTTCGAGATTTCAGCTCCACATCGAATCCGTAGAACCATAACTCGTCTCTAGTGATGACCCGGTTGAGAAAGTCCCCCCTTTCCTCTGCTTCCAACCAATCCTCACAGCAGGCAACCCTCCTTGCTTTCTGTTCTATAGTCAAGAGTTTCGGAACGATCTTCGCGCACAATTTTAAGTTTTTCTGTCAGAATTTCGTGGACGATTGTTTTGGGAATTGACAGTTCCTCGCTATCATTCTAAGTGTCAATCGGCGGTTATTAAGAACACAGCCCCGAATTCGTTCAACATTTTCGTCAGAGCTCGATGCGGAGGGGCGTCCTGAGCGTTGGTCATCTTTCACATCTCGGCCTTCCCGAAATCCATGCCGACGGCAGTTAAAAAAGGGTTACTTTCGTAACGCTCGACGTTTTTCGAAAACAATAACAGTCGTATACAATTTTGCTGGCTTGCTGTGATTGGAGGTCAAACTGTCAAAAGTAGATGGTAAATTGGCATACTTGATAGGAAGATAAACGATTTATAATCATGGACATGATCGCCATCTACTTCCATTTTTCCAGGTTACCCCAAGATTCACTGGTTCTTCTAAGCTTTTTTAGAATGTAATGTATAAAATATGATGATAATTTAGATGCTTTAAACGTCAGTAGTAGTGAAGTAGTTCTTTTGAAATTTGTACGAACAGAGTATTCTTTACAGGGAAGTGATCAAGGGTAGAACTCCACCTAGAAGGCCCAGGTCAAAATCACCAGATCGAAACAGGCGTTCAACATCGAGATCCAGGAGGTCGCGAAGCGCGGATAAATACAGAAAGAGGCCAAAGTCCAAGACACCCGAGAAAAGGTTAAAAAAAGAGTCTGAAAAGGATTTATATGATTTTATAAAGTTTGATAAAGATGCAGAGGAGAAGTATAAGAAACTGTTGTTGCTGAGAAAAAAGATGGAACTTTTGGAACTGAAGAAAAAGAAAGAGGAGGAACAGGTATCGTTACTGTAGTTAGTGTAAAATTATATGCAAAAAATCTATAGCTGCTGGAGGCAAGACATGTTTTTTGCTTGTTTTTGCTTTCCACGTCTATTGGCGGGAAAGTATTGTACGAGGGATGTCTTTTAAGTTTTGCATATGGAAATAAAACAACACGGTAGGTAGTTTTCCACTCGTTTGCTGGCAGATCCAAAACGGCATTTTTGAATGCGTCAGCTGCTTCTTCTGGTGACTGGAACCTTTGACCACGCAGTCTGTTTTTAATTTTCGGGAAAGTAAAGAAATCGTTAGGACTTAGATCGGGACTATATAGAGGATGGTCCAATAATTCCACGTTTTCTTCCGTTAAATACTGCCTTGTTTTTTGGGCTGTGTGCGAGCTTGCATTGTCTTGGTGGAGGATGATTCTTCTTTCGGGGTTAATTTTTCGAAGCTCGGTGATGACTTTTGGCAAACAAATGGTGGTATACCAATCCGCAGTAACAGTTCTTTGCTCATTAAGAGGAATTGTTGCAATATGACCCGCATTTGACACAAATGTCGCGACCATCTTTTTCGAAACACTTCGAGAACGGATGACTTTTGTTGGCTTTTCTTCACCTTGGAACACCCAAACAGCCGACTGTCGTTGATTTTCTGGTCCATAACAGTAAATCCACGATTCATCACCACTAACAATGCTGTACACATTTTTTGAGTTTCCGGAATTGAAACGGTCAAGCGTTTTTTTAACACCAATTAACCCTTGCTGCTTTCTTCAGTCAAAAGGTGGGGCATCCAACGAGAAACTAATTTTCTTACTCCTAATTCTACATGTAAAATTTTTTGAATTGAGGTCTTTGAGATCTTCAAGGACGCCGCAATCTCGCGATGTCACATGTCTATCTTCAATGATGAGTTTGCGCACAGCATCGACGTTTTCCTGGGTGACTGCCGTTTTTGGTGCACCCACCATGGAATCGTCGCTAAGACTCACCCGTCCACGTTTGAATTCTCCATACCAACGGGAAATTGTCGACTGATGTGGCGCTTCGTGAGGTTAAGATTCAGTACTGACGTTCGATGCCCGCGGCCTACTATGTTTCTATATGCAAAACTTAAAAGACATCCCTCGTAATCGCGAAAATTTTCGAAAATGAGATATTTTGTTGTTTGGATGTTTTATGATAAGTACATCACGAAACATTATGTCGATAATTGTCGTCTGTCTGGCTATCCGCTAATCCTATAACCGTCTGTAACTTGGGAAGTATTGTTCTTCGGATTTTGATGAAATGTTTACACAATGTTACTACTATGCCAAGGAATCGGTCCAGTAGCGTCGAAGAAAAAGAGCAAGAACGAAAAAAAAAAATATAGCCGCACAAGCTTCGTTTTATGACGTTTCAGAGCATTCTGCTCATTTTTTTAAAAAGTTTAGATTTTTGAAAATTTAAGGGTGAGAGTTGTAGGGGCTGTGGAGGGTATATCTCGATTTCTTGATAGTATATTTATTCGCTCCCAACCTTGGTAATTCTATGCAGCTATTAGACATCTCACTCATCATAGATGTTCTTGTACATTAGTCCTTGAAACTTAAAATATTATCAGCGTACCTAACGGCTGCATCTGCTTCTGCTGCCGGTGGCGTGCCGGTCCTGTTCTGGTATTACTGAGGGTCGACTTTGTGCGGAACATTATCTTTAATGAACCGATACCGGCGTTGCATGGGAAGTGCAGAGTGAACCTGCTTGATGCCATTTTTGTAAACGCTTTGTTTTCAATCACTTTTCTGCAAACTGCATTTAGTTCCAAAATGCATGTCTTTTTTTGTCTACTTATAGAAGCTACTAGAAGAGAAGCAGCGGAAAGCTCTGGAAGAAAGTGAAATGTTGGAGAAAGCAAAGAAGGCCAAAAGAGATGCATTGGAGAAAGAAAAACTTCTGAAAACCTACAAGGTACTGAAGGAGATCGATGGAAAGAAGCGTACCAGGCAGCGTTCTAGTAGCTCAAGTAGCAGTTCTGACAGTAGCTCTAACTCTGGCGTTGACAGGCGCAGGTAAGATTATTACAAAAATCTCAATGAAAAGGCGGAGTTTCTCTTGTACCACTCATCCATACGGACTATACGCTTTTTTTACATCTGTGCTGGAATGGAAAGGCAAAAGAGCTATTATAGGTAATAGCGCTCTTATTTTACTGCTTCGTTAATTTTGAGTTTGCGCAGAGCCGAAACAATCCTTTGTTTTCCGTTATGCAAATCAGAAGCCCTTTTACTTTCAGAGAATAAAGGAAAGCTTAGTTCATAATGATTTTTTCCTTATGTAGCATTGTAGTCGGAATTCCAACTGCTAGAAAAGTTTTATTAAAATAATTTACGAATATGTTGATAGTAATTAATATTTTCTTTTCATTATGTTTGTAGTTTTTTTCTTCAATTGAACTTTCCCACTATACAAATATTTGGTAAATTAGACAAATTCTCAGATCACGCTACGGTATCTCATTTTATGTCGGTTAATTTCTTGGACGCAGGATTATAGCTTTAGGTTGGCTAACTAAATATTACCTAAAGTTTTACAAAGGCCCGGAAGTTTGAGGTTAGCTTCACGTCGAATCATAAAAAAATAAGCATGATTGTGAGTAATAGGTACTGTCAAATTACCACAATTCACTTTAGTGATTATAAAAGATCTTTCTCCGTCGTTATTTTGTATTGCTGTCAAAAATAACGTATCGATTCGTTATTTTGGCACGCTGAAAACTCTATTCTTTTTGATTTTGCTTCAGGCTGTTTCTCTACATAAATTTGTTTCTTTTCCTAACAAGGTTTCAAGACCTGGTATTGGTACCTCGATCTGTGGACCGTGTAGCGTCCCTCATTTGGTTCTGAATGAAAAAATGTGGTTTTATTTTATATAAGCCATTCTGTTCCTACATTTTCCATTTTTTTTATAGCGTTTAATATATATTGAACGATTTTTTTTTCTTATGGAAGTGACAGAAAGAAAATGGATTCCAGAGACCAGTCGAAAAAAATGAGAAGACGGAACTCCTCACAATCTTCTAGGAGCAGCTCTAGAAATAGAAGCAGATCGAGGGGCAAAAAAAGAAGCCATCACACCCCTAAGAAACATCGCAGATTGTAGGTGTAAGATGCATACATTATTATTGATTGTTTTCATTGCGTTAATTTTTGTGTTGAGTTAATTTTCTTTATTCTCTGTATAACCAATAAAGAATGGCTGAGTATACATGTGTTTCAATAACTACATTGTATAGAGGGTGTTTCCTGATGTCGGTATTTAAGGTGGCGACGTTTGGGTCCATTTTGAGAAGAAAACTTCATATTCCTAAACGTCTACAGGATGGTGTTTTCAATATAGAAAGTCAGTTTCACGTCTTTGACTTTGCATATAATAAGAGACAATTTGAAACCTGTATTGATGATCAGATTTTTTGTACCTTATAGAATCTTCGAAATTACCAATATCGTAAAATTTTGGTGTCGAAAATGGCAAAAATCGTGCAGGTTTTTTTTTTGAAATTCTGACTAGGGTAGAGTACTCGGCTTGTACCCAGTAATCGGCTGCTCGGACCTTTTTGCCGAGTTTTGAATTACTCTAACGGGTAATTACTGCCAAGACGCACAACTTTTGTGATTCAAAGAATTGCAGATGACATGTTCAATGCCTTCCCCTCCAAACCTCCCCAAAAAATAGCCGAGGTGCAACGAAGTTTTGCCGGATCAGTTGCCTGATTTGAATTATTTTGTAGTAACTATCGACCGTCTTCTCCAGTAAGTTAGTGTATTGCTTGACTTCTTTTTAATATACAACGTGTTTCTACTCCCATGTTTTTATAGTATTTTTGTATTCCTTATTTCGACAGGTTAGTGCAAAAATTAGCTAACACCCAAACGAAGTTTTTAGTAATTGACATTCACATGTTCGACAACACTTGAATCGGATCGAAAAATATGTCGTGAAAATGTTATTCAAACACAAAACTAGGATATAAGGGAACATAAACTAAACAGATTTATCTGTAACAGGTATAAGTGTACTCGTAAAAATGTAGTCAACTCAAATAGAAGAAAAATGGTTTTGCAGTAGGCTGGCAAAATAAATTAATGAAGCAAAAGGTAGCAGGAATGGCTTCTGCAAATAAACTCTTTACTCATGCCTAAGGATAATTTGGGTTAACATCCAGGAGTTTTGGTCATTTAATAACCTCGGAAAGATCAGAAACGTCTAGGATGTAATCCCACTGATCAATTTTTTGTTTAATTGAAGATTTTGGGGCCCTATGGTTGCCTATCTGCAACAAAAATGTACATTTACGATGTTCAGTAGAAAATCTTGCGTGCTTCTTTTGTAATAGGAGCTATTGCAACTCTTTATACTTAAAAAATAAAAACTTCTAAAATTGCCGTAAATTCACCGTTGGTTTATTCAGAAAACATTGTCTGCTGCACAACTCTGGTGCGTTAATTCCTTGAAAAATTAAATCAATTTTTGAAAATAATCTTCCAAAAACACAAACATCTAATAACACTAACAGTGGGTGAAATAACCCAGAGCAAATCATTCCACCAAGGCATCAAGTACCCAGTACTCAGCCTCATAAAAAAGTAGTACATGGTGCAACCGTAATGTTGACAACTGTTACAGCCTACCTTGAAATGCAAAGTTAAGTCCTCCTTTGAACGTTGATCAAGTAAGTGGCACTCTATTCAATCCTCAAGGAACGTCTATAAATGTGTCCGTCATATATGCTTATTTCCCCAAAAAAATAGATAAGATGATATACACCGTAAGGGCTATGTAGGCACTGTATTCTCTTTCATCAATAAAGAATTCCGAAGATCAAATTTCGCCCCTCTTGGGTAACAATTCATAAATGACGTAGAAAGCGATTCTCATTATTGCGGACTTAACGATCAGATAGTAAAAACCTAAATGGTTATTTCCTAATCAAATTAAGTCGGATCTCACGCCAGTCAGACTGTAAATATACGGAAGCGATAAAAAACTCCAGTTCTCATCATTTCGTTCATAGAATAGTCACGAATTGTTGATATTAAAATTCATTATTGATTATATATATATAAATAGAGCGTTTTTGATGGCTTTGTGACAGGAAGTGTGTTATCATGCAGAACTGCTAGCTTTTCAAAATAATTAGCTGCGCAGATGAAACTAGAGGCGCCTCTTGACATGAGAAAGAATTGTTGATACATGAATCGGACGATATTACTGCCCATATGGTGATATATGTCGGCCGATATAAATGATAAAGTTGATAACGTTCAATATACATGTAACATCTGAAACTGGTCTTGTGTTACCAGTGATTTTTTAATATACCAGTCACGTCACCCTCGTCCATCGTCCTGAAAACGCGAAAACCCGCCCAGAACTGTTGTTAATTGTTATGCAGTCTTCGACTAAAATGGTCCATGTACATTGGTTATCGATTTGAAATGCGAAAAAATAGCACTTCGACATCTAAAGGGAACCATTTTGCTTTGAGAGGCAATAATATGACACAACAGGCTTTCAGATGACAAAGCAAAACATCTGGGCATTTGAGAACCAATAACAAAACATAAGAAAAAAACCTGAATAAAAACTTCTTTTAAAAATTGCTATCCTCTTTGTGTAGTATTGGGACTTCCTCCCATTTTGTAGATTTATCTGTTGAAAGAAATTATTCCTTTGTTACATCAGAATATAGAAAACGTGTACAAAAGAGGGTGTTAGAAAATATTTGACATAGCCAAACGAACATCGAATCAGTCGAATCTTTGATAAAGAAAAACTTTTCCTGGAAAGCATACTATATAGTAATGGTTATTCTCAAAAAATTGTTAAATTTCAAATTCAAAGACTTAACTTTCCACCTACTTACTTCGTCATTTCAAGGCCGAACTGTTGTGTCTTACACACAAGACAAACGACATGGTTACTTTTGGATGCCGGTACTATATGTCGCATTCCAGATCCACATACAGCATTTTAATCGAAAAGGCATAACAATTGACTGGTGTATTATGACATCAGTTCTGAGTAGGTTTTTAGGTTTTCTAAAGAACTTTTGGAGTTTTCGGGACGATGGACGAGGGTGACGTGTCTGATATATTAAAAAACGACAAATAACATCATACTCGCATGTCGCTTTGGAGCGCTGGACGTCCTTTTGGGACGAGAATGCATAACCGCGGCGGTCCTGGGCTTTGCATGTTTTTCGTGATGCCAAAATTAGAATTATGGTTTCACGAAATCTCAGCATTTATGACCTTTCAGACTATATTGTAGTAACACATTGTTATGAATCTGAAAATGAAAGGGAAAAACAAACGAAATGTTACCTGAAAGATACATAGATAATAAATATTGTCAAAAAGTGTCTATTGTACCTGAAGAAGGCCAGCAGCCATTTCGACTCTGTGGTTGCGACCGTAACGTCATGCAATCAAGATTAATTTCAAACATATGTGGTTTAATAACATTCAATGTTATTAAATGGAAAAAACACAACGCAATATATAGAAATTATATTTTAATTGTATTGAAGTAACCTCTTTTTTTACATGTATTTGTATGTAATAAAAAACTCAGTAATGTGTTGTGCGAAAAATAACGGTGGCACTGTCACCTAAGCATTTTTCAGTAGACCCAAATTTGTTCGATATATGGTATTAATACACAAGGTGACTTTCTAGTGCAGACTCGGTCGATAACTTCACTAATATACATAGTAGCCGAAAAGATAAATTACTAAAATTGTAGCCAACAGCATGTTTCCTACCTGGAAAACATTTTTACCTCTACAAGGCCATTCAATACCACGTGGCTGCCCAAACACAGTTTTCCCCCAAAGGAATGACCTACACCCTCTAGCAGACCTGAACAAAGTCCTGCGATATGTACATAAATCGGTAAAGCAAGGAGAGCTGATTATTTAGTTTGTATGAAATCAAAACCGTGATAAATACTCAAACACGCGGCAAATCTTCGAAAAACGATAATGGATATAAATGCTCAAAATGGTATGTGGAGATCGAAAAGTAAGTCTCCAGATTTCTCACCCGTAATTTTGATGAAAAACTTATGTTGAATTCTGGATGAATACGGGGAATTGAAGGAAAAACGTGATAAGAAAACCGCTGAACCTGAATTCCTGTGGAGTAGCATCGAAAATTCCAAGTAAAAAGATCCACCACAGGTGCGGGTGGATTGCTAAAGAAGAGGACACAGTAGAAAAATATGTTCCAGATTCATATTCGCTTGTCTGCTTTCCTTCTTCTGTCATTGTATACGGGTGGTTATAGTTGCAGATGCGGAAAGCAAACATACCCTATTGAACTACTACTAACCTGCTGCAAACTGGCATCTGGAGAGATTAACTCGTTCTAAATGTGATTGCAGCATTGTCGAATGGTCAGCAGGGCTAGATCACATATCTTTGCCAAATGGATGTGGGCTGATGGAACTATATAATTGTATGAGCCTGTTTGAGACAGTGACTTCTTCCAAACATAATTTTTATAAACTGATGACAGCATTGTGTGGAAGGTGCATAGTCAACCTACTTGACACAAGTTTTCGAATGTACATCAATTTCCAACGTTCTTCATCAGACTCTATTGAATTATTATTAAATCAGTTTTGCAAAATATTACCAATTCAAATCAGGGAAGACATTAATGTTTACCAACGAATAATAATAACATATAAAGTATACCCTACATACAAAAGCAATATTTATTCATTCAAAATTGTTTCCAAATGACCTTTCTTATAAAATCATTTCAATTTTAAAAAATAAATTAATTAACACGTATCTTTACGTACCACCTAACAAAACATTCAATATTTATAAGTTAGAATTTATCAATATAGGTTAAATCCTCATACAAAGTGGTGATATAACCATATCAATTCTTCCAAGAATATTCCAAGGTATCCCGAGCTATAAAAATATATAAAATGCTCAGAAGTAACCCATATCGAGCCCCCATATTCTAAATTCAATCTGATTTCGCATTTGGGCTGAGTACGGGCCACTGCCGTTGAGGCCCACTTGATAACATTGGACAGGAGAGGCCTACTCACTACTCACTTTACCAGCCCAAGGTTTGAAACTCCACCAGCGGCGTAGACACGGACGATGAACAGAAGGGTTAGATAGAAAATGAAATGTATAAATGTTATGAACTGACAAATTTGTATCTTTTGCATTCATCCCTTTCCTATACTCAGAATCAAGGTCAAATTGAGAGAAAAGCGTATTCTATACTGTAAAGGATATCGAATTTCAAATGCATAATACACAATTTAAATATCAAAATGATTGATTAACGTATTCTACGTGAAGATATAAAAATTATACGAGATGAAATGAGATACTATATCTATGAGAATTTGTCACAGCGACGTTTCTCCTCTCCGCAATAATTAGAAATCTACTTTGAAATCTTAGTGTCTCGGACAGCGCTTTTCATCAGACACCAACCTTTTCAAAGTAGATGTTTAATTACTGCGGAGAGGAGACACATTGCGGTGATAAATTCTCATGAATTCAAGAGGGTATCTGTCTGAGGAAGGGGGGGGGCGCAGCGGTGGTCGCAGGATTCACGTCTAGGAAGATGTTCACCTTTGAGGGTTATTTGTGATCAAACATTGAAGAGTGTGGAGGGGTGGCGACTGCATGCTTCTGCACTTAAACATCGCCTCTAAGAGCAAATGCTCGTGTGGCAATTGAAGAGCGGGGGTAGGATATGTCTAAGAGTGCACACGTCTCACCATTTAGATCTAGCAAGGTAATTTTTACACCAACACATGGCAATAAATTCCACATTTCTTAATCGATGTCAAAATATACAAAAATGAAGCCAAAGTGCAATCCTGAACAGGTACTGCTAGCCCCGCTGTTTGGGAAAATTTCTAAAGCATCACGAACCTCGTAAAATACTCAACTGAATATCGTTATGCGTTTTTAATTTTTCAACGAACCGTACCACGGGTTTATTAATTTTGAATTCGAATATTTCAATTTACAATTTTGCGTTTTTAGAATACTGCATTAATAAAAATACAGTAAAATAGGCTGTTCGCCTCATTTAGAACAACTTTTGCATAATTACTGTACAATATTCCTCATTGATAAACTTTCCTCCGTACGCCACTGGCAGGTGTTTATTCACTCCAAGCAGCATTCTCAGATAGCCATTACATTTCCGGAAGTTCGTATACTTACCGTAAACAGCGGCAACGTGGTCGGCGACATGTGCGCATGTGCAGTAATTCGCTAAAATCTGAATGGTCATCGCTCTGAAATTTCCTTCAGTAATTTATCGCGGTGGTTTTGTGCCTCGGTGGTTTTCGCGCATCTTTATTTTGTGTGCTGGGTGAAGCTTGTGTTTTCCAACAAATCCCAAATGAATAAGCATTTATGGCGCTTAGAATTCTTCAATTCGGCGCTCTGTTTGCAGTAGGATACACCTTCGACGCGAATCCATGTAAGTCAAAACACGTGCCATTTATCGCCCAGAAACCTATTTTACTATTTTTCGTATATCAACATGGCGGGTTCGTCCCGAATGATGTGTTTATTTCGCGTTGTTTTTGCGTAATTACGACTTCCTTGTAATTAAATCGACTTCCTAGGTCAACGATATTCAGATTGAGGTAGTTGGCTATGACCGATCGGCGTTTGCTTTGGCTGTCAGGAAGAAAACATAAATGACGAACAACGATCTGTCAAACTTGCCGATGCCAATTTGATTTGCCCATTTCGGTATTTTGTTTACATAGAATTTTGACTTTCTTATCTCGTTTTATCTGATGATAAAACGTTACCCTAGGTCTTTTATCTTGCAAAACACTCCGAAGTCGTGGAAAATGGATATTCGTCTTACAGATCGGTAGCAGGAAATAGGAAGAGGAAAAAAATGTGTGGTAATGCGTAATAATCTGTTTCTGAAGGCGGATATAGTCGCCTATTGCATCATTTTTGCGAAGTTTATCATCTTATTGGATTCGATTTTCCCGTATTATCTAAATAAAATCCAGTCTACGCACGCGATTGGATGAAAACGTCGTTATTAAAATATGCATACTTGATTTTTATCAGCAACATTCTCTCTAACGTGTAGCGGTTTCTAAGTTTCTATCCCACAGGGGTTGGTGACCTAAAAAATACCACTCTCCATAGATTGAGTAATATTTCGCATGGGATCTGCATTTTAATTTATGTATTCTAACTGTAAGTTCTGTACTACTTAGTGGCATTGATTAAGTTCAAATACCTTTGGCGAGTAAGGTTATTTTTTAATTTTAAACCTTGCTGCTTACAGCGTACGCCAGTGACGGCACATGCGATCGGGGCTAAAAGGGATTCTGGAAAGTGGATAAACTAGTGCGCTGGTAAAAAACATTGACATTTACGATTTTAAAACATTTGGCATATGATTCTGTAGATTTTTTGCGCTTATATCTAGTATTTTTGATTATTCAGGTTCATTAAAATAGTTCATAGGTTTCGCTGGTTTGTTTATCAGTGACACAGTTTTTATAGTCTCCTGAAAAATTCGAATTATGTGACTTAAGCTTTCTCAATGACTGATTCACCTAAGTATTACTTGGTGTTGAAAATGAGCTGCTTTTTGTACACTATATTGTATCATGTGAAAATTTCTGCTATTCTAAGGACCAGCATATAATGATATAGTAACTACAGTGACAAGTTTAGTTTAGTCCTACAGCTTAAACCAAACTTTTCATTGAATAATTCAAGTACTAATTTAAATGAGGCTCATTTGTTGGATTAAAAAAATTGAAAACAAATTATTGTGTTTTGTGGAATCAGATATCTCCATAAAATCTACCTATTGTGATTTAACTAGTAATTCTATTTTTAAGCATTTAACTAGCCAGTAGGCTGAGTGAATTGGGAGTTTCAAGACTTGTATCAGACTTAAAACAGGTTTAATTTATTGTTCTTGATACACTCGAAATGGCTTACTTATCAGTTTTTATGAAACAAACTGCTAAAAGTATAAAAATAAGATATTTGAATGAATAAAAAATTTTAACTACCAATAGTGTACAATCAATTTATTTTGCTAATTAATTAGTACCATTTATTGAGTTTTGGCATTCAACTAACAAGGTGTTGATTTTGATAAAAGAAAAAAAAAATGAAAATTGAGTAGGTAATTCTTATCATGCTAAACTTCAACAGAATTAGTTCCATAGTGCCTGAGATAATGATAATAAACATCTTTATTTCTGTAAAAGTAAGTAAAGTAAAAATGTAACAACACAAAAAGAAAATAGTGACCTGGAATTAGTAAGGTTAGAAATCAATCAACAGTGTTTTGATTTTAGATGTAAATTTTTTAATACCACATGGTTTTTGAATCATCTGGTAGTTGTAGACTATTTTCAGTCAGTGTCAGTCTATGAATAGGGTAACTAACATCCAAGGTTCTGGTATTGTATTCATGAAAATTATGTGAATTGAACCTGTATTGTAAATATCTAATTCTATAATGAGTTAATATGTCAGATGATTTGATATGTTCCTATATTAATTTTGTTATAGACCGAAAAATATGCGAATAATTCAAGATACTGGACATACCAACAATAATTCAAAATGTTGTAAATTTAAACAATACAGGTGAATTTAGTAAGTTTTCAGTGTTAGGGCTCAGTACTCAATGCACCACAGTTCCCCCTAAGCCATAAGCATCACTCTGCCACTTGACTGAGGTGTCAATAAGATTAGCCATCCTTGATATTACCAAAGTGTCCTCAGTTCCCTAAATAACATTATAAAAGTAATGAAATACAACTGACTCTGAAGCTAAGAAATAATATGAGAATATAATTGTGCATGTACCAATGAGACCTGTAATAAGAATAAAAGATGTGGTAGCACTCATAAAAAAAAAATATGTAAACGCAAAATAAATAGATACAGTAAATAATAATTGTAACTTGAAATATTTTAAATATATGATGCAACTTCAGTCTGTGCCTGGACCCGCACTAGTCGCAACAGGATGGCTAGACACTGACACACTAGCTCGACATCCCCTGACACTGGCGCACTAGCTCGACATCGCGTCGACACTGACCCACTAGCTCGACATCCCGGCGACACCGACCCCCTAGCTCGACATCCCGTCGACACTAGCTGAACATCCTGTCGACTTTAGCACCTCTACCTCGACATCCCGTCGACACTGACGCACTAGCTCGACATCCCCTGACACTGGCGCACTAGCTCGACATCGCGTCGACATTGACCCACTAGCTCGACATCCCGTCGACACCGACCCACTAGCTCGACATTCCGTCGATACTGACCCACTAGCTCGATATCCCGTCGATTCTAGCTCGACATCTGGTCGACACTGACCCACTAGCTCGACATCCCGTCGACACTAGCCCTCTAGCTCGACATCCCGTCGACACTAGCCCTTTAGTTCGACATCCCGTCGACACTGGCCCAATAGCTCTACATCCCGTCGACACTGGCCCAGTATCTCGACGTATTGAAAAATCTAGAACTTTCAACCCTATTATACTGGTTTTATTTCTGTTTCAAGTTGTAACCTGCTTCAACATTTTAATGGTTCAACCACTTTTTAGCAAAGCCTCATGATCCTTACCAGCTGATGGCACATCAGTCTCATCATTATCCCACCTACCTTTATCTAGTTAGACAACATCTTGAGGACAATATCATACAAACTCAAACTCATATCTGAAACCACTTATTGTGCAATGCATCTATCTGGAGATGGCTAACCGCACATCTACACCTCTACACCTACACCTACACCTCTACAGGAGAAGCACGGTCTGTGGTCCCACCACACGTCCCGATGGAGTATCTCATTTCTGTTTTGCAGAACATATTTCCGATAAGAAGATGACTCCTCGGACACAGAACATTTCTATATATTTCTAGCCGCACGTTCCGTTGGACTTTGTTACGGAAAACCTTTCCCCCTACACGTTTTCACACGTCGGCATGTGAAGCTGTCATAGTTTATTGCAACTCTTGGAACATTGTCGTAGTCCGTTCTGAGTCACCTCTAGTGCCTCCACTCACAGAAAGGTATACTTATTAACTACTTTTGAAACAACTGAGGTCAGTAGGTCACTCCGAAAATATCGATTTATTTTCTTCGGGGTACTTTTCAACACAATAAACACAATTTCGGAATCGCGCTAAATAAAAACTGACTCAGGCCGGTAAGTTGAGCGAGGTCTATCCCACTTTCTGATGTTGTAGACCAAAACATATATATGTTAATAACTCAAGTTGTTGGATATATCAACAATAGACGCGGACTAGATACACCATGTTTTAAGTAAGGGATATGGCACGATACTCAACGTATCACAGTTCTTCCAGGACATCCCTCTAGCCACTTGTCATAATATAAACAAAGCAGATGCCTTGGATGTCTTAAATATCGTTAATATTTATTACCTCATCGTAGGCAGAGGTATCGATAACTTATCATTGAACAAGGTCAGCTGTATCTTTAGATATGAGAATAATAGATGGCTGCAAGGTTTAGGCCCCTTTTATCTCAAAAGTGACTCTTGGAGCTAAACGAAATGCTAGACAACAACGCGCACTTTCTCTCGTTTTCAAGAATATGTGTTCCAGATGATTATTATTTGGCTTCATCTCAGTTGATAATCTGCAAAATAACTTTTTACGGTTTTACGTCGGTTGACTGGCCTATTAATTGAACCGTTAATTTAGAAATACGTATCTAAGGTCCATTTCCACATATTTTCTGACTGCTTCGCGAAATTAAATACGTATATATCATTTATATCTGTCTTAGCACATTTGCTACTATATGCTGACCTATCTTGCCAGTTTATCTGAAGCACAGTTTAACGGCCACTTTTGAAGCGTTTGCGAAATTCCTGGTAGCAGTTAGATTTAGATAGGTCGTATTGGCATAGAAACAATGTTCAAGGTGCTTGGTATACAGAAATGATGAAATGGCGAATCTTAAGAAACAGGCCAATTCAGTCGTTTTTGAATTATTACGCTCGATATATCGTGTGACACAGGAAGGCGGGACTTTGGAAGAACGGGAAATGACAACGCTCATTGATACTTCGTCGAAAGAGAGAAACGGCGACAAGTAGATTGACTGCGTTAGTTTTTTGGTTCAGGTACAGTTTTACAAATAGCAATCTCTCGTCGATGACGGGCCTCCTTGAGGCTGTAAATATACTACTGAAAAAATTGAAATATATTTTTCAGTAATTTCGCAGTAATTACATGCCTATAGTATGAATGAATGAAATAAGAATGCCTCGTCGGCGAATTTTTTCAAATCTTTTTGCACTACCTCTCGCATTCTGAAATGAAAAAGAATTGAATCGGTCGTTTAAAAAACCCGTAAGTCACGCAATTTGAATATTTCTGGAGAAAAAAAAAAATTACTGACAAATAAATCAGTTTTGAAAGATGTACTGTTTATGACCTACTGGCGGGAAGTATTGAAATCGTGAAAATTTTAAAATGAGATACTTGTATTATGTTTGTTTAATGTTATATGACGTGTGCATCACGCCAAACATAATCCCTTTCGGATTGATGACAGCATAGCGAGGGAAGCACAGAGTCAACTTACTTGACGCCATTTTTCTCATACTATGTCAGCAAAAAGCGGCACAATTTTGTGGCCAACATTTTGTGAGTACCTGTCCTGTCGAAAACCACTTTCATCCTGATTACAGAAACATCAAATGCTGCAAATTATTAACGTCTGGCCTTTCATTCTGTAACTAAAAGAGACCGTGTGCGAATTTTTCCGTATATTACTCATGTTTGCTTTATTTTCGTGCCTTATGTAATAGCCGTTTATTTCCTTAATATTTTTTTCGGTCAAATAATTAGACTCAGTTGTTGTTAGCGCTTTGAATTGTGCGTATGTTAATAGTAATTTAATGGATGCCGGGTGGTTATACTTTTTATTCAATATCAACTGTGAGTATTTTTCCTTTTAATTACGGTACTGAACGTCGTCAAATTCGGTACGCTACTGATTAGTAAAGTGCTCCGTAGAACCGTTGCTTGTCTTAGGAAGGGCTAGAGTTTAGTCTTCGAATTTCTGTCACTGCGTAGGCAGACGCCTAAATACCGGGGCACCGCGACTGCTGTCAGGAGATTAGAGACACCTTGTTAATAGGATTTTTGTCTAATGTTAGAACTGAGAAAACATCCTCATGTCAATATCCTAGGAACAATGGAGCGGTGGTACCGGGCAGTTTGACGCAGTGGAGTGCGTGGACGTTTGTTTGCGTGCAACCAAAGCCATACGTTTTTTAGTTTGATCTCCACGAAAGTTTTCTCATCAACTGTATGAGACATTTATACTTGTCACTGTCAATAGGACAACTTGCTTGTCTTGGACGTGTGATTTGTGTTTACCCATATTGATATTCAATATAAAACATAGTAGAGCCTGAAGATACAACTGCAATGCGGGCAGTGTGCGTTAAAGTATTTTCAGAAAGTGGGTGAAAACAACGGTCCTCTATCACCCAATTCATGTGTGTGCAAGAGCGAATAGCAGCTGTATTATGGATCAGTTTGCACAGTGTGCAATTTTCCTTATGAAAGTAGAGCTACGCACGTTGTACCATTAGACGAATCTGTTTACTTATTTCTTACGGCATTGTGACATAACCCCAAAAACTGTGAAAAGAACTATATATGACTAGCGACTCTTAGTCCGCAGGCAGCAATTAGATACTCAAAATTACCTGCTGGCCTACCAGTTGCTATCAGTATTATACATATTGTAAAATATTTAATGGTGCACGACGAACCTAGATTAACAGAGTAGCCAATTTCATATGTAGTGTTGATATGTTAATATTTTTTTACTCTGATCCTTAATTATTGACACCCGTTTTGTAATCAGTTTCAAAACATTTCCATCTATTTTATAAAAAAATCACTTCAAGTCGACTTTTAATTCTGTAACTTATTCCACGGCGAAAAAATAAAATGATGTACATGATTACTTTGATTTTAACACTGATTTGGAAAGTATGGTTTTGAAAATGTTATATAACTCTGCGAAAGTGTAGCTAATTGCAATTACTATTTCAACTGAGCAAACAATGCTGATGAAGATATCACTGATTTTGTTACTAGAACGATACGAGTGTACCGTTTCAGGAATTTTCGGTATATTAGCAAAGATAATCCGAATTCTAAAACATTCCGTGTATTTCTCGGATTGACTTCAACTGACTTGGTATTTCTTGCCAGTATATTAAATACCTAGAAATTTATAATGTTTTAATCTGATTGTAACACAACTTAATTTTCAAGTTTCTAGACATTGCACATTAAAACATAAATTTCTACTTATAAAAAACCTACTCTGATAAAAGAGTCGCCCGATAAAATTGCAGTTTTTGATTGTGTTCTCCCTGGTTTCAGCATTTGGAAGTGCATTCAAAACGCCCGACATTAATTTATCTTTGAACGTAACGAACCCGGACGATGTAGTTGCACAGAAGGGTGGGACCGCTTTTTTCAATTGCGATGCTAAATCCACTGCAGGATCTTTGCAGGTAAGTTCAATTTATTTAATTAGTATCTGATTGTTGTATATTTATTCAAAGTTATACAAGTTATAGAAGAAAATTGGTTTACACAAACATCTGCCATGCCTTAAAAATGAGATGCTGCAACGTAGTAGTTTGTTTTGTCAATCCTTCGATTGTATCAAAACATACACTAAGGTCCGATTTCACTATTGAGCCGCAGGATCAAAATTTTTGATCCGGCTCAAAATGGACCAATGATAGCTCTTTGTAGTAGTGTATCTAATGAATATAGTTGATTTTTCTAAAATATCTCCAAACTAGCAAAAAAATGTAGGATTTGTGTAAGAACGCCTTCTACGTGATGCATGTTTTGTACGAATTTTTTACGAACTTGAAATATGAACTTACAGCACGGTGTCCACTTTGGAAAAGCCAAAAGGGTTTGGTTAAAACATCAAATCAGTCTTAAACTCAAGAAAATGTTTTATATGTACAGTAATGTACAAAAGTATATAGACAAATATGAATATTTACCTAAATACCTTTAGAAACCGAATTCATACTTCATTGCTCCATAAACAAATGCGTTATTAGTAGAAAAACTAAATTCCTTGTTTTTACATTATCTGCAATGAACGCAATACAAGTCTGAATATAAGCACCTTTTATGAGGGACAAAAATATGTAGACAAATTCTTTTCAACATTAGTTTAGTACAGTTTCGGGTCAGAAGAGGATTAGTTTGAGTTCATCAAGTATGGTGGAATAAGTTGAGTGATTTTAAGACCATGCCGCGTGGTCCAGAAATTTCTTTCGATGTGAAAACTAAGATCATTGAGTTATACAAAGATGGTCAACGTCAAGTCGACATTGCTAAAAATTTGAAGCTGAAGCGTAAAGCAGTTTGGGCAATATTGAACAAATATAAACAAAAAGGTATCTTGGAAGCCTGTAAGAGAAGTGGCCGGCCTAGAAAACTAAATGCTACATCAGTTAGATTAATAAAAGTAATTTCGTCCAAAGATCCGTTTAAAACCCCAAGACAAATAATAGCCGAAATAGAGACAAAACGAATTGTCAGTGTTTCTACGAAAACTATAAGTAGAAGACTAAATGATTTGAAGTTGTTTGCACGTCGCCCGAGTAAGAAGTCGCTAATCTCGAGGAAAATCCGTAACGACCGATTACAATTTGCACGGTTGCATCTTGATTGGAGCATCTGTGACTGGCAGACGGTATGTTTCAGTGACGAATCCAAGTTCAATATGTTTGGATCAGATGGTGTTCATTTCGTTAGACGTCCTATTGGACAAAGATTGAACCCCAAGTACACTTTACCCACTGTCAAACATGGAGGCGGGTCTGTTATGGTTTGGGGGTGCTTTTCGGGGTTTGGGATGGGACCTTTACGTAGAATAGATGGCATTATGGATAAGTTTTTATACACAGTCATACTAAAGCGTGGCATGTTAGCCTATATGGAACAAAATATGCCCTTAAGATCAATCTTCCAGCAAGATAATGACCCGAAGCACACTTCAAATCTCGCAAAGAAATTCTTTCTGGATGAAAAAATACCAGTTCTCACATGGCCTTCACAATCTCCCGATATATACTCCAATAAAAATCTATGGGAATACTTAGATAAGCAAATACGAAATAAAAATTATTCAAACAAGGATGAACTTTTTGCCGCTTTAGCGCAAAAGTGGTGACAGATTGATGAATCTTATATCAAGAAACTTCTACAATCTATGCCGAGACGATGCCAGGCGGTGATTGATAATAATGGTTATGCTACAAAATATTAACACAAACGTGGCTGGTTTTCTATAATTCAATGAACTTTGCTTCTTTTTTCTATAATTGTTTTGCTTTGTCTATATATTTTTGTCCATAGTTCCAGTTTTTTTCAATTAATTTTTCATTGAAGGGAGTCTAATGAATTTATTTATGTATAAGTGAGTATTATGCTATAATTATGGATACAGGTTGGTGTATTAATAAAACTAGTTAAAAAAGAAATACAGCACAATATTAATTTGTCTATATACTTTTGTCCATTACTGTATGTACATATATATGTAGTATCGGTTCGTCTTTACAGAACAATCTCACCGCTTTGTTCAGGTTTTAGTAAACATTCATTCGAAAGCTACAATATGGCTTAAAGGTATGCGTCCACCTATTCGCGGCAGCCGCAGAGCAACGGATTTTGACATCCGAGTTTCAACGTGTACGAGAGAGAGATTACTGAGTGGTGAACGTGTATGCAACGTTGGGCTGGGTTTACAAGTGCAGGCTGGATCACAATATTGTCAAGCCTGGGGGAGTATGGACTAATTGTATGAGCCTGTTCGACTGACATGATCTACTTAATTCCTTGGTTGTACGTGTGCCGAATGAATGAATTGATGGCAGCATTGCGTAGGAAGTGCAGAGTCAACCTGCTTGATGCCATTTTTTTTGCTGAACACGCTTCCTTAAAGCTAGATGCTTATTCATAATACTCAAATGTATTAAGCCTCAAAAGGACCTATATTTATTTGTGAATGACACCGTTTTATTGATCCTGAAAAATTCAGACTGTGGAGTTATGAGTTTTTTGAAATGACTGATTCTATTATTATTTTTCATATTTCAGAGGAGATGGCAGCACGACAACAAGGTTATACACGAAAATGACCGTGGTTGGAAGGTTCTCCGAAACGGTACATTAGAAGTTATCGCGAGCCGGGACACAGTTGGAGAGTACCGATGTGTGGTCAGGAATGACGTCGGTGCTCTCGTATCTGCCCCCGCCAGGCTGCGACTAGCATGTGAGTACTGTTGCTAATTAGTTTTCTGACGCATAATCTGCAAATTTTCATTCTCCTGAAAATAGTTTACGTTAATTATAACAGTTCAATGTTCAATGTTGAACAAGTGGAATCCACTTATAATGAACTTGCTTATAATGCAAACCCGTATATAATGGACACAATTTAAGGTCCTATAAATAGTTGCATGTAAAATCCTCGGATATTATAGACTCGCTTAAAATAGACCCTCACTTATAGGGGACTATTTTAATGCATTATAGGCGAGCTATTTTGGTAGTTCCCCGAAGCAGATTTAGCTGATGCAATCGTTTGCGGCGGTTTGGCTTCCCAGTTTGCATCGAACCAGTGTTACACTGTATTTATTAGAATCATAAACATGTCGAAAAGTTCGAAACGTGCATCCACTTCACACGGAAAGTTCACAATAATTAGTGAGCTTGAGCAGGGTTCATTTCAAGCAAATATATGTGCTTGTATGGCTATGAAAAAATCCACTGTGGAGAAAAACCGTGACAAAATTAAAAACGACTGAAAATCAAATAGTAAAAAAAAAAATGTTTAAATGGTTTCAATAAAAGCGTGCTAATAATTTTCCAATAAGTGGACCTATGCTACAAATAAAGGCTGAATAATTTGGGAAATTTATTGGAGATTACTTCAAATAAATAATAAATAAATAAATAAAAACGCCTTTATTTTAAATTCGGCGAAGGCCAGCTATGCTGTTACCTTAACCGAGCATGTAAAAAGTAACAAGTTACAACAAGCCAAAAAGAAAAGTAATATGACAAGAAACAAGTTTTACATTACAGTAATTTTAGAATATTACATAACATCAATGAACAATAATAACTACAGATGTACGTATACAAAGAAAATAAGCAATAATAAACAAAAAACTTATACTTCACAGAAGCAGTTGTTTCAGTTTTCATTTGAACATATTAGGAGACATATCTTCAAATTGACCTATATTGTATTGGTTTAGAAGTTTGACTGATGTATATGATGTCATGGTTTTAGCTATTTTAGGTATTTCATAAAGTACATTAAAGCGTGTTGCACGAGAGTGAATCAGATTTCTACGAGTTAATTTTTCAATCATATATGGAGGGCTTTTAGTTTTGATCAATTTATGAAGAAAGCAAGCAGCTTTTCTCGATTGGAAACATTCAACCATTTCAGTTCGGCAAGTTTATGACTGACATGATCGTGACGTCTAAGCTGGTAAATAAGTCGTATGTAAGAATTCTGCACTTTTTGGAGTTTATCCTTAGTAAATACATCTAAGCAAGGACCATACACAAAGTTGCAATAGTTAAGGCAACACAAGACCAGTGCTTTGCAAAGAACCTTTTTTAACTTAAAACTAAGAATATGTGACAGGTTTAAGAAAAGACATAACATTGTTTTTGGAAAAATGTGTTGTGAGTCAGCTTCAGTTATCAATGACTGGATTTCTCAAGTTTGGCCCGTTTTATCCAGTGATTATTCAGATGATAACATATTCAATGCAGATGAAACCGGGATATTTTATAGAATGCTACCAGATAAAAGGTGAAACTTGCAATGGAGGGAAACTATCAAAAGAGCGAGTAACTGTTATGATTTGTGCTAGTGCTTCTGGTACTGAAAAACGGAAACTATTGATAATAGGTAAGTGAATGAATAGAAATTCATGTTCTAATTTTTTTGATATTCAATGGCAGTGCTGCAAAGAATTTATGATCTTTTTTTTATTTCAGGGAAATTTAAGAATCGCAGGTGTTTTAAAAATGTTAAAACAAGTCCCGTCGATTATGTTGGAAATACTAAAGCTTGGATGACTTCATTTCAATTTTTGAAGAATATTTAAAAAAGTGGGACGCTGAACTTGTTAAGAAAAATCGTAAAATTTTGCACTTGGTCGATTATCCAAATATTCCACTTAATAACATCAAGCTTCAATTTTTTCCACCCAATGTGACATCAGTTCTGCAACCAATGGACCAGAGTGTCATTTGGAGTCTTAAACAAATGCATCGGAAACATATGTTGATGAAAATTATGCCGCTTCAAGAATATGTCAACATTACCAAAGCTGTTACCATTTTAGATGCTATAAATTTGCTTACTATTGCATGGGAATTGGTTACTTCAGAAACGATTCGTAATTGTTTTCCCCATGCTGGTTTAGCGAAAAACATAACTGAAATAGTCAACGATTTTAATCCAGAAGATGAAATTCCATTAAGTGATTTAATGAAAATTAATAGTTTACCGAATACAGACAAATTTAATGAGTATGTTAATGTTGACAATAATTTAATAGCAACACATGAATTGTCAGCTTTCAATTTGGTTAATGAAGGATCCGTTGATAACGAACAGGAAGACGAACTAGAAAGCAACGACGAAGAAGAGCTTCCAGTGACAACTAAGGCGGCATAAGACAGCGTGAAAAAGTTGCAACGTTATTTTCAGCAAGAAGAAGGCAGTACATCCACACGTACCAAATTAAATAAAATTCAACTTGCTGTGCTAAATAATTATACAAAAAAAAACAATCTGTTCAAATGAAAATTACTAGCTTTTTTACCAAATAATTTACGGTTTTTACACATACCTACACAGTAATGTAATATGTGTATCAGATTCTGAAAAAATGCAAATTTCAAAATTACGTATAACTTTTTTGTATGTATCTTTAATCATGTAATACATGTTAAACAAACATAGACTATTTGTCACAGTCCCGCCGAGTCCATTATAAGCGGGTTCCACTGTATTAGCTTTATACAATTAGCCGAGACTTGCACGCAGGCATTTAGCGTGTTTAGTGGTCTTTATAGATACTGATAAAGTACGATTCCCTCTACTTACAGTCTCCCTTGCAAAATACCTCGTTATGTCCGGTCACCTCTTTTATGTCTCATGTTCTCCACGTTTCTTCCTCACTGTGTACAAGGCCCAGCGGCCTGATTCTAAATGAGTTTCAACAGTTGAAATTGATTTCGGTGACGCCTTGTGAATATAGATCAATATAATCAGATGTCAAAATTATCATAGTGAATCAAGAGTACCGTCACAACGCGCCATCGATATCAATTTCAACTGTCCAAGCTCATTTAGAATCAGGCCCCAGGTAGGGCCTAGCCTCGATGACTGCTCACAATGTTTGTCCCCGACTACATCATTCATACTTGGTGCTGTTCAAAAGAGAGCTGTCTGAGTGACCGAAAGTTATAGTTGTATTGATTTTAGCTATGGAAAAGGAGTTCAGCATGAGCCCGAACGATACGTCAGTAACAGAACTACAACCTGCACTACTGCATTGCAGTATACACTCTACGCCACCCGCTGATGTTCAGTGGGAGTACAGTGACTTACCTCTACCTCATAATAACAGGTTAGCATTTAATCTTACCCCTATGTACACGGGAAGAGGTTTTATTGTGTAAATAAAAAATAACGGTTTTCACAGCAAAATTGATTTGGAAATAACTTTTATTGTCCCCCCATAAAATTTATTTCCGTTTTCGTTAGGACATTCTTTATGCTTGAAGACTACTTCGTTGGATTGAATCATAGATGTATCACTTTCAGCTGAAAGGACTTGCACAATACTATAGAATATTTCCCTATTGTTTTTTCATAGAGATGTATAGATTCGTCTGACCATTTGTAATTCATAATCATTTTTATACAGTTATGAATTTTGCGCTCAAATCACAACTGATTAGAGAATAAATTCTCACTACATGATACATTAAAAACTTGGACTTACGATTTTTTGTTACCTGATACAATTTTAATTTTTCAGATATGTTCCTTTGCCCAGTGGGTCTTTGTTAATTTTAAATTCCAAAAGCTCCGATAGTGGCCGTTACAGGTAAGCTTTTTACTCAAATATGCTTAATATACAACGTGTTCAAATCTATCCTGGTTCACTTCGAAGAATTTTTATTTTACTCCCCATTTTACGAAATCAAAATCCCCCGTCCTCTAGTTTCTCTACCACATACAAAATGTGGCAATGAAGTTCCGGGAATTTTCAGTAAAAAAAGCATACAATAAATTTTGGCCAAAAATTAATTATTGACGTTCACAATAGTCTCCTTTTAAATCTATGCTATTCCTATAACTGCAAGCACCACTTGGTTAGTATAATTCCTTAAATACATATTTCATCCATGAAATGTAAACAACAGTACAAAAACAGAAGCATAAATGAAGAGTACAAACCTTATTATAAGATATGTATTGTACCTATGTGCAAAGTAGGATACGGAAAGGATAAAGTATTTTTTCATATTCCTCGAGATGCTAAGATAAAGGTGGTGTAAAATCATGAAAACGGATAATATTTCTCCAAAAAGTAATTCATATTGTAAATATCATTTTAACGTAAGCACAGAACAACCACTTTGCTCAAAAATGATCAGCTTGTTTCTACCTTAGGTTTCAAAGATTATGCATACCTTTTTTCCATTTGTCACTTAAAAGAGCATCCTAGCGCTCATCCGGTTGTGCTAAAGAGCCATTCATTTCGGCTGGTCGGAGTCCAGATCACCGAGGACCTGATCTGGCACGAACACATCTCGTCAATATCGGCAGCTGCTGGGAAAAAGCTAGACTATTTGTTTAGGGCTAAGAAGTACTTTTCTCCGCATGACCTTCTCACTCTATACAAGGCCTAGATAAGGTCTAGCCTCGAGTATTGCTCACACGTTTGGAGTGCTGCCGCCCCGACCACATTATTTATGCTCGATGCTGTCCAGAGGAGGGCGGTCCGACTGATCGATGACTTTTCTCTAAAAGACAGTCTCGGGACCCTTTAGCACCGGCGGACCGTCGGCGGTCTAGCTCTTTTCTACCGCTACACCAACGGGCTTTGCTCCTCAGAGCTATCGTCCATGATGCCGCCGCGCGATGTGCCTGCCAGACAGACCCGCATGACTTTGGCGTCCCACCCTAACCGTGTCGAACTTCGTACATCCGCAACTGGCCGATAAGACCACTCCTTTGCCCTGAGGAAGCTTTTCACAGTTCTGCTAACCTTAGGCAGTTCAAAAATCGTATTAACAAAATTTCTTTGGGATCATCATAGCAGCCGCGGTGTCCCGGCATTTAGGCTTCTGCCTGCGCGGCTGCTTAGGTATATAAAAAAAAAGATAATGCTATAACATTAGGTCCGACATTCTTTTAGTTTTTGGGTTATGCCTTGCTTAAATATAGTTTATTTTCATATATAATGTAGGTCAGTGATAATGATTTTAAATCGCATTGACTTATCAACAAGTGGGTTGGCTAGTCACAAGTTAAAATGGTGAATAGCGTTGCATTACGATATTTGAAATTTGCCGCGTATTTTTCTCATTTTTTATTATCCTTAATTTCATAGCACTTAAGTATAAAATAACGTTAAAGGTATCATTCTATAACAATATAGAGATATAGACTGTAATTAAGTAAGATCAACCAATATTTGAATCACATGCATATTTCCTATTCTCAAAAGTTAACCTGTATTATTCGATTGTATCGTGAACTTTTGAATATGATTTATATGAATATTAATGGCGACCGGACGTTATTTTGTTTATTGTAAATTCGTCGTTTTCAGATGTAAAGCTGCAAATAAAGTATTAAGAAAATCGAAAGCAAGCGCTGCCGCAACGTTGACTGTGACACCTCCGATCGATATTCGGGAAGAAGCACCCTCGTTCCTAAGTCTAAATGTACCGCCAAATGTCACCAAGTTGGTGGGGGATACCGTCACCTTGTACTGTGCTGCCACCGGGTGGCCGATTCCTGATGTCAGGTGGATCAGTGGTAAGTACTTCAGATTTCAGGCTTTTTCTAGAAAGGAAAAATCGTTTTATAGCCCTTATCAATTAGAAAAATTTGTTACTCTATCAGTTTATCGTGAACCAAGAGTGACATTCTTCGGAATCTAACTTTAAACCTCTCCTTTGAGGTTTTTAATTTTTTTTTTTGTAAGAACTACTTTCCAAGAAGTACGTAAGTAACATCAGATCTATGCTCATGCTGTAAAGAATCACCCTCTGAAGTATGACAAAGTACTTTATTAACACATAGCATAACAACAGAAAAATGGTCTTATTTTTTTGTAAGAACCGTCTATCCTACATGAATGTTACGGTAATTAGAAAGATAATTCGATTAAAATAATCCATTTTGGTATCATGACCTATGTCAATCTATTGTAATACCTGGGCTTATCTAATCGATAACAAACAATGCGTTTATTCTATTATTTATTTGTCTACTATCTTACTGATTATCACACCTGAAACTGTTCTGAATATACTACACTCGACATTATACATGATATGAGTAATTGTACTCTAGCGGAAATATTTCGCGTACTATCGGATCAAATTTCCTTTGTAATAAAAATGAGTAATTGGACACTATGCACACTGAGATTGCAAGATTAATATAATAATAAATGCAGATCAGTGTAACTTTAATAATTTTATGGGATTATGTATGATTTCGCTTCTCCTACATCTTAAACATCAAAAGAAAAATGTCTCCTTGAAAAATTCCTGCTAAGTAAAACCTGTCAACTTGAACAGTTATAAATTTTCGACGGTTATATCACAATTTCTTTATTTAGGTGTGACACTGATTTGACTCATTTTTGTCATTTAAATATTACTTGATTACTTTGATGCTATTTAAAAGATAATTGATAAAATCCAATGGCAGGGGTCTCCTGAATATTGTCAAAAAATATATGCCACTGACTTTTTAAAACATATACAATTTTTTTTCGGAATAAGTAGCAATTGATACAACTTTTTTTTTTCTTGGTACTTTTAGTATCCTACTTCCAAGGGAGAAAATAAAAACAACTTTATTTTTTTATTTTGTTATGAACATATATTTTTTTTACCTTGATAGTTTGCTATTATTTAAAAAAACACCTTATATCTTGTAAACCAGACTATTCAGTACACATCCTGTTTATATGAACTCTTCTGCTTGAATTTGATACAGGAATGAGTACTTACAAGTAACACTGTTTATATACTATAGATACAGATTACATATAGATACAGGTATTGGTGTTCACTGCCTATTTAATAACGATTTTTTCAAAAGGGCGCAAATGAAAGATTAAATACTTTATAAACTCACCTTTGATGATTTATCGTGAAAAACAGCACCAGGCGTGTTTTTAATTGCGTGACCTATATTTTCAAAATCATTGTTTGAATGTATCACTTTGATAGTGAAGGAAATCATACCAAATGCAACAAACCTGATTTGTGACAAGCTGTCGCCTCTGGTAGTACTCTGTGCTAGAGATGAGCAAATGAGCTAAACTGGTACTGTTCAGTTCCCATCTCATCACGTAGATGTATTCATATATGTACAACTATTGCAATAGGACAGTCGATACGAATCATTTTTTACAGACGATGGATCAACCTTATCTACCTCTCCCCTGTTGCGATTGGACGATCTGCGATTGGACCACGAAGGCTTGTACACATGTCTGGCAACCAATCGAATAGGCAACTCGACGCTTACTTACCACCTTACAGTACTACAGAAACCATTCTTTCAGGTACAAATATGAATATCTATAGCCTTTGCTTCAGGTTGTGCGACTTTTTACTCATTATTTGCACTATTCTGCAAAAGTTTTTTCAAGAACTTACGTAGCTTTAAGTTTAAATTCTGCAGACATCAATTATTTTTTCTGTTGCTTAAAAATTTACAGTTGTGTTCTTGGCCTTTTTTTCCTGTAAAAATACTTCAAAATAATGTTCAATCTCATTTTCAGGCGACACCTACCTCCAGATTGTACCCCGTAGCTATGCGGGTACGACTTGAATGCAGTGCTGGAGGTAAACCTGAACCGAAGATTCGGTGGTACAAGAACGGGGAACCGTTGGAGTACGATAAGTGGATGAAAAAGACACCTGAAGGTTGGCTAGTTTTTGGCACCACTTTCAGCAAAGATTCTGGTAAATTTTCTGAGTTTTTTCAATCGATTTTTGAGAGGAATTTATAAAAGTTAATCACTGGTCAATGTCGAGCATAGGTCTTTGGTACACTACACATAATATTCTCTTAACTAGGTTCTAGTACGACCTGTGGTAACCCAATCTGAAGAAAGTGACTCCAACCATGATAATTTCTTTACAGAAAACGACACTATTCAACCACACTTGTGCTCTATATAATCAGTACAATGAAACATCACCTTTTTATACTCTTATTGCTTCCAAAATTCAAACAGAATTTTTTGCTTGTAGTCAGATATCTTCATATGAAACAAGGGACATATTTCCTTGATTTTATTTTTAAAATACAAAAATAAAAATTGTCCAAACTTAATTTTCTGACATTTCAGAGAATCCTGATCATTTTTGAGAAATTTTTTAGTGATAAAAAATGGAGGGCTTGGAGGTTGAAGGGTGGTGGGGGAAGGGTATATCTCAATTTTTTGACGTGGGTATACTTATACGTCTCCAGTCGCGGTAATTCTACGCACGTTCTAGACATATTTCACTCATCATAGATTTCTCCGTACATTTATCCTTAAAACTTGACTATCGATCATATGCTTCGCGGTCCTGCCGATGCTTGTATAAAGCGATCGGCTTTTGCTGCTGCTGCATACCTCTGAGCTTCTGATGCATTTCGTCGATTTGCTGGCAGTACTTCTTCGCCGTAATCGTTTCTCCCGGATTTAGAAATCTGTGGTGGATGAGACTGGCTGCAGACCATCAACAGTCACCATAACCTTCTGTGGATGCAGTTTCGGCTTCGGAGCGCTGTGGATCTTAGTCGCTGTCCAACCATTGCGCAGCACGTCGCCTATTGTCCTAGAGAATCCACTTTTCATCACATGTCACAATCCGGTCGAGAAACGGTGGTCGTTTTTATTGCGTAAAAGACGGGCAGACGCCATGACACCTAAATTAGTGCGGTACCCATTTATCGAGCTTTTTTTATTTTCCGGTCCGTTTCAAATGGTCGGAAATGGTCACATGGACATATCCAGTAGCCTTCTTTTAAAATTTCGTTGTTTCAACGTTTTCATTTTTTTTTCAGGTATTTACCAGTGTGTAGCGTCAAATAGCGTTGGTAAAATTTGGACGGCGGTACAGATGGAGATCATCAACGTCTCTCAGATACCTAGTCCACCGGAGAACTTGATATGTAGGCCTTACAATGAAACCAGTATTTGCCTGGAGTGGAATGCGCCACGGAATGTACCTGTTAAGGCTTATACTGTTCACACTTTCTACAAAGGTATTTATGAAATTATTTAATGAAATATACAGGGTTGGTATGAATGTTTAATAGAGGACTTATTAGGACCACCTTCAATAAAGCTACTCTGGAATAAGGCCAAAGAGTAGTTATATCACGAGAAGACAATGTATTTATAATCCGCCGGGCTTCGTTGATCTTTTTTTTCTTCTGCATTATAGTAGTAGTAGTAGTAGTTACATCAACGTGCATTGATATGATACGACAAAAGCTGGTCAAAGTCACGTATTTTGATGCTAAACAGCAAACTTGCCGAATTTTCTCTGTAGAATATAAATACGTAAGTTTTGACCGGTTTTAACGTTTCTTATCCTTACGAGATGTAACCAAAACTGTGTCTTGGGCTCTTGGACTATTAATGGTTAAAAAACAGCGATTTATGAGCAGGACCGTCCTTGGTTTGGCGATTCGCTCATGGATGATCCGACATTCTATCAGGCAGCCGCGTGTTTCGCTCTGCATTTACCGAGGCGGTCTTGCCAAACTGGCATAAAATGTTTAAAAAACGCTAAATTTATACTGAGCTGAATGTAGTTCTGTTCTTTTTACGGTTTTTCGTGGTTATGTCAAAAAGTCATACCAGTAATTTGAGGTTCCAGCTGACATTCCAAATTTATTAGTAAACTATTGTGCTCTTACGCACCCTGTATGTATTTGTGTTTCTGGCATAGGCCAAAACAGTCATTTAAGTATATTGGAATATAGAGGTTTTATTTTTTTTCAGACAATGGTACAGAAGTATCTTTACCTGAGTATGTTACAAATATGACCTATCAGCAAGCTGAGGGTTTAAACAGCAGTACAAATTATACCTTTTATCTTCGTTCATATTCCAAAGCAGCCAGTGACACTGAAAGAGTTACCTGTAGAACTGGTAAGTACTGAAATACATCCATATTTGATTTTTAAAAATGTCAAGAGAAGTTATTATTCTTTGATATGTGCTGTAATTTGAAATCATTTCCACTACACTCTAAAAAATATACTAAGGCTTAGAAAATTGTTTGAAATTTATCACCTAATGTAAGCTAAAATACGATGTATATCTTTGTCAGAAGCATTTGACCAAATGTGATTATTACTTTGTGATTTAGATGTCGTTTTTCACGCCCCACGGGGAAGTATCGTAGAACATTTCAAAATCGAGAGAGTATTGTAATAGCGAAAATGAGATATTGTGTTTTTTTGATGTTATATGACATGCACATCACGAATAAACATGCCACTTACTTCCGTCGGTCTGTCTGTCTGCTAATCACTAGACTGTATGTGTCTCTGTGTAAGGGACGAAAAAGATTTGTAGTTTTTGAAAATTGGTCCAGTGGCGGCGAAGAAAAAAGCTAAAAAAATAAAAATAAAAATCGCTCAAACTTCGTTTTTTGATATTTCACATGGCCCTGATATTAATCAAACATTTTTTTCTGGGGTTTGAAATTCGGGGTTGGGGGTTATAAGGGGTGGTGGATGCATGATAACATTTCTTTGGATGTTACATATGTATTTCGAACTTCTGATTATTTTTAGGCGTAATCAAGCATATTTTTTAAAATGACATACATACTAGTACTTTTAAAAACAAAATAAAAGCGTGCTTTGGCCCTTGGTTGCTTTTTGGAGCTACATTATATTCTCTCTTAATGTTATACACGTCCACACCTTTTTTCTGAATCTCAACTGTTCTTACAGGTGTTACGGGTAGTCGTAACCTAAAAATAGAATCTACAAAACCTAATACAGTCACTTTGAAATGGTCGGAAATAAGCACCGACGTCGCATGTGACGGTTACAGAGATATGTATAACGTACAGTGGAGAAAAGAAGGACATTCGTTCGTGAACACGAGAAGGACCCGTGATCGGATATACGAGATTTCCGGTGAGTTGTAAAGGTACTGTCAAAACGTATTGAATGCTTGCGGGATATTGAATGTACACAAAGCCGCATTATAAGAGTTATCTGCATCATAGTAGAGTAGCCGTCCTCAAATGTTTGGTAACGTAAACAGCAAACTCGTTTAATTTCACTGTTATCCGTCTTCGTAACTAACTTTTTTCTTTTGCTGAACAAAATCCTTTATGAACTGTGTTGTGTTATAGATTTGACGGCACGAATCCCACTGTTGAAAATAATTTTCTACGTATTAAATCGCTTAAATCCTATATTATTTCCATGATTAAATGAACCTTTTTTCATATTTTTATAGTGATGAATTTTTCCGGACAATGTTTTGCAGTACAGCTTTATTTATTGACTTCGTTCAAAGTAATTTCCACGACATTCAATACACTTCTTCATCCACCAAAACCAGTCCTTAAACCAGCTCTGTCGGATCGGAATTTTCTGACAGCTCGGGTATGTCCTCATCACCAAATACCCAAACTTTGTTTTCAGCCTTGATCGGCACATCGTAATAATAGAGCCAAGCCTCGTCAACTATGACGATGCTGAGAGAGAGAGAACAAAGTTTCCTCACGTGTAAATGGTAATGCAGAATTGAATGAATTGCTGGTGCATGGAGGTGTAAGGTCTCTTCTATCTGTTGGTATGTCACTGTCCAGTCTTTGTCAAGCATTTTCCTTACAGCATTAATGTTTTTCTTTGTTACTTACATTCGCTGTCTTCCTTTCCTTGGAATTCTCTGTACCACCTGAATATAGTCGTACGATGAGGACAATCATTCTTTGATGCAAGCGTCATTTCTCCTAAGCACTGGTCTATCCTCAAACCACGCGTAAAACTGCCCTCTATGTGATCACGATGCCATAGTCAATACGAATGATCAACTAAATCAACAGACGTGCTGCTGGCGGATACTACGCACTCATGAACATCTCTCAACAAGCAGCCTCCTGCGTCCGTTTGTTAAGTCATATTGCAAAACTTTTATAGTACCCTTGTAATTTCGAAAGCGTCTAAATCAGACTAAAGCTTGCGATCGACGTTTCAGGTATATCCGCCTTACACCTCAACCAAATAAACAGCCATTTTTTCTGTTCCAGATCTGGTCCCGGGCGTAGACTACGAATTCCGCATTTTGTCCGGCAACCGTGACGACGACACTATCCACTGGGTACCATTCACCCTTCAAGACAACGCCACAGCAGAGGGGGGATCGAATAGTACCATCCTGGACCCACCAAAGCACCTGGATGGAGAAGCGGTGTCCACCAATACCGTGAAGTTGTCTTGGGAAGTGACTGATAAGGACATCAAGAACTATGTGGTGTGCTATGTCCAGGTGAAGAGTGGGAAGGAGTGCGAGGAAGGGAAGACTGTCAACAGGTTAGTTCTTGCTAGAAATTAAGAGCAGAAAAAAATAATTCTCATACTGTAGATCCATTAAAAACCAAGGTTTGACCATATACAGGGTGTTTCAGAACCAAGTGATCAAACTTCTAGGGGTTATTCACTGTAACAGTAGAAAAAATTTGAGGGACCCATATCCGAAAAAGTGGCACTACGGCTCTAAGACGCGTTAAAATTTAGAAAGACGATGAATTGCCTAAATAGGATTTAATGCATTTAATTTTTGCCTTTTGTACATGATATCATCACAACAATTGTTCAAAATGTCTTCCTCCAACCTGAATACACCGATTTAAACGTCGCACATGATTTCGGCGGACTTGACTAAAAATTTGATACTCGTTTTGAATGATTTCAAATGCTACTGTAATTCGTCCAATCTTGCTCTGTTTCTACTGGAGTTTCGTAAACCAAATACTTCACACGTCCCCACAGGAAAAAATCTAGCGACGTTAAATCGGGTGACCTAGGAGGCCAAGAAACTGCTCCACCTCTGGCAATCCAACGGTGCCCAAACCGCTGAGCCAAATACTCACGTATTTGTACAGCAAAGTGAGTCGGCGTTCCATCATGCTGAAACCACATTTGCTTTCGAACGTTCAATGGAACATTTTCAAGAGGTTCTGGAAGAACTTTCTCCAAGCAACGCCGGTAAATAGGGCCTGTTAACCGTTCCGGTAGAAGGTATGGCCCATTCAAATAATCATCAACAATGCCTGCCCATACGTTGACAGACCAACGTTGCTGATGTTTTCTAGGAAAAATTGCATGGGGATTTTCTTTGTCCCAAACGTGGCTATTCCTATTATAAAAATACCGTCTCTTGTGTAAGAGGCTACATCGGTCCATAAAACATAGCGTAAAAAATTGGTTGTGCAGTGATTTGATGAAGAAGCCATTGACAAAATTGAACTCTAGGATGATAGTCGGCTGCAGTCAATCCTTGAACTTTCTGGAAGTGGTAAGGATAAAGTTGTTGCTTGTGTAGCACCCGCCAGACGGAAGCGTTACTCGTATTCATATCCTCAGCAATGTGACGTGTGCTACTTGATGGTTCGTCGGCAACTCGCTGATGGACCTCTTCTTCAAATTCGACCGTTCTTACGGTTCGAGCAACACCAGTATCATGCATGTTGGTTTTAAACATGCCAGTCTCGGAGAGCCGCCGATGAATAGCAATAAACTTTTTGTACCCCGAATGCTGTCGTTCGGGATAACGTTCTTGATACAACCGCGCTGCTGCTCGTGCATTGCAGCTTGTTGCTCCGTATGCCAAATGCATATCCCTCAATTCTTGATTAGTAAAGTTTTCCATTAGCAACAATTAATTTTTGTTAAATTCTCGCAAACTTCACAAATACGATAGCACGAGTAAGGCGATATGGAATGCAGCTAAAAAACAATCTCTGTTATCGTTTTTAAAGATAACAACACGCAAGCGCCGGATATGGGTCCCTACACTCAAATGTTTTCTACTGTTACACTGAATAACCCCTGCAAGTTTTATCCCATAGTTCTGAAACACCCTGTATAAGCATTTATATCTTAGAATATCTACTATACACCAATTAAGTAGTATGTTTGTTTTTAATAATAAAAACTTTGTAAAAAGTCGTTTTATTCAAAAACTACGATTTTTTACAGCAGTGACAACAAGATCCAAATCTCAAAGCTAAGACCCAACACCAAATATGAATTCAGAGTTCGAGCTCACGACCAAAAGGGGAATGCTGGACGTTTCTCCAAGCCTATAGAAATTCAAACTCAATACGATGGTAAGCACAATTTTTTTGAGAAATCCGAAAGCTTTATTATCGCTTTACACAACCAATAGAGCGACATATGACATATTTTTATATTATTTTCCAGTGCCTTCTGCTATCCAAAACCTCAAATACACTATCTTAAACTCGTCGGCAGCATGCATACATTGGCGTCCGCCGGCTCGTAAGAATGGGGGCCGCCTTCTGAGTTACATCGTTTCGTACACGCCTGATCCCAATTTACCATTGGAACGGTGGATTGAGTTCACCATAGCGGTATCCAAAGCGAAACAGTGCTGGTTTGAAGATACAGATGCTGTGTCGATCGTGTTAGCTAATTTGACAGTGGATACCGGGTGAGCAATATTTTTTCATTCAAATTTATAGAGACCTGACAAATAGGTCTTTTCAGGTTTTTTTTTTTGCGGGACACGGTAAAATACATGAGTTAATGCACAGTCTAGACACTCATTCTAGATTAACAATATTGAAAAGTTTTTGAGTTATCTGAAGTCGTTTTAGATGATACGAGATCTGTAAAATAAGTAATGAGACTGATTTTTTTAAATGTTTACATTCACATATAATTACAATTCTATATTGTCACCCTCAAAATAGCTTCCTTCTGAAGCCACACAGCCAGTGCTGGAACTCCAATACTAGAATAGGCTTCAGCTGGTCGGTTACAGCCCGTTTTAGATGATACGAGGTCTGTAAAATAAGTAATGAGACTGATTTTTTTAAATGTTTACCTTCACATATAATTACAATTCTATATTGTCACCCTCAAAATAGCTTCCTTCTGAAGCCACACAGCCAGTGCTGGAACTCCAATACTAGAATAGGCTTCAGCTGGTCGGTTACAGCCATTTGAATGTTTTTGACTGTCCCAAAATGACCCTTGTGATTTTTCAACTTCGAGAAAAAAGTCACAAGGACTCAAGTCAGCCGAATAAGAAGAAATTGAGTTAAATGTAAATAAACTTAAACTAAACACAAACAAAGCAAAATATATGGTAATAGGACAATCTTTAGATCAAAATACGATAAATCTTACAATGAAATGATGGAAAAATTGTGTCAATCGAATTATTTAAATATTTGGGCATATATGTAGACAGTAAATTAAAATTTGAAGGGCACTATGAATATATTATTTCAAAAATATCCAAGAAAATAAATTACTTTTATAGAATTTCGCATAGATTAAGCATTTATTCTAAAAAAATTGTGTACAACACTATCATTCTTCCTCATTTGTTATATTGTTCGACTATTTTGTTCACTGTAAATGAAACTGTATTTTCAAAATTACAAAATAAAGCTATGAGAATTATCTTAAACAAAAATAAATATACTAGAATAAATTTTATGCTAAAGGACCTAAAATGGTTAAATATCAAAAATTTCATAGCCTACTTGGTTTTCATTTTCATATTCAAGTTGAAAAATCATCTTCTACCAAATCAATTAGAAAATTTTATTAATGGTATCAAGATGTGTGTCAGTTTAAAAATGTTCAAAGGGAAATTGAAGAAATATCTCATGGAAAACCAGAATTCATAGTAGTGAAATTTTGTATAAAATATGTAGTCCCGGATTCTGTCGATATTTTCATTGGTTCCTGTAGATGAAAACATTCCGCTTCGTGGTTCATCTTCAATCGACTCTCTCTCTTCTGAAACTGCCAAAACACTATCTCCATAGGCCTGCTGAAGTTTAGCAAGAGTTTCCGTTGCACTGTGCCCAAGTCTGAGGTAAAATCTGGTAGCACACCGTTGCCCGAAATTGGTGTCACTCATTTTTAGAACCCAATAGGGAAACAATCGCTACAGATATCCAAATGACTCTAGCGAGTTCAAACTTGTACTGGAGGAGGATCACACGTTTCCCTGTCTCCCCTCCAAGCCCGGTGCCTCCAGTGTTGCCAGATCGAACGCTACGCTACGTTGCCAGTGTCAATGCTTAATGTACACACCACGCTCCATTTAAAACTACCTACTGTTTTTTATTACAGGTACACGTTATTTGTCCGAGCAGTTTCTGAATTAGGCGTGGGTCAGCCGATACATCCTATAACATTATCGCTAGCATCAAAGCCGCAGCTCGAGGTAGAAGTGCCCAAGAAAGAGGAGCAGTCGAATGAGCACTATCACAAGACTGTTGGGATAGTTTTGGGCACACTTACTTCGTTGCTGTGTGTAATTGTTTTCATCATATGCATCTTAGCACGGAGAAGGTAAGAATTTGCCATTTTTTTTTTTTAGTCAAAGCTAACATCGAGGCATTTATGGCCAGTAAGAGAACGCGAATTTAAACAACACGCGCTGGTGTTTATAAATAAAAGTCCATTGAATTGTCATTATGGCTTGCATTCCAGGTGCCTGAAACGTGCCGTGAACCACCAACAACCGAACGTATCGGCTGCCGCTTCCCGCCTGATCGCCCCCACTTCTTCAGAAAGTCCTACCGTAGCACGGTACACATCCAATCGCGGCGTCCGGTTCGACGCGACCACGCCCAAAGAGGTGGAGCTACTGGTGGGCGGGGAAAATGGTGATGAAGGAGACGGAACTGGCGATAGTGGAGGTGCGGCGGGTGAAGAGGCAGGCAAGACCAAGGTAAGTAATATTTTGATGCTGATGACGGATTAGGGTCTCTAAATGGAGTGTTCAAGCTGATCGCATCATTTTTGTTTTTAGAAGATGATTGTTCTTGAAAAAGACAAATTTCGCAGTTTTCGAATATATTAAAATTAATATAAGTGCGGATGGTTGCAACAACTTCTACTTCAAATTTATAAAGACAAAACGTATAAAAATAAAACTGTTTCACTGCTGCGCTCTCATAAATTATTATTATTGTTTCAACTTTTGTTTTTAATGTGTAGCAACATTTTTATTTTTTGCTATATTTTGTGTCTTAGTGAGTGTTTAAACTAATTGTAAGTTAAATATTGGTAAATATTGGGCAATAAACTGACGGTTGACAATTGAGTACTAAAATAATATTGATGAAAGTTAAAAATAAAGTTCATATATGCAATCAACTTGAAATTTGAGTTATTTTCAGGGCTGAAAACTATGCTTATAGACCTCTGATCATTGAGAGCCTCTTTATCAGTCATCTGGTCTCAAAATGATAGACTGTATTTAGATTTCATAAATAAAAAGCGAATACAGTTTTGCTTAAAATTCTAACGAAGATGATAATCTTCTCACATTTCAGCTTTAGATAGTCCAGACGAAGTAGATCTTGTGTTTTTGTAATAAACATAGAAAGATTTCTGGTTTGAGGAAATCTTCTGAGTCCGCACTTCAATTATTGCTCCTCTATATGAAGATGTATACTTTTTGTTGAATTTTATTGGCCATTCCCTAATTGACTTTTTATTTTCAGACTCAGCACTTCTCGAACGGTCATGCCGATAGTCTGAATAAGCCAATAGCAAATGGACATGTACCCAGTAATCATATTCACATAACGGAAAATCCTCAGGTAAGATGTGCTATTGTGTTGTTATGATGTTAAGCGAGATATCTGTCGGTCAGTATACAAAAGTGGCTTGATTATATCCAGAGATTTATTGTCGACCTCAAATATTAAACGTCAAAGTTGGAAATTTTACTTTTACGCCTAGTTTCAATTCAATAGTTACGGATTATTGGTGTTAAGTGGTCCACAAAAATTTGTAATTGATAAAAATACGTACAAAATGAGACCTAACATGGTCAATTTGCCATAACATAATTTATCACAAAAAATAATACCAAAAGTTGTATCCTTTATGGTGTTTAACATCCATCAAAAACCATTCAAAAATATCCAGCAGTTTTCTGTTTCTAATTTTTCAGAAGAACGGCGTTTGGTACATCCTATTTTGTCTTATAAACAATTATAACGGTTAAGCAGCACAAAAGCTTCGGAATTCTGTTATTATTTCAAATCAACCGTTATGCATTTTTCAGTAGAAAATAAATGTGGAAATCGAGGATAACTGACGATTTTTTGTAATAAATTATCCGTTACGGCAAATTGGCCATGTAATCTTATTTTTTCATCCTCGACAACTTTTTTTAACCACTTACACCAATAATTCATAAATATTTGAATATACCAGAAAAAGTGGTTTATATAACTTTGACGTTTGCGCGCAAAAATATAATAGGTTGTAAAAAAGCTTATTACAGTTTTTTTTTGGCACTAGGACATTGCATTCTATTAGCCAGATCCAAACTTGTATATACGTATATCTCTAATTTTGGACAAACACACGACGTCGCAACATCCATGGCTTCGAAATGTGATTTCCGAGGGCGAGATTCGAACTCGCGGCCCGGCCGGCCGCCTGATCAGTAGCACGACACTCTGACCCACCCGGCCAAGCGACCCCCCCAATGTATTACAATTTTCAAGTTCTAGATATCCTGGTCTAACAAATATAGTACGAGGTTTCTCCGGAAAATACTTATAAAAAATTCGGCGCGTCGTGTCAATTCGTTGTGGAGCGGTGGTCCGGTGGTTCCCTCTCTCTGTGCAATCCCCTCTATGCCCAGTTGCCGGAGCGCTCTGCGAGTAAATAGGATTTATGTGTGCTTGTTGGAAGTAACCCTTTTTTACCTGCCATCGGCTGGAGCTCTCTCTGATCGAGGAACAGCGCATCAACATCAAGCTTCTTGCAAAGCTAGGTAAGAATAGTCGTGAGATTTTTGAGTGTTTGGAACAAGTAACACGGAGACAATTCTCTGAAGGAACCAACCGTCAACAAGTGGTTGACAAGGTTTCGGGAAGACAGAGACGAGCTCTGAGGGAAATGTTAAACAAATTTGGGGCTGTGTTCTTCAAGACCGTCGATTGACAGTTAGAAAGATAGCTGAGGTACAGTCCATCCCCAAAACAATCGTCCACGAAATTCTGCCAGAAAAACTTGAAATGAAAAAATTGTGCGCGAAAATGGTTCCGAAGCTCTTGACTCCAGAACAGAAAGCAAGGAGGGTTGATTGCTGTGAGGATTGGTTTGAAGCAGAGGAAAGGGGGGACTTTCTCAACCTGGTCATCAGTGGAGACGAGTCTTGGTTCTACGAATTCGATGAGGAGCTGAAATCTCAAAGCATCGAGTGGAAGCAAGCAGGGGAACAGAGAAAAAAAAAATCGAAAAAATCAATTTCCAACGGGAAAACAATGTTTATTGTTTTCTTTGATTCTCGGAGCATTGTTCAACAGGAATTTGACCCTCTTGGCCAGACATTGAACGCGTCTCAGAGCTCGTGTGGGCCGAGTTCGACCGGATTCGGCACAAGGGGGCAGGTGGATCCTTCATCACGAAAACGCGCCTACTCACACGTCGCTTGTTGTGCATGTGTTTTTGACGTGAAGCTCAATCACCGTGACAGAACACACGCCGTATTTACCGATTTAGCCCCTTGTGACTTCTTCCCGTTCCCAAAATGCAAAATGGTGCTTCGGGGGCGGCACTTGAGGGATGCGGAAGCCTTCAAGGCAGAAACGACATGGCAAATGAAGAGCCTCACAATTGAAGACTTTCAGCGATATTATCAACAGTGGAAACAGCGTTGGCAGAAGTGAATCTTGTCTCAGGGAGGAGACCATATTGAAATAAGTGAAAAATCGTAAAATAAAGTTATTATTCCACCTGATATGTATTTTCCGGACAGACCTCGTAGTGTAATTTAGGTTTCAGACGATTCTGGAATTCCTGAAAATATCCATGTATTTTTTCCTTTCAGTACTGTGACGTGGAATCAAACGGCCGACCCCTCATCCCTCAAATCGACTCGGCCACAGTGCCGTGTCGCTTCGAAGAAGACTCCAATTCGAACGTGAAACCCTCCAAACTCTACGACTTCTATCGCTTCTTCGACAACAACCGCGGCGGTAAGAAGCTCCGCCCTGGCGCCGACTCGTACACGAGCCCACACGAGTCGTACACGAGCCAGCACGGCTCGTCGCCAAACGTGACTCAAATCACGTGTTTGGACGAGACACTGGACGCGAGCGGAGTGAACAATAACAGGAGGATGCCGCTGCTAGAGCCGAATGGGTAACGTGGGTAGTTATGGCACTGTAGGAAGTGGGTAGGCTCTAGCCTCGGATCTGTCTGGTAGCGAGAGAGCTGTTGTCAATTGACACATGCTTAATGTATCATTTGAAAGTTGTCACGCGATTTTTAAGCTGATACTTCTCCATGCTTGTCTGTCATTTCAAGAGGCTCACGTCGATCCCATAGAAAATATGAATACGATATGGTTGCAAAGGGCTCGCCAGGCTTTTGCTTCTCATTGTATCTCTGACCTTTATAACAGCTTCTTAAAAATATGAAGAATGTGGTACATTCTTACTAGAATACTGTTTGAATTTCCATAGCACGGATATTAATCGTAAAACTACTATTTGAATCCGTTGCATACAGGGTGCTACAGAATGTAGAGAAAATTCGAGGGCAGGTTCTCTCCGTAAACAAGTGAAAACAATTCATATACACATGGGTGTAGAAATTTCCCGTTTCCAAGATTTAAATTCTTCCGTCTTTGAAAAATCGTACGCCACTGGTCTTTGCAGAAATAAGTGATATTTTTTGAAGCATGTTGATTTGGCTGGAAGAGTCTTTGAAGCTTTTTGTTATGTCGGTCAAGTGCCAACTCAATTACTATTTTTCATAATGATAACATACTGTAATAATTTATTTGTTCTTTTGAAAATGGTTTATCTGAACCATCAATTACGAGAGACAGTGTTTAAGTAGAATTAATCTGATTTTAGGTCTCTGATACAATTTTTTTTTACGAACCAGTGGCGTACCGTTTTTTACTTTCCACGCGTACGGGCGAGGAAGTATCGCGAAAAATTTCTAAAATGAGATTGTATGCGTTTTCCTTTCGGTCTGTACGCTAATCCTCGGCTCGCCTACAAATTGAAAAATACCGCTTGGATTTGGCTGAAATTTTCACATTAGGTTACTAATATGCCGAGGACCTTGTAGTTTTTGAAAATCGGTGGTAGAGACTTTGAAAAATGCCAACAACGAAGAAAAAAACACGCATGCTCAAAGTTCATTTTTTGACGTTTCAGAGGTTCTTGATCATTTTTGAAAAAAATTTTAGGTATAAAAAGTTGGTAGGTAAGGAGGTGGAGAAGCATAGACAAGCAGAGTTACTATATGTGTTCAAATCAAAATCGACTTAATTTTATAGACATCCAGAAAAGCATACAAAAATATTGCTGACGCGATCACCATGTAGACCCCCATCCCCATGTCATCAAAAATACGCAAAGCGACGACTCCCGACCCCCTCTAGTGCTTACGTAATAGTTGAATGGTATGTTCTTGAAAAGTGTCCAATATTTCATAAGACGATTGTTTGGGTCTTAGGTGTTTTCAAGGTTATTGTTAACATAGGCCAGGAAGTTTTCCGTTTTCGAGATACAGTTTCTAGTTTTTGAAATCGAAAAAAATACTTTCGTATTGGATTCGAGAATTGATTTAAAGTGTTGTTACTATAATACTAAAACAGCACAACCGATGCATACAAAAAATGTCATAGCTGAGACATCAGTGGCATAGAAATGGAGCAATTTGGACCACTACAAAAGAAAAAATAAAACTATCTACGCCACTGATTTGTTTACGTCTGTTATCACCGATAAACCTAAAACAGAAATAGATTGGCCCAAGAAATTATAATTACATCTTTATGAATGAAAGATATTCTCAAATCAAGCTACATTTATTTAGAATTCCTCTTTATTGTACAACATTTCGGTCCCAACAGTGACCTTTAAGTAGTATTGACACTTTTGTAACTTTCATTTTCACATTTCTAGTGTGTTACTGCAGTAGTCTGAAAGGTCCTGTTTAATCTCGAAAACGAAAATTTTTATTTCTATAAACTTTTTTTCTAAAAAAGCGCCTAAGGAATATCAACCTGAGAAGTATTGGACAACTGTTGAGAACTATCCTGTATAGCAATATCCAAAAATACAACCAATCTTATAACAATAAGAAATTACCTTATATTTAAAAGAGTTCCGCGCTCTTTTGACGAGTATATTGGATTCCATTTTAACTGAAGGTACTGGGTCATCTTGAACGGATTCTTGTAGATTAGGTACAGATTTGATCTTTACCAATAAAAATGTATTACAAAAATTGATTTTGTATACATTGACGTTAGTCTGCCGTGTTGTGTGGCACACACCCTGGAAAAGAGCGAATATACAGGGTGCCTGAATAGTACCTGAACAGATATTTAACAGTAACTTATTCCCCTTCTACTGTTTACCTGACACTAATGTTTGATGTGTCCTTGACTATTACGATAAAGACCAAATCAGTGTTATTTTTTAATCCATAGATTAACATCTTCTACCTGAAGATAGCTACTAATACCACGAGTATGTTCGCGCGTCCGAAAACATATCCCCGAAATGAAAGGACATACCATAGCGTCGTCTATGAGAAGTTATCACAGCTGTCTTTCTCCTCTGCCTTGTAGATGGCGCTGTAGCTATATGCTCATATACAGCTGGCTGCAGCGCCATCTATGAGATACCAACCTTTTCAAAGGAGATAGGCAGCTGTGATAAATTCTCATGTTTGGCGCTGTTGTATCTCATTTCACCCCGGAAAATGTTTTGGACGCGCGAAAATAGATTAGATTGACTTCAGGTAGAGAATACGTTAATTAGCTCAATTACAGGGACAAATAGAAAGAAACTTTCCAAGCCGTGTTTGACAAAAAACAGATAGGGAAGATATACTCATAATAGCAGGTATTTCGTTAATAGATGGATCAAGAGAAGGTCGAGCTTACTCACTTTTTTGGTGCCTTAGGATAACAGGATATCGGCCTAGTTGTATTCGATTTGTTCTTGGTATTAGGCTAATGGTGGGATTTTATATTTTTTAGTCAAAAATAATCTGTTGAAAAATTTGAAACTCGACCACTTCAGTCATAGTAAAATATACCGTTTATTTTGTCATGAGAATTGTTTTTCATACTTTCCATTATTTTCATGCTTATCCCACTAAACAACTCTATTGTAATCATTATAATATTAATGGAACAATGACAAATTAGGTAGACCCCTTATACACACGCGATAAAAGTATTAGATTTTGAATAGTTTTAAAATCGATGTTAGAAGCTTTAAGGAAGAAAATGTCCATGCTTTATAGATATCCCAGTGAAAAAGTGTGACGAATCTTATACAAATTCGTCACCTAAGTGAATTAATCATGCAAAATTATAACCAAGTATTGATTGAAAAGACATTGACACTTTTAGTCAGGCATGACGGACAACTCTTGGGATAAAATGTTGCATATGTCAAGTATCATCAGCATTTAAGTATTCATTTTTTTTCGTGCAACTATATGACACTTAACATAATGTAACATCTCATTTTAAGAGTTGGTAGCCATTTTTCACACATAATTTTTTCTCCTTGCATGCAGCATACGATTCAATATACTTGCAAGCTTTAATTTCTAGTATAACCGTCTCGCATTTTTGTAATATATTTTTCTTTGCCTTACATACGTAAAAAATGTACTTACACCACTTAAGGTTTGAGCTTTAAACAGTAGCGCTGAAAAGTATTAATATAATTTACAGTGTTTGCTAATAATTTTCAGTATTTTTGTTGTTTAGTGGGATTGAATCACTTGTCACTGTATGATCGGTTATTTGCGATATTATGTTTTCAATATAATCTCCAATGTTTCAAAGTTTTTTGTTATTCCACAAAATGAAAAGATACATATTATATATACTGAAAGTGTTTCAACTATTTACAACAAGCAGTAACTTAAAACATACTCTATGGTGTCCAATTGTAATGGATTATTCATTTTCCAAAAGTATTAACACTTGACTATGTCGAGGCATCTTTATTATCAAACAAAACAGCATTCATGACAATCCTTTAGGAGACAATATTTTTTTAAATCCTGGTTATCACTGCAGGTAACGTGTTCATTTTGGAATTCCAATTTCCGATATCGCGTCCGTGGATTTTGAGCGGTATTCGCCAAATTGCGAATGCTAGGACGCGTTATCGAAAATTAGAATTCCAGAATAAACATTGACCACGGTAACACGCGACATTTCAAAACCTGAGTGTCAATAGTGCTTCTGTACTTTAATAATAAAGATGACTCAAAAATTTTGAGGTCATTAATAAGTGTATCATCTGCTACATTGCAAAAAATACGTAACCAGCTGTATCTCTAAATACTGCCATTTTTACCAGTATCTCGCAGCGAATCTACCTCGTTTATTAAGTATTCTTATTTTTGCTATGATCATACGTATACTGCCCTCATATTTTTGTGGAGTATCAAAAAACTTATGAAAACCACAATAAAATGGAACTTATGATTTTATTGTTTAATCCATTGGTAGCAATATTTTGGAAAACTCGAAACAGCATCGAATTGTGCAGTTTATTTTTTATTGGTGAAAATATTGCTCATTGAATGATTTGATTGTTTAACACTCCAGGAGTACGTTTGTGAAGTTTTTGTTTGTAAATGTTTTTTGAATCAACAGGAGCTTTTATGAAAAGACTTGATATAGTATAAACATGAGATAACGTCTGAATATCTTTGGAAACTGATCAAAACCAAGGATCTAGTAGGCAATCTTTTCCGATTTGTCCCACTAGAAATTTGTTTTAGACATCTCCAAAAATCGAAAAACATCAGGAAAATATTAAAAACGCAATTTGATGATATTACCTACCCATCTAAAATATAATTTTATGAATATTATGTTTAAATTTTCCAATATTTTTTAGTTTAATTTAATATTGGAGTAATCTTAGTTGTTGGTTCAAAAAACGTTACCTTACACCGTGTTTACCTGGATTAGAAACTATATACACCAACTTAGTTAATATAAATGTACAAAATTACGAATTTATATGAACATATTTTACGTTTATATTATAATTTTTTCGAATCCTTGATTTATGATGGAATCTCAGAAATGTCAAAAGTGGTAGCTCTGACTCGATTTTAGTAACTCAAGAAATGCAAAACCATGACTATAAATCTGTGAACCTTTGTTCAAATTCATATGCTATAAGTTGGTGTAAGATATATAAAGAATATTTCACTTTACTTCTAGTTAAAGTACAGGTACCTGAGTAAATTTAACATATACTTAGCTTTAAGGTGAAAATATTGTACAGTATACAGATTTTTGTCATATACAGAATACTCGGAAACGATTTAAGTCGAATTGAGAATTAATTCGCGAAAATTGAATAGATTTTCTTCAAGTAAAAATTAGATACTAGAATTTTATACTGATTTTATACACAGCAGAATACTGAAATACTCGTTTGCCTTGCAAAAATCAAAACTTTCCATAGGAATAACTCAATCGTCAATTATTATAGTCGATCTTTTCATGTTGGCTAATATAATGTTTCTGTGTATGGCAAATTCAGAAAAGTAAGTATGTATGAATGAGATTTGGGAGACATTTAGTAAGTTCACGTATAATTGTTGAATATATCGTTAAATGTTACAAGAAGGAAAAACACAAACACAATCTGATTGTTCTATAATATATTGATGTTACCACAGATATTTAATGATCTAAATATGCTACCTAATCTGATTAAAATAAACAATGGGATGGGAGCTAACTATAATCATCAAACAAATCAAAGTATTAAAATCATAAACATTATCCATAGCCCAGGAATGACACGTCAAAAATACCAGTTATCAAAAAAGTAAAGTAGGCTTTTTGCCTTCAGATAATTTTAGTGAATATAATTAATTTGAGTTTGAAAACACGACTGTCAGGTTTTGGTTGAAATTTTCATTGCCAAATTGCAGCGGAAAAATGACACATAATATACATACAAAATCGTAGTTCTAGTTATTCTGGATTATCCTCGCAGCAGCAGGTGTACTGTATTCTTTGACGTCCATCTAAGTCAATGAAACATGGTGATGCTGACTTTGGTTAAATATTAAGACAAAAAGCCAGAAATTGACAAACTTGCATGTCTTGAAACTCAATCGTATATTAGATATCTGTTTGGAGTCTGTGAGAACTTGGGAACTAAACAATTCAGTTTTTAACAATTATCTCACAAATTTAACAAAGCGTAGTTCACCTCTCCAGATCTCGATGGTCTTAGGGAATGCAGCTAATGTTTGGTCAACGAGAGAAAACAGCCGCCAAAATCAGAAAACTGTAATGTATGTATGTAATGTCAGTTTAATCGGTTAGAAATACTATGTTACAACTTAACAGCTTTTATAACATTATAGAGCAGTATTTTGATCCTGGGTTGTGGAAGTAAAGCATATTTTCAACTTTTCCAGTTTTTGGTAACATATATCCCATCTCTTTAGCCTGTAATATAACGTACAAAGTTCTTAAATGACATGTTATGAACAATTTAGATATATCACATATATATGTGTGGTGTGTGCCTTTGTATTTATATTTGTACAAAACAACGATTTAATTTTTCAAGTCTAACACTTTCCTCCTGCAGTTACCTACCTTTGCATATAGAATTCTCATATACATATATATTTATGGATTCATATGAACACATCATGACGACAAAATTTAGGGGCTAATTATTCTGCTGAACTAATCTCTGAAATCTGTTATAAATGGAAGTACTTCAGTACAAATATTATTCGCAACTAAAAATGTTTTGGAGATTAAACAATACGTTTGCATTGTTAGCCACACTGCCAATTCCATACTAACCTGCTATAACTAAACATTTTTACTATGCAATTTCTTTTTTCCATCACATATGAAAAGTTGGCTGAATAAGATAACGCCTAAATTTTGTCTCGCCTCTATAATTTATTTTCTCTTTTTCTGCTCCAAGATCTGTTAATCATAGTAACTTATATTGAATATTACTTAATTATTTTTCAGGGTTCATAATCTTAATATACCTCACATTTACATTCCTCCTGCTTTTTTCAGTTACCGTTCATATATACATCTGTTTCCGATATTAACATTCTATTATTGAAATTCATGTACAAGATAGTAACAATTATAACATTCCATTTACAATTTTCAAAACCGAGAAAATTAAAAGCAATAGTTATTTCAATAAATAATGGTAATTTTAAGGCTATTGTTTTTGTGTTGTTTAATTTTGATACATAAGTGTATTATGTAGATTTAGTTAAGGTTAGTTTTTATTGTAATTTTATTGTTTGTTGTTACCGTTTTAAAGTCATTTCAGTACCTTCGGCGATATGTTAACAAAGTTTTTATTCCATTTGTGGTAAAAATACGAACCGACCTTGGAGGCCACTCAACAAACAGTTTGCGATAATGTATAGTGGATCTAATCCTAATTGAAACAGCGCAAAAGACTGGAGCCATCAAAAAGGTGTAAAATTCTATATAGAAAGTGCCATCGAAATACTCGCTGCCAGTGTTTCATGTGATTACTCTCTCATCCTCGCGATGCAGTTGGTCAGCTGTCGTATTCTTTATGTAAAAATATGATGAACATTTCTTATGCTTCTTTTGATGGCTCGATTTTTCCCGCTGTTTCAGTTAGGATTAAATCTACTATAGCTTGTTATTCCCTCTCAGAACAAAGACTTTGAATCACAAACTCACACTTAGAGAACAGGTTATATGGTATAATTGCAGAATAAAATGACCATTATTTACATTCCAAATGTTATTAAGTTCAACATGGCAGCTAATCAATTAAATATTATCCTCCTCATGACTTGCGTTTTATAATAGTATATTTCATTGTACTTAATGTGAACTATTTTCATATAGAATGGGGTAATGTAACAAAATACAAGATCGTACTGAATTCTTCACAATGTATCCACAAATGCAATAACTACTTTTGTTATCGTTTTATTTTGTGACCCTACATGTGGATGTCCTATTTTTCGTACAAATTGGGACAATAATGCTACCGCCTGTATTTAACACGAAGTGTTTCTTTACCCTACGCAATCTTGACTTAACCCTGGGCTCCTGCTTATGACCTTAACTTGAGTCTTGTGAAGGCGAACTGTTTCACGATCATATATGCCATGTCTTAGGTCAAAGTTACATAATCACCCTATCCAGGTCAGATGCATATATTAGAAGTGAATGAGCAGATGTTGCTGAATTTAAACGTTCTAACAATTTTTTCTTTATAAACTTGTATGGAAAATAAGATCATGACATGACTTTTTATAATTTAACTCTACGTCATAAATCACACAAGTTACACCCTTGCTATTCATAAAAGGCTACTAAAATGACTCTTGAATTGATTTTAACTTTTAACGTTTCTCTTACCAAAAATATAGCGTTTGTTAAAACCTGCTTTAAATACTTAACAAAAAACTTTAGTTTTTTGATGAATCTACCTCATTATTAGAGTATATTATATATTTTTTTAATTATTAAGTATTGTCCTAATATTAATGTAGTTATTAATTTAATTTATTATTTTCTCAGGGCGAAAGTAGATGATTATATCACGTGTATATTTATTGATCTAATTGTAACTGCAAAAATCACTTCGTTTTGTCACCAACTCTGTTTTTCACCAATAAGTCTGATTTGAGAGGCAGCTAGATGATTTTTCCTAGCCAACAAACTTAGCACTGTATTCGAAAACGTGATAACACGTTTTTGGACCACACCATTTGTATCCGTGTTTTCTCAATTGGCAATGGCAATATTTTTAGGACAGAAAGTAGGGCAAAAAATAACAGAGAAATATCATATACTCGTATACATGAGACCTAAAACGCCCTAGATTATCCAGATACAGGGTGTTGTAGTAATAATTTCAAAACCATGAAAAAATATATATATGAATAAAAAAAGATATCGAAATGTTGCGGCAGTGCAGTGACATAGAAACAGCGATATTTTGATTCCTAGCAGAGAGAAACAGTGACTTTTCTGAAACATTTTTACATAAGGATTCAATTTTACATAAATTGTTTCTTGAGAATTGTTTGTCGTGCCATCCCTTTTGGAGAAAAATTGGTTTGAATAATCCTGATATAATCTGCACAAAAAACTTAAATCCACTTTGAAAATATACGTAAGTTAGTGAAGTTTGATATTTAAAATATTATAAGGAGAGTAGTCCTACCTCAATTTAATTGAAGAACGTTCATGTTTTGCCTACTAATAGCGTTTTGAACACCTTGCAGTTTGGTAATTGGGCATCTTCGGAATTTTCCTTATTGGAACATTTTGTACTTTCTGCCCTAGAAATATTATTTTTTTAATAACGCCATTTTTCTCAATGCATTTTACTTGAAAAAGACAAACACATCTTACAAATTTCAACTCACTTCAGTACTTTGAATCTCCCTTTCTCTGCACAACTTTAGCAAAGATATATGTTAAAAGTTATAGTTTGATCACATTTCAACTATTCACCATATACCTACTCATCTTATTACAATAGTTTCTTATTTGATTTTAAATTTTCATCGTCCATACTATTTGCCAAAACCATACATCATAGGATGTTCATTCTTGATGAACTGTAACCTCTTAACAGTCTGATATTGTTTTTTAACTAATTTTGGTAGAGCAGCTGTTGTTATACTGTAATATACATTATATACTAAAGTGAGACACACATTAAAATTTTTTAGTCTGTATAATATACAAACTGTTATATAAATAGTAACTATTCCACGTAATATTGAAGGTTAGACTTTTACTGTGGTGCAATACAGTATAGTATTTTTTTTGTAACCAGTTATAGGTTGGTTACTCTCACAGTTTTGTCCTTGTTTACACACAGCTTTAACTCTGCAAGGTTTTCACTCCAACTCTTTGGAAACTACACAAGTTCCTTTATTAATGGACTATACATGCAATAGTTAGAATAGTTGAAATTAACCCAATGACTGATATTTATATTTACATTTCATTTCTAGGACGTTGAAGTGAAAATGTTTGTAGGATAAATTCTTATTCTTCACAGTGATATTGTAAAATAGATTCTGTAGAAAAATGCATTGTTCACAGTAAAAGTACATCGAATGTTAAACAACTATCTTAAAGTTAAAAGTAATGTATATTATATTTGAATAATGTGGTATAACCATGTTAATATATTTTTGTACGCTTGAATGATGGTGAAAATGTATTTTAAGGAAATAAATACTTAAGCAGTACACATTTTTAGTTTTTCTTTCCAAACCCTCCGAGCAAAATAGCACTTTGGGTTGGAATTTGCTATCAGGATCACTTAAACCTGTGGAGGTATAAGACCAGCATCGCACTTTTCGTAAATACTGTACATTTGACCAAGTCAATAGTATCCGAATATGTGGGTTGAAATTTGCTGACAGTATGAAGACATGGATACAAAATTGGCGGAAAATTGAAAATTCTTCAAAATCGAGTATCTATCCGCAATTTTCGTGTAATATCGTCTAAAACCATGGGCTGAATTTGCTACCGGGATCAAACGCGAGGAGGGTATGGATCCGATATAAAATTGGCGGAAGATTTAAAAATCTACATAAATACCTCTCGCTGCTTCTGTTATCCCAATACAAAATCTTGATTTGACCAAAATCGTATATCTGTCCCCAATCTTTCGTTTGGAATCCTCTAAAACTAGGTTGAAATTTGTAATAAGGATCACAGAAATTCGAGGAGGTATGGAATGGTGCTCCCGATATACAGTTGGTGGGGAAATTAAGAATTTCTGCTTGAGAAGCCCTAGCTGCTTGTTACTGTAATAATCTCCGTGGGATCAAATCTTCCGTGCAAAGTTGTCATAAACTATTGATTCAAATTTCCTGCCAGGATCACAGACACGTGAGGAGATATGGAATCATTCTATGTCGATATAAAATTGGTAAGAAATTTAAAATCACAGAGAACCTCTTGCTGTTACCCTGATAGAGAATTTTCGTGGGGTCAAAATCGTTTCTGTGCAAATCTTTCGTGCAAAATTGTCGTAAACTAGAGATTAAACTTTGCTACCAGGATCACAGAAGCGCGAGGAGATATGGAATCGCAATCATCCTCGTGATATAAAATTGTCGGGAAATTTAAAATTACTGTTTGAACATCTCGCGTTGGTTCTGTTATCCTGATACACATTCGTGTAATCAAAGTCATATATCTCACCAAACTTCTGTTTAGGATTCTGTAAATCTGTAGATTGAAATTTGCTACTAGGACCACAGAAACTCGAGGAGGTATGGATCCGGCCTCATGTTCTCAATATAAAGTTGGCGAGGAAGTTGAAAACTACTGCGTGAATACTTCTCGTCGGGATTAAAATCGTAAATCTGCCATGCAAAATTGTCTAAAACCATAGGTTAAGATTTGCTATCAGGATCACATAAACACGAGGAGGTATGAAATCGACATCATGCTCCTGATAAAAAATATGGCTGGAGACTTAAAATTACTTCAATAGTACCTCTCCTTGCTTCTGTTGTTCTGGCACAGAATTTTTATTGAATGAAAACCGTGTGACTGCTCAAACCTCCCATGCGATATCGTCAACTACTGGTTTGGCCACAGTAACGAGAGATATCAAAGTAATGTACAACTACCTGTTGTTTCTATTATCGTGCTACAGAGTATTATATCAAAAACCGCAAACACGCCCAAACCTCACGAGCGAAATATGTGTCGACAATTGGTACCAGGACGAGGGTCTCGCTGAGAGAAATTGGAGAATGGACTCAACTTCTGACTTGATATTTGTCAAATAAATTTGTAAATACATCCAAACTTCTGTTTAGGATTCTGTAAATCTGTAGATTGAAATTTGCTACTAGGATCACAGAAACTCGAGGAGGTATGGATCCGGCCTCATGCTCTCAATATAAAATTGGCGAGGAAGTTGACAATTGGTACCAGGACGAGGGTTTCGCTGAGAGAAATTGGAGAATGGACTCAACTTCTGACTTGATATTTGTCAAATAAATTTGTAAATACATCCATTTTCGGCAAAATGTTTCTGGGTGCCTCATATCACTAAATGTCCCTTCACAAAGTTAACTTTGTCTTCAGAGATGAGACTTATAGACGACGGCGAGACTCCTGCAATTTTTCTCCAGAGAATGATTCGGCGAGCGACTGTTCTATTAAGTGTTGAGGAACACAGTTCACTGAAAGGTAAGAAAAACACTTTCTCTGTTATGCTGCTCCCTCATTGAAAATAAGGTTACCAGATCGCAAGACTGAGATATGGAGGTCAGGTATTAATAAAGGGATTTATGGTATGTGATATTTGTGTGAGAATATTACTAAAAATAAAGATAGTTTATAGTCAGAAATACTTTATTCCATATTTTATATAAAACAACGATACACAATCAATAATCTGTTCATAAATACAAACATAATTAACATTTAGATTCCAAAAATGGCAATATCTAGTATATGATGTTAAAAGTAGCAGATTATTTTAGGCGAAAAGTTCTTGGTAAAATCATTTGTTGAGTTGATTACTTAATGCTGTTATATTCGATATGAACACAGTTTATAAAAATATGTAATTATACATAGCCAAGATATATCGTGTCACTGCACACAAGAACTTTCATGATAGCCGTGGTTGATGAACTTAAATTGAGTATATTTTTTTAAACAGTTTACAACCTTTCTATCAAAAACACATTTTTGTAACTATGAACTACCACACGAAAATCTAGTAAATATCATAAATGATAAAAATCTAATCAACTCAATGTTAAAGAGAAAATTAAAAGTAACCATAACATTTTGGTCAGGTTATCCATAATTAAAGACAAAAAGGGCAATTCGTATTTTTTAATGCTAATTACCCTTAATGAGTTATATGCTCAGTGGAGGATAATAAAATGGATGCCCAAAGTTATTAACAGAAACAATAAATACAAGGTACGTTCCAAAAGTAAATGCAATTGAATTTCACGCGCCGCTCCTATTGGTTGGAGCGCGATCGAACTACTTGGGGTAAACTTTGCTTCGTTACCGATCTCGGTGCTCTCCAAGCTGTTGAAGTAGCAGGACGTCAGTTTTTGTGAAAATGAAGTCTTGAGGATACTAACAAAATAATTCGTGACACAAGTTTGCCTTCAGAGAGGTGCACGACGCACAGCGCCGTGGAGGCCTTCAACCAGCAACCAATGTGGTTCGGGTTCGATATTTTTTGAACCCTGGTCGCCGAATGAGTATCAACATGCTAGCCAATGACCTGAACTTGTCGTCTACTGTTGTATTTAGCATTGATTTAGGGATGTGGAATGTGTGCACCAAGCTCGTGTTGAAATTGAACCTCATTTTTTGGACGTCATCACTCGTGATGAAACCTGGCTTTTTAATATGACCCATAAACAAAATGCCAACGCTCTGAGTGTCACACCAAACAGTCCCTCAAACCCAAAAAGGTAAGAATGGCCCATTCAAAAAGTAAAAATTATGCTCATTGACTTTTTCGATAACAGAGGTGTGGTCCATACGGAGTCTCTTCCTCAAGGACAGACTGAAGAGATCGAATCAGCCGTGATGAGAGCCTTGCTTCAATAATTGTTTTTTTTTCAATTGCATTCCCTTTGGACGCGCACAGGTTTTTTCCCAGGGGAAGCCGAGCCATATGGGAAGTTTTTAATATCCAAAGTACTGTAGAGAATGCCATAGAAAATACGTGAATATTAAAATTTAAAAACCATGAATATATACAAACGTCCACATAAATTCTAGTTACTTATATCTTCTTGTGCGTATACTTTTTGGTTAAGAGTTATTTTAATAAAAATGCGTTTGATATGTTTCTCTTATTTGCCATAGTTTGATCATATTTTTATTAATATAACTTTTAAAAAATAACCCTGAAAATATAAACTACTTGAAACACTAAAACAAGGATAATTTCAAATCATTTTAAAATTTGAAGATTTTAGATTTTTTATTCCGTGAAGTTATTTAACCAAGTTTATACGGAAGTTTAAGTAGCTTTGGATTGTAGTAACTAGAGAGGCCAAATATACTTCAAACATTGAATGTATCGAAAAGTCGATACATTAATTCCATGGGCTATGATGTGTTTTTTCTTTATTTACGTCTTTTATTTTAATCAGCAAAGCTTACGGACCGGTAGAATTCGCTATAATGGATAAAAAATTCCATATGATCTATGTACTTAATGATTTCTTTACTAAGATACAAGGTGCTGGAGTATTTGTTCAAAAAATATTGTTTTAATTTCTCATGAATTACTTAAGTGATTTAGATAAAACTGTTTTCGTTCGCTCGCAGGTACATGAATTCAAAGTTAGTAATCAGAAAACTACCAAATAATAAAATCCGTGCGAACAGGCACAAATCGCCCCAAATTTGACATTAATGGGACTTGGAAGAAAGAAAAATCTATGAGAAACGTTTCTTTCCTGGAAAAAATCCATTCTTTTTTGACAGATTTTGATTTAAACATTGATGTATTTGAATATATTTAAATAAGAATCAAGATTCTTGAGATAACCTTTTCCTGGAAAAACAATTTAACACAGATTTTGACTGAAACAAGGCAGAAACGATACGGCAAATGAAGAGCCTCACAATTGAAGACTTTCAGCGATCCTATCAACAGTGGAAACGGCGTTGGCAGAAGTGCATTTTGTCTCAGGGGGAGTACTTTGAAGGAAACCATATTGAAATACCTGAACAGTTGTAAAATAAAGTTATTATTCCACTTTTATACGTACATTCCTGACAAACCTCACATTTGACTATGTTTAAATATAAAGCAAGATCCGTGAGAAAACATTTTACTGGGGAAAGTGTAACACAGACTTTTTACTGGAAATTTGTATATTTTGATTGCGGCATATCAACGACAAAGTATATTGTCTGCTAGGTCACGTAAATTAATAAATCCAGAACGATCTAGGGACTGATTATTTCTGCGTTTGATCGTTTAATAAATGTTTCGGCTATAAACTTTGGAAATACTTGAATACACGTGGGAAAATTTTTAGGGATTGATAATTGCTTCATTAAACTTATAAAGAAACCATTCGGGTGCTTAGTTAAGCTGGCAAACGGACAAATAAGAAATTCATACTCACATAGTTTCATCTAAACCACGCAAGAACGGTATCACGAATAAAAAAATATTTACAGGAAAAAATAGCCCTCAACATCCTGTATCTCAGTAACGAAGTCGTAATAAAACATATAAAAACACATGAGCTTTTTTTCATTCCTATGAGTTCTACTCGGAAAAAATAAACTATACACCTAACTAAAATAAAAAAATAAGAGTAGAAAAAGCCCATAAAGTTAATGTAAATATGAAAATTTAAAATTCGACCACCCTGGATATTCCGAGATATTCCATTTTCTGATCGAATGACACTCCATAGTAAGTGACGAGGCCATCGTAATGTGAAAAAATAACGACGGATGGTTTTTGTTTGATTTCAGTCTTAACAGATGTTGCCATTTTTCGACAACTTTGCAAAATATTTACTTTAACATTCACACACAATAAAAGCAAAAAAAGCGGTACTATTTAACCAACAAAAACCCGTGAACATTCGCTATGAACTTATCGAAGTTGTCTCTGAACTTTAGTTTGGGCAACCGTTCGCAGTTCCACTCTACGCCAATCACAAGGTTGTTGAAAGCTGCCGCTAGACGTTCCCTGACCATCGGGTCCGACTGCATTTGCAAGAGGGTTTCCACTAACGCACGATAATCCTGGAAATACAAAACACTGCTTGATCACCGACTGATTATAAAAGGCGGATTAATCTTTAGGTTACAGCCCAAGTTTTGTCAAATAAGTGATGAATAAAATGAAAGAAATTACAGTCATTGAATTCACAAAATTAGGAGAAACACTTTTACAACACAATATACCTGAAATTATCGATAATGCCGACAAATACTTCGAACAAAATATGAATAATACGGATAAATATATTAGTGAAGCTATGGTCACGAAAATAATATATGAAAGAGTGAACCCAACGCGCTGGTTTTCACAGATATTCAAGGAGTCTAAATTAAAACGCGATAACGACTACAGAAAATTTTCAGTAACCCAAAGTGAAAATGATTGGAAACAATATACAAAATCAAGAAATGAGTGTGTAGCAGTTCTCAGGAGGGAAAAGAAAAAATACTATGATCGATAGCAATAATAATAATTCTAAAATGATGTGGAAAACATTGAAGAATATTGTTTCTCCTAACACTGAATTATCTAAAATGCGTTTCGAAGATGGGGTAGTGACAGACAAATTAATTATAGCAGAAAGAATGAACACTTATTTTATAGAAAGTGTAAATCAAATAGTGAAGACGATTGTTGACGGTGATCCAAGCTTATGTCCATTGCAAGTATGTCAGAATTCATCAATGAAGCAATTTAGGACAATTAACATCAACAATCTAAGAAAAGCTATCTCAAAATTGAAATCTAATAAAAATCCAAGTGAGAATCTCTCAAAAAATATTCTAAATAATTGTTTCAATATAATTGGAGAGAAATTATTATTATTGGTGAATTATTGTTTAGTACATGGTGAATTCCCATCAAAATTAAAGTATTCCACCATTACTCCTGTGTCAAAAGTTCAAAATTCTCAGCAGTATACAAATATGCTGCCGATTAATGTCTTGCCCAATGTCGAGAAGCTGTTCGAAGGGATAATATACAAATAAATCATAGTATTCATTGAAGAAACCAACATTTTGATAAAAACTCAAGCTGGAATTAGACAAAATGTTCCACAGAAACGGCAATCCAAATGGTGGTGGAAGACTGGAGAAGAAGTATAGATGAGAAATAATATATTGTAACAATATTTTTAGACTTCAAAAGGGCATTTGAGACTATAGATAGGGAAAAATTGTTAATGAAATTGCGTCACTATGGCTTTAAAGGATCAGTATTACACATTTTACAAAATAATTTAATAGAAGTCAAAAAACTAAAGTTGGAAATATTATGTCAAGTGTTAATATAAATATATCAGTAGGGGTGCCACATGGGAGTAAATTAGGGCCGTTACTATTTATTATTTATATAAATCATATCCTGACATTTTAGAACACTGCAAAATTCAAATATTTGCGGACAATTCACTTATATATATATATAACTTGAGACGTGGTCATTGTCGTCTAGACCAGATAGGTGAAAAATTAAAGCTTCCGCCTTTTGTTGGGTACTTCGACAAAATTTAAGCAACGAGGACTCTTTATACTTTTTTAATTCTCTCTAGCTTTCAATGGACTTTGCCATCATCATGAGCTGCAATTACAATGATAACAGTAGCAACAAAAGTGTAAAATGAATTTAAATTGACTCAACCTACAGTAGTATGTGAGGATGTTGCTAATTGTTGTTTACGTATAGGATGAGGGAAACGTCATATTTTATATAATTTTGACCATTGCACCATGTATCCAGCTCTCACCATGTTACTGGACGTTTCCCTCATCCTATACGTAAACAACAATTAGCAACATCCTCACATACTACTGTAAGTTGAGTCAATTTAAATTCATTTTACACTTTTGTTGCTACTGTTATCATTGTAATTGCAGCTCCTGATGATGATGGCAAAGTCCATTGAAAGCTAGAGAGAATTAAAAAAGTATAAAGAGTCCTCTTTGCTTAAATTTTGTCGAAGTACCCAACAAAAGGCGGAAGCTTTAATTTTTCACCTATATATATATATATATACAGGGTGTCCGCAAAGTTGGGGTTTTCCTTTTCAGAAACAACTACCCTTGAAATAACAAAGGTAATGTGTAGTGAAACGAGGGCGACCAAGTATAAAAAAATTAAAGGAAAAAGTACTCACTCTCCAGTTGACGAGAAGGGCTAAGTACGTCTCTGCCCGAAATCATACCGCTCCAACAGAAAATGAAATCAGCTGATGCGCTACCGAGCAGACGTAAACAGTCTAGGTATTGCATCCCGTCCAATCGATTTGGGAGAATAAATGGTCCAATGAGCCTACCGTTCACCATGCCAGCCCAAACATTCACCGAAAATGTTTGTTGAAAGTGTGCCCGACGGACAGCGTGCGGATTTTCTACTGACCAAACATGAGTGTTGCGAAAGTTATTCACCCCATTACGCGTGAACGTAGATTCGTCTGTCACCAATATGCACTTCAAAAAGTCCGGATTATTGTCATGTTGATGCAACAACCACTCACAAAACCACTCTTGCTGGAAAATCGTCAGGTTGAAGGGCTTGTACACGTTGGACGTGAAACGGATACAGCCCCTCTTCACGCAGCGTTTGTCACACTTTAGTTTTTGATACTTGCACTTCTCTAGCCACGTCTCTAGTGCTTGTTGTTTTTTGAAACGCAATCGATTATACGAGTTCGTTTACCTCTACACGCGTGACCGTAACCGTCGGTTGAAGGTTGCATACTGACCTGACACACTGACCCCGACCCCCGACCCAGTTCTGTCGTCGGGTTGAGCTAGTAGCCGGTACCAGTTGGGGATATCGCGAGCCGCGGCTACAGGACGGTATTCAGATATTTTTGATGTTGCAGAGCCCTTTATCTCGGTTCCCTTAAGACATTGGTGTATATGGTACTAAGAAAAGTTGCTTATGTTTTCAAGATCTACACGTCGTGTAAAGGAAAACCCCAACTTGGCGGACACCCTGTATATATATATATATATATATATATATATATATATATATATATATCACATAAGCATTTGGACACTGCTTTAGAACTGTTAAATAGTGATATTAAAAAAAAATATGAATTGGTTGAATGTCAATAAACTTATATTAAACACTAATAAAACAAAACGTATGTCAATACGGAAACATTTAGGTCACAATACAATTAGGCTCATGATTAATGATGAAAAAATTGAAGTAGTCGAGTCATTTAAATATCTTGGTATATATGTGGATAGTAAGCTACTGTTTCACGAACATTATGAATACATTATTTCAAACATATCGAAAAAGATAAATTTTCCCATAATCTTAGTATGTATTCCAAAAAAATTGTGTATAGTACTATAATTCTTTCCCATTATATTGTTCACCCATCTTGTTTACAGCAAGTGAAAACATATTTTAAAAATTACAAATTCTACAAAATAAAGCGATGAGAATCATTTTAAATAAAAACAAATATACTAGGATTAATTAAGTCTATGTTAGAAGAACTGCAGTGGTTGGATGTGAGAAATTTCATATATTATTTAGTTCTCGTTTTCAAATTCAAATTAAAAAATCATTTATTACCGCCACATTTAGAGAACTTCACTAAATTAAATAGTCATTATCATAACTACGAAACTAGAAGCAGTATAGATTTTCATCTTCAAAATTGTAATAGTAGCATAACTAGTAAATCTATATTTCAAAAAGGAGTATCTGAATTTAATAAATTGAATAATGATGGTAAACAAAGTTCGAATTTAAAAATGTTTAAGGTGAAATTTAAAAAGTTACTTTACGAATAATAAAAATACATAGTGACGTAATTTTAATTTCAATAGACAAGAATGTAAAATTACAGAAAATGGATTGAAGAAAAGTATGTAACCGAATCATTATCACAAAATTGACAATGTAGCATTAATGCTAAATACATCTTCAACAACAACAACAAAAAGCACAAAGTGTATTATTAAGTATCCTTGCATAATTGGTATTATTTTTTTAAAGTTGTATACTTGAGTTATCCTATATCATACAAGGTCAGGATCTATGAACAAATACGAGGGTTATTTCAAAAATAGGGTTCCCAGGCACAAGGAATTTTTTATTTGGAAAAACAAATTCACCATTGGAAACGTTGATCTTTAAGCTATTTTTCTGCATAGTCGCCATTTTTTTTTCTACGCAGTTGTTTGGAACTTTTGCACTCCCGCCTCAAAGAAGTCTGCGGCCAGCCCGTTTAGAAACTTGGTAACTGCTCCTTGCACCTCCTCGTCCGTCTCGAACCGTTGACCGTCTAGGTGCTCCTTCAATTTCGTAGATGCTATGTCAGGGCAGTACGGGGGATGGGCAATGACTTCCCAGCAAAATCGCTTCCTATATGACGATTTTGGATTAACCGTCTCAGCTTTTTCAGACTTCCAACCGCCACTTCCCGGATCGCGATTCGCCGATCTTCGAGTAAGATTTGCTCAATCTCCGCCACAACACTCTTCACCATTTGAGGGCATGCTTATACACGTTTCCTCATATACTTCACTCAAGTGGCGATGAATTTCCATGAGTGGTAACATTTTTGCCTGCTCGAATTTCGCACCTGGCGGTGACGGCGATGAAGTGCTCCAGTACGCATGGCTGTCGGGCTGACACTGAGAATCGCAAATAGGGGCTTCTTGTTGGAATCGGTGGTGGCAGAGCCGACAAGCACGTCGGCGTTGCCATATTTCGGCTAGCAAAGTTACAGCGTTGGGAACCATATTTTTGAAACAACGCTCGTAAATACTTATCTATCTTGCATGCTTCTGACCTACCTCTTGGTAACAGCAGATCAACGTGTAAATCGTGGTACTGGCAGAGGTGATCAGATCCGAGTTGATTTGACGAGAGAGAGTTAGATCGATCAGAGTTTTCAGAAAAGGCCTGATAGCCGCATACAACAGACTGTTGACCAGTTTGTGTCTGAATATGTACGACGCCATTCCTTGAATGAAGTCGAGACATATTTGGACGATGTCTGAACCAAAATTGATTAGACCGATATCGATGCTCTTCAACAGGCTTTGAAGCAAGTCTTGAGGTAGGCTGGATACTTTTTCGGGGTAGATGTCGTTTACCAGCACCAACAATCTAGAAATGTAATGGAAATATTGCAATCGCTCCTCGACTTGTTAAGAAGCATCGTGACCCGAAAATCGTTCAACTTTAGACTGTAAGGTCGAAGTATATCTGTAGCAAACATCTAAAATCAGTTTAGATGGACGTATAGCAGTTTCAAAATAATGTAGTTTAATGGTAATATTAACTCAAAACTGAGTCAGTCTGGACTTACGACATTTAGCTCATGAGATACAGATATAATTTTTATGACATTCAGAGTTACGTTGCGCACTTTTTCGTAAAAGCCCTAATATCTTTAATGCAGTCAATTGAGTTCCGAAGCATTATGTACTGGTAAAATATTTCAACAATACTTTATCATTTTGCTACAAAATAGTGTTGTTACAGTGAAACAAACGTATAGTTCATATTCACGCGTTTGCCAAACCTACGATAAATATAAATAATTAATGTACATTCTCTAGTATACCCATGGCTTTGATGTGGATAAGCCATAGAGCCTATATACCACGAGAGAAGGCGAAATAAAAAAAGCGACCCCAAAACTTGACGCCTGACTAAAGGCGCACTGATCGAATCGAGTACCAACTACTGAGCATTTGCAAGGTTTTTTTATGAATAATAAATAATATGATAGATTAAGGCAAGGTTATTCAGGGTGTAAACGTTATGGTAGTCATTATTGAATAGTAATAGGGGGGGGGGGTCAATAAGTTCATATGACCCATGATCCAAAAGTCAATAGATGTTTGTCTAAATGGCTTTATAGTTTACAACTTTAAGTGCCACAACTTACTAATTTTTATAATCTAATCTAAAACGTTTTTAAATTGGGTAATCAACAAATAAATGGCATTAAGTTTTTCTAAGTTAAGTCAAAATTTGTAGTCAGTAAGTTTCATTAAATTAAATATTTAAAACCGGCAATCGACCGCAAACGGTAACAGTGGTTAGTTATTGTTCGCGTACGTCGTCGTGTTTATTTACAGTGTTCTCGAATCACGAGTTCGCCGACATGTTAGTTTACGGTGAAGCTCGTCGGAATTCAAATCTTGCAGCTCAAATTTATCGTGTCACATTTCGCCAACGGGTACACCCAGACAGAAGGACATTTGTGCAAGTGTACCAAAGACTTCGAGATACAGGAAGTGTTCAGCCCACTAATATTCGCACTCATGAAAGACAGGTTACTGTAGAGCTGGAGGAACAAATTTTAAATATCGTGGAAATCAATGCAGATATCAGCACTCGGGAATTAGGCCGCCGCGTAGGTCTATCGCATACCATAGTCCATAGAATCCTACGGGAAAATTTGCTTTATCCCTACCATGTACAACGAGTGCAGGCCTTGTTACCAGAAGACTATCCTCGCAGACTAACATTCTGTCAGTGGTTTTTGCACAAAAACATTGAAAATCCGGATTTTTTTTAAAAACATTCTAGCGACGGACGAATGTACTTTTGCGCGAGACGGGATATTAAATTTCCATAATACTCACACGTGGGCCCCAGAAAATCCTCATACCATTCGTGAAGGTCATTTCCAACAACGTTTTAAAATAAATATTTGGGCGGGTATTCTTGACGACCAGGTAATTAGCCCTTTCGAGTTACCCCCAAAGTTGTCAGAAGAAGGATACCTTAGCTTTCTAGCCAATAACCTACTAGAACTTTTGGAACAGACCTTAGACAACCTGCCATTACAACGAAGAGACAATTTGTGGTTTCTTCATGACGGGGCACCACCACACAGTTCATTCAGTATTTAAATGAACATTATCCAAATCGCTGGATCGGTCGAAATGCTCCTGATCCTCGAAAATGGCCACCAAGATCTCCTAACCTCAATCCAATGGATTTCTGGTATTGGGGAGAACTTAAAGGGATGGTTTATGGGGCTGGTCCAATAACAACTGAAGCACAACTTCGCGAAAAAAAATTAATGCGACTGAAATAATACATGGACAACTTCGAGGACCTAGAGTAAGAATCAACTGGGTCGTAATGAAGCTTGTGTGGAAAGTAGAGGACGACATTTCGAACACCTTCTTTAAATACAAAAAGGTACAGTGTGGGTTATTAAAAACAAAAACAATGTATGTATCAAAATTGTGTTCCCTACTTACAAGTTGATTTTGTTTAGTACGTTCAATAAACTTTCACATACTAGGTGGTGGTAAGTACGTTTTTTTAATTGTTTGCATTTTACGAGTACATTATCAAATAATGAAATAATACCTAAGAGCCAAAAATAACAAACTCCATCTTCATTTACACTGTGTTCCGTCGTAATTTGCGTCTGGCATTGCGGCGTTGGCAGATTTTATTGTACTTTGAAGTCGCTTTTCTCTAAAAACATGCCCCCTCCCATGTTATATGAAACTTTATGCTCCTTTTAACTCCCTCTATCACCCATTTAAATAATGACTATCATAACGTTTACACCCTGCATTTGCTATGCAGATTCGAGCGATCGGATCTTAGACTATTAGGAAAGTGTTAGTCAAAGCGCAGCATTGCGAGAATTGGTCAGGCAGGATTTCCCTAGAACAAGCACAAAAATTACTCAAAATTGCTACTTTTTCTGAAAAGGGTAGGTTTGCTTCAAAGAGCGGGGGGCGCTTTCTATCCGCGAGACTTGTTATTTCCCCCAGATATTACAGGGTGTCCGCAAAGTTGGTGTTTTCCTTTCCAGACACAACTACGAATGATATAACAAAACTAATGTGCGGTGATACGTGAGCGAACAAGTAAAAAAAATAATGAGAAAGTACTCACTGTTCAGTTGAATTGAAATTCCAAATACGGCTCTGTCGTAAAATCCGTATTTACATCGTAGTCGTACGCTGGCGCTGTGAACGTGATCGAGGGATAGGACAGGACCGGTTTCGGTATGGTTCATGTTTGATTGAGTTTGCAGAGTCCAATATGTCGCCGTGTAAAGGAAACCTCCAACTTTGCGGACACCCCATATATTCCCGAAACGTGGAAATAAAAATCCCAAAATTTTAAGGAAAGATCCCCGAACATAGCAACCCCGTCAAAACACCACTGGTACTCCAGGCGTCAAGTTTCGGGGTCGTTTTTACAGAACAAAACCATTGACCAAGTTTCTCATGGTATATAGGCTCCATGGGACAAGTTAGCTAATCTTTGTGGTAGATGTGCCAGGGAAGAACTGTCACCAAAATATCCAAGGGTTAGAACCATGAAGACTACAGATAGGAGGCATCTATCTCGTATCTACACTGCACGGGAAATGAATGTCAGTTTCTGCGCATGTCGCATCTCTCTCATATCTAATCGGTCTGTTGCCGTCATCATGAACGTAAACAACTCCAGTAATTGCAGTTGAATTAAATTGCAAGCAGTTAATATCGATAAACCAACAAAACGTGGCAATACGCGAGTTAAATGAAAAAAAAACTTGGGAATTAGGATTGTTCGAGACCCCTCTTCCTCATTTTCAATGTCATCAAGAACCACGGCAAGGACAAGAGGATCAGCAACTGAACACGAACACGTGGATATGGAAAATGAATTAATAGGTCCGATAATAAGATTAAGTGGTTTTGGCCGATATGTAAGGAAATTACAGGAACAAAATATTCGTGATGCGTGTGATATGAGTTTTTAAGGGAGCATTGCGGCCAGGTATATATAATGCTCACCTGGTCATATTATTCAAAAATACAGGGTGTGGGATAAGCTGTTAGCCGCGCCATTGCCTGGAAATTTAGTCGCCATGGAGCCGTACACGGGAACGCAGCATGTATTTTGTGTCTGAGCGTATTATAAAAACAATAAATTGGTTATTACTGCACGACGTTAGTATCGACATGAACACGGTTTACGAGATTTAAGAGAAGTTCCAAGCGCCAATGTGATACGGAAATGCATCAGAATGTTCGAAACAACCAGCTCGACAGTAGCAATAACAGCTCGTGGTCGTCCAGTTTCTGCAAGATCAGCCGACAATGTAGAGCGGGTTCGTGTTTCATTTCAGCAAAATCCGCAACAGTCAACACGTAAGAGAAGTCGGGCTTTGGACATCAAAAGAACGAGCTTGCGGCGAATTTTGAAGCGTGATTTGCATTTGAAGGCTTATACTAGTCCAAGAATTAAAACCAGATGATGCCAATAACCGACTTAACTTTGTCAATTTGATGCTCGACCGATTCAACAGTTTTAACAACGTGATGTTTAGTGATTAGGCCAATTTTCACCACATTGGCCATGTTAACAAACAAAACTGTCGGTCCTGGTCCGAAACTAATCCACGACGCTTGCATGAACGTCCACTTCACAACCCTAAACTAATCGTGTCGGCTGGAATTACGTCAACCGTTATTATTGGACCGTACTTTTTTGAGAACGAAAGAGGGCAAGCGATGACAGTTAAAGCTAACAATTATTGCAACATGATAATAGACTTTTTGGTGACAGCTTTACAAGAACTCCAAGGCAATACCTCTAGAATGTGGTTTCAACAAGTTGGGGCTATATGTCATACAGCTAGGGTATCTATAGAGCTGCTCAAAAATGTCTTTCCCGGAAAACTCATTTTGAAAAGGGGGAATATTGAATGGCTACCACGTAGCCTCGATCTTTCTCCATGTGATTATTTCCTATGGGGCTACCTCAAATCGGTGGTCTACGAGAATAATCCAACTAATTTAGAGCAGCTGAAGAGGAATATTGATCAGGAACGTAACAAAATACCGATAACAACTTTTCATCGAGTTTTCCAAAATCTGCAGCTTCGGTTTCAAGAGTGCCAAGCAGCCTAAGGAAATCATTTGAAAAACATTATTTTTAAGTCATAAAAATTCCCATCTTTCTACTTTTTAAAAATACATTTATTTTTATTTTATATTGCTTAGTTATTTTTTAATTGAATATTGAAATTGCCAACTCCTTTACGGCCCACCCTGTATAACTGAGAATTTGAAAAACACAAAAATCGACTGTAATATAAAGAATGAACCAATAAACCATATTATATTAGGTACATTAGATAAATAGTTTTGACATTTTCACAAGCATCTGTATAAATGCGCAGAACCTCCTATATTCTTCATGGTTCGAACCACTGATTTGTCACTGGCTCACTGGATAGCGCCGCTTGCACCGACCTTTGTATATCGCGGAAATACGAATAAAATGCACAAACCTATAATACTGCAAACACAAACTTGGGTATTTCAAGAGATCCATTGACATTAAAGGCATAATGAAGCTCAAACCGAAGAGCGAGACATCAGCTGCCGTAACAGTGATTTCTTCATCGTTTGATGTACACAAATCGATGCAATCCTTCGAAAGAATGAAAGTAAGAACATCGAGAACGAGTCCCAAATCCTGAAAGGTTGTTTCTTCGGCGAATGATTCGACGGTGAATCGATTCATGTTGCATTTCGTGTAAGTTTGTACTGTAGCCAAGGCACATTCATACAATCTGAAAAAAAAACGAATAATTGTTCAAGTTCCTTGAGCGTGAAATGGGCGTTTATGGGCAGCGGTGTGAATTTAGAGTTAAATTTAGAAAACAGCGGGTGCTAAAGTTACTTTAGCATCCTGGGACATACATTAAGTCCGTGAGATAAAAAGTAGAACTTGCCGCCAGAAAACCTGTACATAAAGTGCACTTTACCGCCAAATCGTAGATAAAATTATTTAAATGCTTATATTAACAATTTTGCAATGGTGCTATAATCTGATCAAATGATATATTCATCGATATAATTTCACATGATGTATTCAAAGTTATTTATTCACAAATAATTTCTTACCTTTGACTTTTCGTATGTGGTAGGTAACATAACGTATATTTCGCTACTTGACCAAACAATTCTAGAATGAGCTGAACAATGACGTGATAATTATTGAATGCAGACATGAAGTTCGGCATTTCGTTGAGAATCGGAGCTAGGAAGTCAAAGATGATATCTGAAGTAAATATTTGGGAACCTTTTGCGAGCCCTGAAACACAGAAAGATGCATCGATTACCACTTAAACTTACAGCATCACAAATGAAATAATTCACTACTGATAAAATTATACTCTTCGCTTTATGAGGTACCATACCATTTAATTGACCGATCCGAGTGACGTCATAGCATCACCGTACTCATCAGCTGAAAAGAAACAGTGGCTAAGCAATATTTTTAACAAACTTTGAGTTGTAACGATTAGAAATATTTTTAAAATTGTTTTTTATATGCATTGACGAAAAAATGATATAATTTAACGTCAGCTCTATTTAGTCGCAAGTATGAGCATTGTGCCATATGTGATCTGACTATAGAAATGCTGAAGTACACTAGGTGTTTGTAATGGGGTGTACAACAAATTTTGTATTCAATCATGCGTCTTACATTTTCTTCCTTGAGGGCCTCCGGACGCCCTCTAAACTAGGACAAATCCTAGATAAACACCATATATTTAAAGATTAGACCGCTGGGGTATTTCTAAAACATGTTTCGAGGAAATATCAGTACATTGGCTCCAACAAATATACAGGGTGCGGCAGAGAGGACGGATGTTTTTGGGATGGGTAGTACTCTCCGCCTCCGTCTACGAGAGAGGTGGGGAGGGTGCCGTTTGACTCGTGAGATCCTAGCATTATTTTACCAGTTGTCGTTATGGAGCCTTGGACGGTGGAGCATCGCGTTTTCGCCTATGAGTGACGCAGCCCACTTTCACCTAAACAGCATGGTTAACCAGCAGAATTGTTGTTATTGGGCTAATGAAAATCCGCAACAGTTACACGAAAGACCGCTGCACAGCCCAAAAGTAACGGTTTGGTGCGCTGTATCGCAAACTTGCATCATTGGCCCTTACCTCTTCGAAGACGGTAATGGTCGTGATGTTACCGTGAACTCAGAGCGCTACGTCGACATGATCACCAACTTTTTTCTCCCTGAATTACGACGGCGACGTGTTCCAATCCGACGTGTGTGGTTCCAGCAGGATGGGGCGACCGCCCACACAGCCTGAGCATCCATGGACGTTATTCGCCCTCTTCCCTGGTCGCCTTATTTCCAGGTTTGGCGATGTTCATTGGCCTCCCCGGTCCCCAGATTTATCCATATGAGATTTTTTCTTATGGGGACACCTCAAGGCTAGAGTATACGCGAACAAGCCCCGAACTCTAGACGAATTGAAGGGCGAAATTCGCGTGGAAGTCGCCCAAGTTGAGAGAGCGATCTTGGAGATTGTCCACGCGAACTTCCAAGAACGCCTCCAGCACTGCATTAACGATTTCGGCCACCACATGCCTGATGTGATTTTCCACACTTGACTGTCTCAAATGCTATTTCCTTGTGAACCCGATTCCATCGATAAATTTGTTTTCGAGTAAAAATTAACAATTTTAGGATTTTTTAAAACCGTCCATCCTCTCTGCCGCACCCTGTATTTCAAATGTTCGGTTTTTTTCTATGAACGAGACGTGGCAACACTTGTCCGCCAATGTTCATGTAACACTTCAGACGTTGAAAGTTTAATATGAAACGTATGAAGGCATTCTAGCGGTATCCGTAACGAAAAAAAAACTCTTATTAGCCGATTCCTTCAGTGGAAAATATAGTTATAGCAAAAAAAACTGAAAAAATACGCTTTAATAGTAAATCGAACTAAAAAGTAGAAAATAATTTTCAAGTACAGCAGAGTTTATGTCACTGGAATAGAAATTGAAACAATAAAAGTATGGCTAATTAATTTTGATAAGATCAATACAACAATCAAGATATGGACAAAAAATTCAATTATAGTAAAAAAGCGTGGGGCGCTTGATATTAGATGTTAGAATTATTTTTTTTAGTTGCTATTTATAAAATTGGAGTTATTATAAAAATATACGTAATTGCACACCATGGTTTTTTACTATAATTGACTTTTTTGTTAATGTCTTAATTTTTATACTGATCTTATTCCAAATTAATTAGTCATAGTTGATTGTTAGACTTTCCATTCAACTTTTTAGTATGATTTACTGTTAGGCGTGTTTTTCAGTTTTTTAAACTATGATTTATTTTCTGACTGTTTAGTCTCAAAACGACCACAAAAGTACGTATAATCAAGAGCTTTGACACTTCATTCCTGTTTACATATTTCATGTTAATTTTTTTTCAAAATTACCAATTTTTTTCTCAATTTTTAAATTCATATTTCATTCCTAACATCAAAATTTCCAAAATTGTTTCAAATTATTTTTCGAATTTTCCAATTGTATTCCAAATTTTCAAAACCAAATTTCAAAATAATTTTTTTTCAAATTTCAGTATCAAATTTTTCCTGTGCAAATGTTCAAGTTAATCAGATTTATTGAAATAGACGAAAATTAGGTTGAAAGATTCTGTTACAAAAAAAAAACAAAATAAAATAGAAAAAAGCAATTTTGCCCAGGTAGAAGATACCCAACTCTGTGATCGTCACATCTGTAATAGATGTAAATTCTGCTCTGACAATTCCTGGTGAGGATGAAATGCGTGTTGGTTGAATCGTCGAAGGTAGGAAAGTAGTGTAACTTTGACATTACATACTTGGGAGATGTTAAAAACAGTTACCAATGAATGCTTCCAACAGGTCTACAATGACTGCCCGTGTGCTTTGGTCCTCAGTTTTAGATGCCAATCCACCTTCCGCTGTACAAATACTGTGGAATTTTCTTTGCAAAGATCCGACGACGCTTTCCATATAGATTTGTAACGGTTCTGGAGTTTCACCTTCCATAGCCAGACATTCTGCGCATAGTGCGAAACCTCTGAAAAAGAAAAAAAAAACTAAGTAGACTGACTGTACACTTTCCACGCCTTCGCTATTATTGACTCTGATATGATTTTCTATGCTGTGCAATATCAACAATACACACTGGTATCAAAAAGACGTCGGTTTTGCTAGTATCAATAATTCAAAATTCCAAAATTAGAGTCAAGTCATTCATGTTCATTATATTAAAATATTTATGTCTAACAACTGCCGTAATATTATCAAACAGCTTCTTAATAATAGGAAAACTATCAGTGATCCCAAAGATGCAACATTTACTACCTCCTTATAACCCATTTCTCACTTCCTCCAGAAGATTTTTGAAATCTCTGAAATGCTGAAAAAGTTTCAGTAATTTTTTTTCGATATATGCCGTAATATTATCAAAGAGCTTCTTAATAATAGGAAAACTATCAGTGATCCCAAAGATGCAACATTTACTACCTCCTTATAACCCATTTCTCACTTCCTCCAGAAGATTTTTGAAATCTCTGAAATGCTGAAAAAGTTTCAGTAATTTTTTTTCGATATATGTCCGTGTCTCTGCCACTAGATCAATTTTCAAAATCCAAAAATCACTCTCATCCTTGACATAGTAAACATCTAACAAAATTTCCTCAAAATCTGAGCAGTATACACCCCAAGTTAAGAGGAATCAAGCATTAGCGGATAGACAGACCGACGAAAATAAATGACCAAAAAAAGATAATTCATTTTCGAATTTTTTACGGATTGCGATAGCTCCTCTCTAAGGTAAAGCAGAGACTAAAGCTGTCCTGTCAAAACCTGAATATTTGACCTACCTGTACATGCCTCTAAGTACGTTTTGAGGCATAACTCCTGGTTCAATGCTTTCACAAACAGTCAAAAGTTCTCTAAGAGCTGGTGCGTCGTATATATGAATTGACCTGGAATACAAGTTTGGCCTAATTAATTTAAAAATTTATTTTTCACATACACATTCGTCCTACAGGCAACAAGTCAGATAATCTAATATAATCACTGAAGATTCAGTGGGATCAATTGGAAAATTTAGCTCATCATATTTCATTGAGAAACAAAATAATGAAATGCTAATAAAGTTCGACGGAAAATACTGTATCAAAACTATTTAGTAGGCATTTTTAAATAATATGAGTAAAATCCTGTGGACCTTAACCATTTACAAAGATGAATTCTCTCTAAATCTATCGAATACCTCAATGCATTTTTATTGTTAATGCAATACTCACTTTTGCCTGCAGTTCACAAGATCACAAAAACAATCAACTGTGTCTTGCAGCACCTGCGGTTCTGATTGGAAATAATAAAGGTTAGTCTGTATTTTTTTCAAAACATATCCAATTATTAGCCGGGCCCCTTCAGAGTTTACTCCTAAACACCCTAAAATCGTTGGAGTCAGCTGAAAAGAATGATTTGTACCTTTAAAAAATGTGTAACTGAAAAATATCTCGAACTCAACTGAACATATTTGACCACATTTTTACAACTGTAGGTCATGAATTTTTAACATCTTGGAAATTATCTCATTTCACTACAAAATTGGAGGTGGTAAAATTCGACTTTGCCTACATACACGTATTTAAAAAAAAAATAACAGTAAATGTATGCAATATTACAAAAATTGATGGCTAATATGGTACTCTTGAAGTAGAAGAAGAAATATATTCAGTTGTTACTCCAACACTGTTACAAAATTAGAGTTGATGTTTATTATAGAAAAACAATATACCTCGGTGTAGTAATGTTCAACTGGCATTAAATAGTTGGCACAAAACCTTCTAAAGAACCACATTATTGTTGAGCTTAGTTCAGGACTCAAAAATTGTTTCATTCCTGAACGAATAGCAAATTCTTCGACACAGCACAGTTTCATTATGTCGAAAAATATCCTAACGATAGCATCACATTTTTCGAAATCGGCAGGCATCTAAAAAAAAAAGATTTACCTTCATTATTCATTTAAATCTCGTAGCCTATTTTTGAAGAACTTCGATTTGTTTGTTTTTTAAGCTATATGCCAAAACTAAGCCTTTAGAAAAGTCAAGTTCGATGTGATTTATGAAAACAAGAGTTCATAAAGTTAGACCTTATGAGAAACAGGTTAGCTACGGTAGACAAATTAAATGGATCAATATAGGCCCATAAAATTAATCCATAGTCTGTTACGTCGGTGAAGCCAAAGAGCAGAGATGCGTGTCTGTATTAAGTTTTGTATGGGAAAATCTATGATGTATGAAATATGTCTAATAGGTGCATAGAATTACCGGGATTGGAAGCATATAAATATACTAACATCAAAAAACTGATATATCCTCCCACACCCCCTACAGTCACCAACCCCTAATTTTTTATCTCTACATAAAGTTTTCTGAAAATTATCAGGAGTCTCTAAAACGTCAACAGACAAAGTTTGTGTATTCGTCTTTTGACCCTAGTTCCGCCGCCATTGGACATATTTTCGAAAACAACAAATCTGATTCGTCCTTGGCGTAGTAATAACGTTACGTGAAACTGTCATCCACATCCGAGCGGTAGTTTCCAATGAGTGACATGTTTTTTGTGATGTGCATGAATTTTTCGCGATTACAATACTCCCTCGCCAGTGGCGTGGGAAGTAATAAGAAAATAATTTCGATTAGCTTCGAACAAAATGAATCGAAGCGTCTAAAAATGGATAATCTATTTAGGAATCACATGGATAAACACTACAATAGCAAAGCAATTGATCAACTTTTCTGATTATGGATATTGTAGAATGTAAGTTTATTATTAACTTACAGTTGTACTATTTTCAGCTAATCGTAGCGCCTGTAAGCTGGCTTCCACTGTACACCCTGCATTGTAAGAATTGCTTGACATCCTGGAAATATTCGAATAAATTGTCACAGACTAACACTTATCTACACTAAGAAGTTCATGGTTCAGACGCTATTTATATCGATGTTCTATGAGGTCTAATTGTGAATGATATATCGACGAACGTTTTGAAGCGCAAATAGATCCTTTCAAGTGCTCTTTTAGGTTGATATACATCCAAAATTAGTTTCGAGTATTCAGTTCTAGTTCTAGTTGTCAATTCTTGGAATGGAGGTAATAGATTAACATATGTTTCTTTCTATCAGTAAAATATTCCCTCGCTTTCAAGAACGGATCATATGGTCAGTTCTACAGCATTTCAATAGCTTTATTTTATGAAGTGAAATAAAATATGGAAAACATGAACAAGACTGAAACCACTTGCATAGTAGTTTTTCTATAAATTGTAAAGTTTTAATGCCCCTCAAATTGCATGACACGAAAATATCGTAGCTTATTCTCATAAAATGTTATAGAGAATATCGCAAAAACTCAACGGTAAATTTTGTTCAAACCTGTGTCAATATCCGGGACATATAAACGCAAGCATCTCAAAATATTCGTTATAAACCACTTTTGAACCATTAATTTAGGAACTTGCACGATTTGTGATAACAAATGCAGAAGTTTTTTATACCTGATCATTTCCATAGGTATCATTACAGTTTCATTACCATCGGCATCAAAACACAAAACGTGTCCAGCGATGAGGACTAGCCAGTTCAGATCTTCGTAAAGCGAGTCTAAAGCAGCTGCCTCGCTGATTGTCAACGCGCGGCTGCGCATCTCTTGGAAGCTGTTGTATAGGGTGGCGGTACGTGATTCCAGTAGGCTATGAACAATAATGGTGTCAAGTAGATTCCCTCAGTACTTTCCATGCATTGATATACAAGTGAAATATGGAAAAGACCTGGTATCAAAATATTTGACGTAAAAAAGGTGAAAATTTTGAGACTTCAAGCGAGTTGTGTATTTATAATCTACTCGTATTTATGTTACAACAAGTAATATCAAAAATTATCAAAAACTTCATAGATAGGTGTAAAGCTACTTGATATTATATTGCTAATATCTAATAATTGACTTGATTTCAAGTCAAGTAATGTATCCCTCAATAAAATTCGAGTATGAGCCTAATAAAATGTCTTGTAGAGAAACAAGCCGGTGTCGACTGCAAAACTTTTAAATGACGTTCCAAACACATACAGACTGTTAATATATAGACAAACTTCAGGAGGTGATTCTTTGCGGAATTTTCAGATGAAAAGTTCGTATAAACATAGGTCTAGAAATGCTTCGTTTTCAAGAACTTTTTTGAAAATCGGCTTTTTATAAATATCTTAATAAACTTTCAGTCGATTTTGTTCAAATTCTGGAGTAGAGTTGAGGAGAGTAAAGGGCTAATTTAGCTCCTATTATTAAACTGAAATCATCAAATCCAGTGGCGTCCCGGAAAACACCCCAACCAATATCTTTGACAAAAAATTTGTGCGCCAATGACTTATTCCAATTTTTCTATTTTTTCTCGAATTTAACAGCTAAAAATAAAACTTTTTTATTTCGTCAGAAAAAGCACTTTATTGCATGTTTTTGATATAATTGAGTTACACGAAAGTCGTATTTTAAATTTTTTGCTCAGATTATACCTGCTTTCGATAAAACAAATAAATATAAAATATTTACATAACGTTGTTCATCATTGCAATGTTTTGCCAGTGGCGTTGCACAGTCTCTCAGGAGACAAAAAGGTTGTATTTTCAGCTGCTTCGAAAAAAATTGAAAAAGGTCAGAGACGCCCAATTTTTTCGTCTAAGATATTGGTTAGAGTAACTCTCAAACACACTTGAAATAATATAAATAATAAGCACTGTTCTAAGTAGCCAGATTTGTTTGAGTAGCAATTGTTTTTCCTTTGATGGCGCTCTTATGTTTTGTTACTTTTAAAACATTGCTGTTATAAATTATTACGTTATGCGATTATTATATGTTACTTTGTTTTATCGAAATTAGTTTTAAATATCTGCGAAAAAATTCAAGAGATGACTTTCGTCTAATGTCAGTTAGGTCGTTTCAATGTTTTGTTATTTATTGTCCCAGGGACATGCAATAAAGGTTTTTTTAATTTTTCGGCAGACAAAAATGTTGTATTTTCAGCTGCTTCAATTGAGCGTCACTGACTTTTTTCAATTTTTTTCGAAGGAGCTAAAAATACAATTTTTTGCTTCCTGGGAGACTGTGCAACGCCGCTGGTAAAACATTGCAACAATAAATAACGTTATGTAAATATTTTATATTTATTTGTTTCGTGTAACTCAATTATATCAAAAACATGCAATAAAGTGCTTTTTATTTTTTATCTCGCAAAAAATCGAGATATGAAAGAAACTGACAAAATTAAAGTTGTATTTTTAGCTGTTAAATTTGAAAAAATAGAAAAATCGGAATGACATTAGCGCACAAATTTTTTGTCAAATATATTGGTTAGGGTGTTTTCCGGGACGCCACTGGATTAGATGATTTCAATCTAATAATAGGAGCTAAATTAGCCCCTTACTGACCTTAATACTACTGCAGAATTTGTACAAAATCGACTGAAAGTTTATTGAGATATTTAGGAAAAACCGATTTTTTTTTAAAAGTTTGACACCCTGTATCTTGAAAATTAAGCTACGTGCTTAAATAACACCCTGTATATAATAATTTCTTCGTCGTGGATCCAGCTCACTTTTAGTAACGGCCTGTATTATGTTGACTTGACTGTTGACAGAACCATATTCTGGACGACCTACTTGGGTGGTTGCCTGAAACACTCGCAATAACTTACTTAAACATCAAAGGCATGGACGTCTTCGATACCGCCCTCCCAAACGATCCAATCGACTGCAGCTGGTCCCTGTACAGCTTCCTATCGCTCTCCTCTGGCTCGTCCCCACCGTGGTCGTGGTCCCGTTGGGGCCCCCTGCTCCCTTCAGGAGGTGCCAAGCGGCTCTGCACGTACTTCTCGAAGACACGCTTGGCGCACTCGAACAGGCTACTATCGGAAGCGGCGGGGCCGAACTCCTGCAGGATGGTCATCCAGGCCTCCATCATGCCGTCGAACGCGTCCGAGAAGTTGCGGTCTTCCTCGTCTACCTGCTGCGGTAACGTTAGTTTAAAAAAAATGGCGTCGAGTAGATTGCTTCTGCACTTCGCATGCAACGCCCTTATCAGTACATACAGGGTTTGTCCGGAAAGTAATAGGACTCATTTTCTTCCGCCATGACTGAACTTCGAAGCGTGCGCGCTAACGAATGAGCGGCTGGTCAGTTGTCTCCGAGCACTTGCAGAGTCAGGACAGGCATTTTCGCGCGATGTGTTTCTGTGAGTGGTGCAAGCCGAAAATGCAGCGTTCGTTAGACCAGAGGTACGCGATTAAATTCTGTGTGAAACTCGGTAAATCTCCGACAGAGACGTTTGATATGATCAAGCAGGCTTAGCCAGGTCTTGCTTTAGCAAGAAGTGGTGTGTTTCGGTGGCACCAGGCCTTTTTGGAGGGCCGGGAAGAGGTCGCTGATGAAGACCGTACTGGAAGACCTTCGACTTCGACAAACACCGATAATGTGACTCGTTTGCGCAAAGTTTTGAACTCAGACCGTCGACTAAGTATTCGTTTAATTGCCCAGATGTTAAGTTTACCAAAATCTGTGGTTCATGACATTGTGACACAGCATTTGAACATGAGCAAGGTGTGCGCGAAGATGGTCCCAAAAGTGCTCACTGACGACCAGAAGTTGCGGCGAGTGGAAGTGTGCCAAGAAAATTTGAACATGTGTGAAAGTGACCCAATTTTTGAATAACGTAATCACAGGTGACGAGTCGTGGATCTTTGAGTATTATCCCGAGACAAAGAGGCAATCTTCCGAGTGGCACACGACGGCGTCTCCTCGATCAAAAAAGGGAAGAATGAGCAAATCCAAAGTGAAAACGATGCTCGTTGTCTTCTTTGACATCAAAGGCATCGTCCACAATGAATTTGCTCCTCCTGGACAAACCGTCAACGCCAAGTTTTACGAGGAAGCGCTCAGAAGACTCAAACGAAGGGTCAGTCGGGTCCGACAAGACATCGCAGCCGACTGGAAGTTGCACCACGACAACGCCCCGGCTCCAGTGGCGATTCCACTGTAGGATCACATGAGCACGTGCACCCCCAAAATAAATAATAATAAATATGTATAACATCCATTTAATAATTTCTCAAATAAAGTGTGAGCCTCCCTGATATTTAATCGTATAAAATCAAAGATCTAGTAGCTCTCCACTGGTGAGTCAACACTCTTACCGCTGCGCTGCCTGATTCGGGCGATTCCGACTTGTGATTCGGTCTGGCCCGGTCCGACTGCTGCCGACAGGTGACGGCGGATGACGACGAATAGTCGCATATGCGATCATGTACGCGGGATTAGTGTGTTTCTCACCCTGCTGTTCTGGTTGCGGGGTATAGCGGGGTTATGGCAATTTTAGTTGGAGAAGGCGCACACTTCTGGAGTGCGCCATTGTCCGTTGCGCGTGCATTTTATGCAGTAATCGGAGGTGTGTTCGAATTTTTATGTTCGTAGCAGTGTTTTAATAATATATTGAGTTAAAATGAATGGTTTCACTGTGGAATATTTGAAACATAACTTCAGTTCATTGAGTTTGGAGCAAAAAATTGAAATAAAAAATGCGGGGAGACCTACACCAGAAATTAACCTAACTCAGACCACAAAGGGTAAATCTAGAGACTTTATTAGAAAGTTTAAAATGGAAATATATGAAAAGAATAACTGGATTTGTGGATGCAGCACAACAAACCGTTTGTTTTGTTCTTCCTGTTTGTTGTTTGGTCACGGGGTTGCAGAGCCTGCCTGGACAAAAAATGGAATAGCCGACTTGGGACATTTAGCACAAAAAATTAAGAAACATGAAAACACTCAAGTCCATATCAATGCGCAACTGGAAATGCAGCTTTTGGGAAAAGTAGATATACGGCAGCAGTTGGACAGTGCATATAGGCGCAGTATTCAACAGCAAAATGAACAAGTTAGAAAGAATAGGTATGTGCTTTCAAAAATTATTGATTGCATAAAATTTTGCGGAGCTTTTGAATTAGCCCTCCGCGGTCACGACGAAAAAGATGGTTCATCAAATCCTGGTATTTTTAGAGGTTTAATAAATTTCACTGCCGAATTAGATATAGCACTTAAAGATCATTTTGAAAAATCGACAGTATTCAAAGGGGTATCAAAAATCATTCAAAACGAATTGTTAGATTGCATGTTACAAGTGGCTCAGGAAAATATAAGAAAAGAAATTTTGGAAGCTGAATTTGTTGCTGTTATGGCAGACGAAACAACGGATGTAGCTAATTGTTATCAAATGACTACAGTATTTAGGTACATTCTACCAGATGGAAGGCCAGTTGAACGTTTTTGGAATTTTGTTACCCCCCCCCCTGACCACGATGCAGTTAGTCTCTCAGAATGTGTGAGAACTAATTTAATACAAGTGCTAGATAAACCAGAGAAACTGATAGCTCAAAGTTATGACGGCGCTAGTGTAATGAGTGGACGTCGTGGAGGTGTTCAAGCTCTTATTCAACGTGATTATATTTATGCTTATTTCGTTCATTGTTATGCCCACCAGCTAAATTTGATTTTATTGCAAGCTACAAGCCAAAATCAAGAAGTACGGGTATTTTTTTTAAATTTAAGCGATATTTCAAATTTTTTTTCTCATTCTCCACAACGAGTTGCAGTTTTGGATGACATTGTTGGTGCAAGAGTTCCTAGGTCTTCTGTTACAAGATGGAATTTTAAAAGCAGATCTATAAATACAGTATATGAATATCGCGAATTGTTAATAGAATGCATGGAAAAAATAGAAGCTACTTCAAAACAAACTGTTACCATCAATCAAGCCACTGGTATTGGCCGTATGCTACAAGATTCTAAGTTTGTGTTCTGGCTAACTGTATTTCATCGAATATTGCCACATGCTGATATTTTATATAATCAGTTACAAAAAACAGTGACTGACCCAGTGCAAATTCAGACTGCCATAAAGTGTTTTGAAAACTGCATCCAAAAAGAGAGAGACTGCTTGGAAACAATTGAAACTGAAATTTCTGAAGATACCACTACTACTCAAACTAAAAAGCGTCGTGCAAATGAAGACCAGCATATTTGCAGAGCTGTTGCAGCCAAGGAAGTTTGTGATACCATAATTACACATGTAAGAGATAGATTTTCTTTTACAAAACATTTAAATGAAGCTATTCTTCTTTCTTCTGATAAATTTCCACAATTTGAAAAGCATTTTCCATTGCAATATTTGGAAACTGTAGTAGAAGCATATTCGTTTTTAGATAAAGTTCGTCTCCGGACTGAAGTGGAATTAATTTACCGGCAACCTGACTTCAGGAATATGACTGGTGCCATTAGTTTGTTACAGTTTTTTATAGAAAATAATCTTCAGAGCATATTTTCTGCCACCTTTACACTTTTACAAATAATTGTTACCATACCAATGACTACGGCCGAAAGTGAAAGATGCTTTTCGACATTGAAGAGAATAAAAACATTTTTGCGAAGTTCTATGAATGAAGAAAGACTGTCAGCGCTAGCAATGCTATCTATCGAGAAAAAATGTATAGCGGGTATTCCAAACTTTAACGAGTTAGTTATTGATAAATTTTCTGCAAATAAAATCAGGAGAATGGACTTTAAGTTTAAAAAAATTGTATTTTTTATAAATGTATTTTCTTGAGTATAATAAAAAAAAATAACAAAAAATGTGTCCTTGATGCTTGTTTTAGTACTCTTATTGCCTTCTACGTCACGCATTACATAAAAATTTTGGTGGTGGCAAAAAAAATTTATTTTATACCACTTGTGAACCCCCTGTATCATAGACCACGAGCCGCCGCTGCCCGGCTCACACCGCCTTTCTTGTGAACAGCTACCTGACCAAGGCCGGCATCCCAACGCTTCCGCAGCCGCCCTACAGCCCAGATGTGGCCCCTCCGGACTTTTTTTTGTTTCCTCGCCCGAAAAGGCCGATGAAAGGCAAGCATTTTGAGACGACAGAGGGGATCCAAGCAGCATGCACCGCGGCTCTCAAGGCTATTCCGTGACGCCTTCAATGCTTGGAAATCGCGCTGGCAGACGCAGAAGGAGCCTATTTTGAAAGTTTTTAAAGAATTGTAACGATTGGCTCAATAATTTTTTTTAAATCGACTCAGTCCTATTACTTTCCGGACAAACCCTGTAAATGAATATATTCAGCACAAAATAGACCCTCTGAGAAGAAAGTCAGAAACAGGTCCACGGACGTTCTTCGTCTATCCTACGCCCGAAACAAAAGTACTGTCCAAACAGTGGACTTCAAAGGGGGAACCCGCTCCAAGAAAATCAAAAACTGTTTATGGACTGACGGCGACTGTTTTTTGGGATAGTCATGGAGTTATTTCAATAGATTATCTTCAAAAAGGAAAAACCATTACAGGGCATACTACACAGCATTACTTGACATGCTGAAGGCAGAAAATTCGTGAAAACTCGCTGGCACATCGCTTGTGGGATAGCGGACATCTCCATCGTCGATTTATTGGCGTAAACGCGACTCTTGAGGTATGCCCTGAGAAAAAATTCAGTGGAGTGAGATCTGGGCTCCGGGGAAGCCACGGAATGTCCCCTCGTCGCAATATCAGTTTTCCACTAAGCATTTCGTTTACAACTGCTAAAGATTCGTTGACGGTATGTATGTATGTCGCACCATCTTGAAACCAGGCCCTCTATGCCATGATTAAACATTATGCAGTTGTGTATCGATTAGAATTTACTGGTACAGTCTGGCCTTGCTCGTTTTGGCCGCCCAAACTGTAACAAAACGCGAATGCGAATGTCGTTGGAAGTTTAATTTGGGGTTTTCTGCGGCCCAATACCGGTAATTTTGCTTGTTGACAAATCCACTCAAATGAAAATGAGCTTCATCAGAAAAGATAATATTATTCAAAAGTGGGAAGCGCTCTAACATTGTTTCGGCCAAGCACGGCGTAGATGGTGGTCCTGCGGTTTCAATTCCTGCACTAGTTGAAGTTTATATGGGTGCCATTTAAGGTATTTTACCAAAATACGTCTTTCAGATGTTCTGGACATCAGCTCTTTCGGAATCGCGCCTTACAGTTTCCTCAGTTCGTATTGGTCTTGGACGCTGGTTTCTGATTCAGTGTCGAACCGGTAAACTCGAAATTTCTGACCCACGACATGTTCACACTTTTCTAGGACATTGATTTAGATCATGTAAACTAAACTCAGAGCGAAACAGATGTCGGGCAATAGTGCGCATATCTCAATTCACTCCCGCGTGCCTGCGACGGGCAATGCGGTTTTGAGATTCGTACGTCTTTCTGGTCAACCCATTATTACGGGGATTACAAGAAATTGAGTATCATTTTTTAATATGCACTTACCGTTTCTTCTAGCGCTCCACCTTCACAAAAGTGGCACGTCAATCTAGTGAACTCGTCCAATAATGTATCTCGTATGTCGTTAGGCAGTTTCGGGATATCGGATATAAAAAATATGATGAGTTTTTTCACTATGTTCGATATACCTATCGATTCTCTGCTTCTTATCGTAACGCTACAAATAATAATTGCTATAAGTAAAATAATTTGTATCAATTTGTTTGTGTTAAGTTTTGTATGAGAACACAATACAGCTGGGAAACCCAAACACGGTAATATTGCTCTTAGTACAAAGGACACAAAGGAAATTAAAACATAGATGAGCTAACCTTCAGTGTGTCTTTGGTCCTTTCAATTTACATAAAAAGTGAATTATATTTAAAGTACTTACTTCGAAATCAAATTGAAAAACGCCACTAAGTAAGAGTGTAAATATTTCAATCGAGATTCATCATGCGACATTACTTTTCCACTTAGAGTAGCTAGCTGTACCAAGCAGGCTAGTGCAGTATGTGCTAGTTGCTCATTGTCACGAACCTACGTAGAAATGCTAATATTAGAAATAGGCCCCACTAAAAAATAAAGAACCCCAGAAATGATCAGTAATGCAATTCCCATAATCATTGTGCCTTGTGTGTTCATATTGTTGTTGAAGATTTATTTAGCATTCATGTTACAATGTCAATTTTGTATAATGATTCGGTTACATATTTTTCTTCAATCCATTTTCTGTAATTTTGCATTCTTGTCTATTAAAATTACGTGACTATGCATTTTGATTATTCATAAAGTGACTCTTTAATTTCACCTTAAACATTTTTAAATTCGAACTCTGTTTAATATCATTATTCAATTTATTAAATTCAAATACTCCCTTTTGAAACATAGATTTATTAGTTATGCTACTATTACAATTTTGCAGATGAAAATCGATACTGCCTCTAGTTTTGTAGTTATGATAATGACTATTTAATTTTGTGAAGTTCTCTAAATGTGGTGGTAATAAATGATTTTTTAATTTGAATATGAAAACGAGATCTAAATAATTAATGAAATTTTTCACTTCCAACCACTGCAGTTCTTCTAACATAGACTTAATCCTAGCATATTTGTTTTCATTTAAAATGATTTTCATAGCTTTATTTTGTAGAATTTGTAGTTTTGAAAATATGTTCTCATTTGCTGTAAACAAGATGGTTGAACAATATGAAAAATGGGGAAGAATTATAGTGTTATACACATTTTTTTCGGAATACATCCTAAGATTATGGGAAACTCTATAGAAGTAATTTATCTTTTTCAATATGTTTGAAATAATGTATTCATAATTTTCGTGAGACAGTAGCTTACTATCCACAAATATACCAAGATATTTAAATGACTCGACTACTTCAATTTTTCAGTCATTAATCATGAGCCTAATTGTATTGTCACCTAAATGTTTCCCTATTGACATACATTTTGTTTTATTAGTGTTTAATTTAGGTTTATTAACATTTAACCAATTCATATTTTGTCAATATCACTATTTAACAGTTCTAAAGCAGTGTCCAAATGCTTATGTGCTATATATATATATATATATATATATATATATATATATATGTGTGTGTGTGTATTGTCCGTAAATATTTGAATTTTGCAGTGTTCTAAAATGTCAGAGATATCATTTATATAAATAATGAATAGTAACGGCCCTAGTTTACTCCCCTGTGGTACCCCTACTGATATATTTTGAACACTTGACATAATATTTCCAACTTTAGTTTTTAAATAATTTTGTAAAATGTGTAATACTGATCCTTTAAAGCCATAGTGACGCAATTTTATTAACAATTTTTCCCTATCTATAGTCTCAAATGCCCTTTTGAAGTCTAAAAATATTGTTACAATATATTCTTTCTCATCTATGCTTCTTCTCCAGTCTTCCACCACCATTTGGATTGCCATTTCTGTGGAACATTTTTTTCTAAATGCAGCTTGTTTTTTATCAAAATTTTGGTTTCTTCAATGAATTCTATGATTTATTCGTATATTATCCCTTCAAACAGCTTCTCGACATTGGCCAAGACATTAATCGGCCGCATATTTGTATACAGATGAGAATTTTGAACTTTTGGCACAGGAGTTAATCCAAATACATCACAAAGTGTCATCTATTAGCAGAATTGACTTCTGCACTGTAAAGAATTTCCGGTTGCTTTGATAGTCACTTGACGCCGTCGATTCTGGCGATATAGTAGACGATGATCTGCTCGCCATTGAAAACTCATACTAAATTCGTCCGTTCGACTAACAGAGAGCGGATTCTGGTAGATGATACATTGATCTGAACTAGAAAAGTATTTAAACTTCAGACAAACACAGACGTAGTACTCCATGTTTTTCTGGTCACTAAGATAGACATATCACATTTTGTTACTTACTGACTATTTTTTTTTAAAGATATCTTACCTTCCAATATATTTGGAAAACCAAAGGAACCATGTCAGGGTTGAGGATGTAATCTGCCCATGAAGCTGGCAATTTCAAACCTGGTGCAGCATCAGCTTCATATACAGCTTCATATATGCCTATTAACCTTTTAGGGATTGTGTAAAGTTAAAGAAATATTTCTATTTATAAATTGAATGCTGTGCCTGTGCAAAAATCATCCTACTTACCATGAGTTGATCTAAAATTTACTTTAGAGATTGGTTATTGTGATCTCTCTTTGGCAGGTTGATATCATGTTTAGGAACAGGCAATATTTTTTTATGAAAATAAAAGTAAAAATGGAGTTTGTTTTTATTCCTATGGAAATCTCTGCAATCGTATTTGATAGAAATTGAAGGTGTCATCAAAATGCAGCATAGGTTGAAACCATCAATGATAGAATTTATTCGAGATTATGCTATTTTTAAATTATCTACAAAAATTGCATAAAAGGATATGGAATGGTGAAACATAACCCCAGGTAAGCACACGTTCCAGGATTTTCAACAGATGCCCAATGAGGACTACCATGTTCTCAGGAAAAGGTGTGCCAGCTTTACCAACCTCTGTCAAGAGGTAAATGGAGAACTGGAAGATCCTTTTCAAATCAGTAGATTCAAACTGTTTCTTTGCTTTGAAGTGCACCTCCCATGGAAGACCAACATCAGTGGATTTGACTGTAGTTGCATACTCTTGCATCAAATGTGTGATTATATTGCAACCCAATATTTTCTAAAAGTTACAGATTCATCAAAAATCAATTCTAGAAATGACATTACACTATTGTTAAAATAAGATAAGAGTGGTACACAATTATTGCATTGAGCTATGTATCGTGCCTTATCCCACATTTTTAGGCAGATAAAAACATCTGCAGATAACAACCCCTTATTATTATTTACTACCATGGCTACTCATACCAAAATGGAAGAATATCTACAAAAGCATTGAATAACTAATTTTTATCTCTGTTTTTCCTTCTCTGATTGACAATGCAAAACATGTTTTCTTTTGTATATTTACAAATAATGCTTATTGAACGATTATAAACATTCATCAGTGCCATGTTACTTTTGTTATCAACCGAAGGAAATTGTTTTTATATTTTCTTCTAAATGATGTACATTTATATGAGTTGCCTCTTACACTGATTTGTTAACAGTGTCATTTCTATGAATCTATTATGTATGGATTATATTCAATATTTTTTAATAGAACAACAGCAGCTTTTAAGTGAATTTGAAGGAATCCGCATTTATTGTGAGCTGTCAGTATTTACCATTGAATATGCTATTTATTGACTGAGTAGCTTGCATTGCAGTAATTGTTAATGTATAAGGACATGTAGGATACCACTGACAGAGATGAAATCATCAGTAAATAATGATAATAAAGATACAATTTTGTCTTACTACAGATTTTTCATTGATTCAATAATGAGACCTAATAATGAGTTACCTTTTGCGGCTCAGAATTAACAATGAGACTTTCTACTTCTCTGAGCAAGTTTGCCCTTTCCCTTCCATTATCATCAATACTAGCTCTTTTCACCATTATCACTATGACCTGCAATATCCTTTCTTTGACAAAGGGTGGTGTTTCATGAGTAATTATATACTCAAATAAGTATTGCCTCAATGAAATTTTGTCAGAGTCAAGTAAAAATGCCCACTCTCGAATTATTGCACTCTTTATCACCTCTGCTGCCTCAAACATGACATAATGGTTTTGCGATTTCTCAAGTATTTCTCGGCATATGTTATAAGGTGATTTGGTTTTTCTGAATTCTAAAAAGATACATTCAGCTGCATGTCTTTGTTCGTTCGCCACGACGTTTGGCGGAGCCTAAAAATAAATCGTTTCTTGTATTATGGACACATCAAAAGAACACAAGGAAACTTTACCATAATAATGTTTGCAGCGCTTTCCAGCTCAGCTATTATTTGTTCAGTCATTTTGATAAAACAATTAATATTGATATTATAAAAATGACTAAAAATATATTTTTATTTGGTTATAAAAAACTAAAAAATACTTTTGGAAATCAAAAACTTCTCTCATTCTCCTTAGTGACAGCCACCTGACAGCACAAAACACATAAGACTGAAGAAGTGGGAGCTGCACGTTAAACAATGGCAACACCGTTGACGTTTTGTCAGGTAGTTGCGCCACCTACTTGCCTGGAGATCTGGAGGAACTAACGAAAGAATGCCGAGAATGCGCCTGGAATATGTAATGCTAGGAATGTGTCGGGCTGTCGAGGATTTCATTTGTTCATAATTTGAAATCTGCTGACAATGATATTTCCGATATTGAAGGACAATTTCATGAACATATATTCAAAAAAATATCCCCAATAAGGGTAATATCTCTTTCAGCAATTTTACTGAGAAAAAGGTTCAGCATAATAAAATCCAACCGTAATAATTATCAAGCACCTAATTTATTTAGTTTAAAAAAATATTCATATGCTGTTGACAATGGTATAGAAATTGTATTACATGAAAATATAGATAGATTTATTTCAAATTCATGTTGAGTGTTGTAAAACACAAGTGTCTCACTTCATTGTACCGCTTCTTGATAATTCTGAAACAATACAGAAAACATTAATGTAATTCATAATTCTTTGTAAATAAGCTAGTCACTTTTCATTAATTTGCTCAGTTCTATCCCTTCAATTTGTTCGCCTTTCACACTTAATACAACGGTGCCAACTACAAGGATTATAAAGAGGCTGAATCCAGACATGCAATTTTAAATAAATAATCTACCAAATAAATCATGCCGATATGTTTAGTTCAAAGCCTACAGATAAATCAAATCCAAGCGGATAACCAAAATTTCCGTATTATGTACCGCGGTTATAATATGGTTCAAGATGACACACGGGATGGTGACGTCAGTTACTCGAATCGCTTGAACGCGTTGGTTTTAACCGCGGTTTGTTGCAAGATGTTTATTTTAGAAAAGCGCGTATATAATTTCTGATTATTTTTATTATCACTTAATAATCAGTGCTTTTTCGTCTACAACGGGGTATGGAAAGTTGAAAAAAGAAAACTTTCATAATATTAATGGGAGGAATGTTTTTTTTTTCCGAAAAAAATGTTTACTGATGGAACCATGGCTTTGTAGCTATGATAACTTTCAATTCTCTAAACTTTTCCGCATGTCAAAGAAAATATTTATTGATTTAGCAAAAATGATGAAAAAGCGATGAAAAAAGATATTAACAAAACCGTATACAGGTGGACATCATCCAGTGAGTTTATACGGCCATATTTTAATATTCTTTTGGTATATGGCTAGACAGGATACTTTTTTAAGTGTAGGAACTAGATTTAAAGTGTCCCCAACAACAGTGATGATTATAAATAATGCTAAAACTGAAGTCAGCCTGTATCAAGTTTCCCAAAAATGAAGCTGAAGTACAATAAAAATATCCAATACCCGGCAAAATTCTAACTTGTCACATGTCAAATAATAACCAGAAATATAAAACTACTCCGGAGTTGGGTAAATACCACAATTTTGCGGTGATAACTATGACATATAACAGCTGATTCATGACGTCACGGATCTTATAACCAAACTGATAACCACACTCGCTTGAACGGATCGGTAAATACCAATCCAAAATGGTAAATACCATTTCCATTTGGTTATCCGCTTGAATTTGATTATATATTCTTTAATTCACCGGTTTAGCTACTGGTGCAACCGGTTAGCCAATTTTGCGTCCTTTAATTTCCGCTGGAACGACCGGTTGTTCATCAAACTTGTATTTATATTGATGGTGTATATGCCACCGGCATCGGTATCATGTAAAAAACCTACAAAACGTCAAAAAACCTATAAGATGTCAACTTGCAGACTAGGTAGTTTTTAGGGCGCAAACGGTCATTACACGTTTGCTCACTAGGATCGTTGTGAACGTGCATCTATGAAGGAATCACTCAACTAAACTACACGCATTATTGGTTGCATAGTTTTGTGAGGCCAAGTGATCCGGGTCTGTAGTTTTTATCGCTGAGAAGAAAGTTGAATAGCAAGATCGTATCTGGATGATTATGTGTATTGGTCTGCATGTGTATAAAATCAGTGATATCTGCTGTGTGAGAAAATCATTACTGAATATGCTGCCAATCAACTATATCTATTTGCTGTGCCCGACGGGTTAGTTTTATGTTGTGCTTTCTGAAGAGAGGTTATGTTCAAAGGTATAAATTACGAAAAACTGAGGAGAATTACGGGAAGGACATCATCACTGTTAGCATGTATATGACTTGTAATTCGACGATGTACAATGAATATAATTATTTCTTATCTCTTTCATTTTTGAAATTCAGCAAATTTGTATATGTAATTTCTAGAATTGATAAGAAGTGGATGCGCAACTAATTTCTAGCTTTGAATCTCAATTAAGTCTATTTGAGACAAGAATCCAAGTTATAACTTGCCACTATTATTTATACTTAAGTCTTTATTCTGAGAATTTTATATAATAAATAATTTCATTTAAATGTTCATTTTTCTTATAGCTGTTTTAGAATGTTGTCTAATTTAGCTTAATTATAAAATTATAATAAAGTTAAAATATGATTTGAGTGGGTAGTTAAACTTTCTAGTATCTATTTTAAAATATGTTATTCCTTTCCCTGTAGCCTATTTTTTATATTATTTTCCAAAAGTAAGCTAATTTCTGCTAGTCACTAATAGGCACCGTACTGTAATGCTGGTTACGGTCCGCCACTGTCACTAGCTCTAGCGTTAACGAAACTTACACTCGTAATGTTGGTTGCGGTATGGCATCGAAGACACTGGTTTGATTCAGTAAATATACTGTACTTTAAGGTGGGTTTACACGCTACGTCTTATTGTACGTTTTGTCGGGCATACAAAACTTACGTTTTGTCAAGTGTATGCACACTACGTGTTTTACCTTCCGCTTTCTACTACATTTCCAATCTAGACTCTTGACTTGTGAGTTTAGTTAGTGATTTTTTTTTATTATGGAGGAAACATGGTTGCTTTCTTTTATTTTTTCAACTATAAGGATACAACGACTAGGAGAAAAAGAGATGAAGAGAGAACAGACAAGATGGTCAAGGGAACGGCTTCTGAAGAGAAGCTAGTATTCCCACGTCTCGTTATTGAAACAACCGAGGAGCGAACCGAGAAAATTTGGGGGAAAGGAAGCGAACTGAAGTGGAGCAGTAGTGAACTGAGCCAAGATCGGACGTCTTGTCTGAACATGAGTCTACACGTTCGTTTTGTCTTATCAGTTCTCGCAAAATGATGCAGTTTTTCAATCTGAGCTTAGATTTCATTTCGATTCGACAATACTTACGTTTTGCTGTTTACACGCCACGTTTTATTGAATAGGATTTGTCCTGTTCCACAAAACGTACAATAGGACGTAGCGTGTAAACCCGCCTTTAATAATATCACCGACGTCTTCTGTTACAATCTGAAATACTGCAAAAATGGGAATGTCCGGCGTAAGGACAACCATTCTTATAATACGTTTTTTGTGCTACTAAAAAAGACTAATAAAAAAATCTCCAGCTCTAGCAACTTGTTTTCTAGGTAAATCGGGTGCTTATCGGTATTCTGAATTCGATGTCAAATCAGAGTTCTAGGATTCACTACCAATTTTTCATCCCACATCGGGTCCGCTGGTACTTCAGAATTTTTTCCATATCATATTTACAGGGTGATTCACAAGTCGTGACCAAACATGAAACAGTTTTTCCTCGAGGGCATCATCCAGCGACGATAAAATCCCTAGCATAAACATTTTACGATGGTTAGTATTCTAGGGTTAAAAAGATACGGGGTGTTGTTTTTTAATACCTTCAAAACTATCAACTGAAATTAATTAAAATTTGGTATGTGGATTTACCTAAGTATTGCCCAGATTTAAAATTAAAAGTATTTATTTAAAATTAGCGAGCACCAGTGGCGGACATTCAGAGGACTAGTGGCATAGTTTTTCCAAATAAAAATAGTACGCCACTGTTTTTTTTTTCGAAACGCGCATTTTTTCGAATTTATTTTACCTTCAATTTGCTACAAATAATTACTCTTATTGTTTCCTAGAGCGCACTGTTTTCGTAAAAATAAAACAAATTAGATTGAAGAGCCGAAATACAATTAGTTTTGAAATAAAAAAGATAGAATTCAAAATCCCCGGTCTTTAAGAATCCACTCGTTTCAACACAGATTTTCTAGAAATGTCTGGTGCGGCATTTTCAATGGCCAACTATTTATACAAATATTGCAACAACGTTCAGATGCAAACTCATACTTAGCTTTTCTAGAGAATTACGTAGAAAATGTGGTATCAGCACGACGGTACCTCTCCACATGTTCGTCATGACATAACCGCATGGTTAAATAATCGTTTTAGACATCGATGGATTGGCAGAAACGGACCCGCACATTGGCCTGCGAGGTCTCCTGATTTGAACCAACTGGATTTCTTTTTGTGGGACGCTTTTAAACTAGTGTATGCTGAGCAAATGAATACTGTTGATCAGTTTCAAGGAAGATTAGATAATGCATTTCATCAAATTCAAGCCACAACAAATACGTTTTTCTTTAATTGAAAAAAAGATGCCGCACTTGTATCCGTCAAAATGGTAGTCTTTTTGAACATTTATTGAAATGAAGCTTTGATTATCTAATTTGTTTTTTTTTTATTTTTACGACAAAAATGCACGCTAGGAAAAAAACAAGAGTAATTCTTTGTAGAACATTAAAGGTAAAATTCGAAAAATTGCGCGTTTCGAAAGAAAAACAGTGGCAGTACTATTTTTATTTGGAAAAGTAATGTCATTAATCCCCTGTATCTCCGCCACTGGTTCACTTAATTTTAAGACTTTTGAATGTGATAAATCGACATACCAAATTTGAGTTCATTCCAGTTAATGGTTTTGAAGATATTAAGAAAAATGTTCATTATATTAACGATTTTTTTAACGAAAATGGTCACGAACTGTGAATCACCCTGTATTCAGCGCCCCAAATTACCTTGTTATACAAAACTTTGATGCGAAAAATGGATTTTTAGCACCCAAAAATTGCAAAAACGCTTAGTTTTGCAATTTTTCGCTAAAT